TCTGCTTCCATTCTTCATATTCAATGAAAGGAGATTCATTTCTCAATTTCTCTGCTCGATCTCTAGCTTCATTTTCCAACAATACCGTTATATGATCGATCCATGAGTGTTTGGAGGGATCTAAGGTCCTCAGATCATACTCCAGACACTTGATGAAGTCGGTGAACGATTGCTTGTCTCTATTAGGCCAGCTTCTTCTATTAATTCGAGTAAGAGCTTGTTGTTGAGCAAAGGTTAGTTGTTTTTCTTTTTCTTGGAAATTTATATTTCCTAGAGCTTCCGACATCGAGGGTCTCTCAATTACCGAAAAATTATTAGAGATGAGTGAGGCGAATGCAGGTGATATTCCCAAATCGTCCTCAATTTGCCTTTTTGTGTAGTTTTTGAATTGATCAATCGAGTTTATCTTTTCTTTGACCAATGTTACCAATGAATTGAAATCCAGTCCAACCTTTCTTAGCTGAATTCCATCCATCCATTTTATTGGGTATTCTCGCTTTGAGTTTACCTCAAAATTCCCTTTGATGTCTTCACCATCATTCTGGAACATTTCTTGAATTACCTGAGATTCCCAGATCTCTTTTCTTAACATGTCACATGTCTTCTGTTCAGGGTTCTTTATTCCCCATTCCATAGAGATTCCAATCAGTTCATTTCTTGAAACCACATCTTGAGTTTTTGACTTTGGATAAGTCGCACTTTCACTTTCACTAAGCATTTTCACTTTAATTGTTTTTCACTTATCACAATACACTTAGTACACACACAGTTAAAGGTGTTTATTCACTAAAAGTCTAATGAGGTTGGTTTCGGAAGGGAAAAAGGTCCTCTTTCCCTTCTTTGACTTAACCTTTGAAGCACTATGATCAGGAAACGGAAACGAAAGCCTTTTGGTGAAACCGAAGCTTTGGTTTATAGGTTGTTTCTTTGGTGATGATTGTAGCTACTTTGAGAAAAAGGGTTTATAATTCAGGCTTAAATCAGCGGAGGCATCTCCACCAATGTGTGAGTATTTTTGTCGTAGACAAACCTTACCAAGGGATCTCCGAGAAAGACTGATTTGATTTGAATGAAACTCTTTTTATTTTTGATAGCACTTTTGAATATTTAGACTTGGAACTTTGTGAGATTTAAACAGAACTGAGGGTAAGGGTAAAGGAAGGGTAAGTGAAGGAGAGATTAACAATTAAACTGATTTAACAATAAACATTGACTTCTTAACTCTATGTGTGTTGTTCTTAGATTTGAATTGGGCTTTTATATACAACATTTAATCTCTAGGGTATTGGTAAATGGTTAATGTATCACGTGATGTAGATTAGATAAAGGGGGAGAGTAATTAAGGTTGCGTCATTTATATGTAATCCCCTTACAATGATCATGATAACGATGAAAAAAAAAGATGAAAAAGTTTTACATTTTTATTTGAATTTCAGATAATAAAGATAAATTTCAAATTCGATCCGAATTTTCCTTCCCTACATACCGAGTAACCTTTAACTTACTCTCGTTACCTTTTTCAAGCTCAACTTGTTTCTCTCTCTCTCTCTCTCTCTCTCTCTCTCTCTCATATTTATCTTCATCTTTCATCTTTCAGATAAAGATTGAAGCGATTGCCCTCTCCAGGTAGATACCTGTAAGATGAATGATAAAGACCTTAAGAGATGAATGAAAGCTAAGAAAATGTTACAATCAAGTTTTAATTGGTAATCACTTTTCTCGTTGGTTTTGTTTTATTTTGTTTTTCATTTACCTGTAATCAGCGATATATCATTTCAGTAGGCGAAAAATCAATGAAAGCAGAAAATCAAGTTGAAAGCAAAAATTGAGATCATTCAGAGAGAGAGAGAGAGAGAGAGAGAGAGAGAGAGAGAGAGAGAGAGAGAGAGAGAGAGAGAGAGATGATGATGATGATGATGATGATGATGATGATGATGGAGAAATAGGATTTTTATATCTTGTTGATCGACAAAATTAACTACAGTTAGAACTTATTATCATCATCTCAGCATCTTTCTTTGTTTCGTCTAGACTCTTCATGATGAAGATGAAGAAAAATCTCTCATCATGTTTTTCATCTTCTTCTTGTATTTTGATCATTTTTTTGCTCTTTTTTTCAATGATTATCAACGATTGCGTGAGAGAAAATCATCTCTCTCTCTCTCTCTCTTAACTTAATCAATTTCATACAGGTAATCAACTAATCAACAGGTTTCCATCAATTAAATTAGTAGATAATAGTGGTAAATGATTTAGTGTGTTAATTATTATCCTGTTTGATTTGGTGAGACATTTAATTTGTTTGATTTCCCAAAAAACTTCCGAGTTGATGATTATGTTGACTGTTGATTAAAAGGTGATGAAAATTATTCAACTCAAATTGATTAAGTTTTATCATCATAATCTTTTCATCAGTTGAGATCATAATTATCTTCAGGTATATTTTATCATAATTGTCATCTCATTGAACGTTGAGTTACAATAATTTGAAATCATTTTCATTAATCTTCTTACAATTGATCAGCATGAGTATTAACATCGTTAATTGTTGTTGTTATTGTGAAATGATTTAGTAACTCATTTTATCAGCATTCATTTAGTAATTATTATTAAAAGATTCTTCCGCTATCACGTCAGGTGAGATTATTGGTTATATGGACACACCCGAATTTACAGTTAACGGTATTGACCTTTAACTGGAAATTAACTTAATCATTAGGATTTAACAATTAAATGTTACCGTTAACAAGCCAATTAAATCTAATGATTCTGTAAATTCAGCGAGACGATTAAAGTAATTGTTATTGTAAATGATTGGTCAACATTTTTGCCTCTTTGCTATCATCGTAATTAGTTAATTTGATTTTTGATTGTTCTCTCTCTCTCTCTCGTCCTCTTCATAATCGCCATAAAATTTTAGCTACGTTTCAATACTTATATACACCAATCGCAGACAAATAACGGTAATAACATTTAACCAATTGCTCTAATTGTGTTATTGATTAGATGATTTGATGGATAAGATATTAATGATGATGATAGTGGTTCTTTTGATGATGATGAGATGTGAAATCGGAAAAAACTATTCAACACCAAGGGTGTTTGACATTGAAAACAGGGTAAGGTCCAGTAAAAGGTTAACTCAGCTTGAGACTCAATTTGACTTTGGCCTGACTCGTTATGTATACGATACTTTTTAAAAAAAAAGGTTATCAGTTCTAAACCAAGAATTTAGTGATGATAATGATGATGAAGATGAGGATAATGATGGTAAGTCTAAAAATGGACTCTTCTCAATGAAGGGTTTCCAAGAGACGATTCCTGCTCTTTACAATTCATCTTGCAATCATAATAATAATAACCAGGAGCCATTAATGTTTAACCATGATCTTGAAACAAAGATCCGGTTTATGATTAAGATATGATGATGAAAATATTATTTGTTGTAAACAACAATTTAAAATATCCAATTGAGTTTGTTTAACCATTATTTTAACAGCACCACCAACAAACGTTATTAAATTTGCCTCCATCATCATCATCATTATATTATCATGTATTTGATTGTTGTTTACAAGAATCATCATCAATGTTAGAGGAGAGAAAGATGAAAACAAAAAAATATCATCATCATCATCATTATTAAGAGCCAACAGCAGGACCAGCAGCGGCAATCAGTTAATAACAGTAACACCATCAAGACAAATAATATATTATATTAATACACTTAGATGATAATAAAATTAAACATCAAGTAGCAATAAAATGAAATTAATGTTGATTCATTTCAATCCTTGGCTTTAAGATAATCCATAAGTGTGTCACCAGTAATAATATTGAAAAAAAGGGACAAAATTGATTATCAATCAACAATATACATTAAATTATGATGATATGTGATAATCTGCTTGATTGGACTGGTTATCCTTTTTGTTTGTTTGTTTATTCATCAATTGTATCTATTGATGATTACGATAGTTATCCGATTGATCAACAGGTAATATTATCTAATAAACACTTTCCTCTTTCATTCATTGTAACTCAATACAGATACAATTAAAGGCGTGAATGTATTGATAGTATTTGTAATGGATACAGGATAATCCAAACTGAATTTATAATTAATTATTGTTCAGACTTGAATGTTGTCTCGTTAAAGGCCAAAAAAAGGGTTAAAGATGTGATTAGGTGTAACCAATACGTTAATCGAATGTACCAAAAATATATTATATTTGATTGTGGAGAAACAATAACAGGATAATCTTATAATTCCAATAATAAAATGGTTCAACTTGTTTTCGAATAATTTGTAATCAATAAATTGGTGTTACATGTAAATGAATCTTTCGCCAGAATTGAATAGTAACAGTGTTTCAAATTTTCCATCTCCAATTTCATGTAATCCTTTTTGCTTTTGTTTCGACAATCATGTAACACGCTCTTGGTGTGATATTCATGTTGAGCTTTTGATATTTCATTCTCTCAATTATCGCCAACATGTAAGACCATCATGTAAGGTTAAATATAACCATGAAGATAGATTAGATTCACTTGATAGAATTGATAACATTGGATTGACGTGATTGTGAAAGTGAAAATAAAGAATCAGGTAAACGCCGAGTGTGTCAAGTTTGACAAAATGGTTCATTGGATTATCATTGAACAGTCAATCAAATTGACGATTAGAAAGTTAATTGTGGGCAACAAAACGGTAAATCACTTTCAATTGTTTGATAGGATAGAAATCAGAAAAAAAAGAATCTTTTCTCTTTTTTTCTTAACACCTTTTACTTAACCGTAATCAAAGATCACAGTCTCAATCATCAATCCCCTTAAAGGTTGAGGTCAATGTAATGGAGAGTTCAAGTATAACCCGATTTCTTTTGTAGCTTTATAAATATAAATTATCACTTCTTTAATCATCATAACCATTACTTGAATACATGGTGATTATAAATAAATTTCAGTAATAATCAGAACCATTAACAGATAGACTTGAAGATGAATTCAATTCTTATGGTGACACAATCACAAAGACTCACATTTAACTGACCATTCAATGGATTAAATCGTTGAGAGGATAAAGAGATGAATCACAGATAACAAAGCAGAAAGAAGGAAATTTAAGACAATAAACAAAATTAATTCTAAATTTAGAGAAACAATTAAACAACAACAGAATAATTAACAAAGAATTAAACGAAAATGTTGTCAGTTGATTTCTTTTTTTTGTCTAATTTTTTATTCTCTCAAAAATGGCGCGTAATTTTAAAAGAATTAAAAAGAACATTTTTTTTCTCCAATTTTTTGTTAACCCTTTTCATCTCTTACTTTAGTGTGTTTTGTTTTTCTAATTAACTGTTTATCCGAATTTAATTAATTGTTAATTTTTGTGGATTATTTTTTTTTTCTTCTTCAAGTGTGTTTTTCGTCAACACCATAAACAGTTTTCCATCTTAAACAATCAAAAAACAAAAAGAAAACCTTCCCTCCCCTGAAGGTAAGACACCGAGATTGATGCCAAAAGATACACAATAAGGTAATCGTTTAATCAATAAGCTTATTGACCGTTCCCAATACATCAATATATTTAATTTTTTTTGCTTCTTTTCATCATCATTATCATCATCTGACTCATTATTATCTTATTATCTTATTAGCCCGATGAAATTCAGCTTCCGTATGGATTAAAAATCGTTTCACTCTCTCTCTCTCTATATGTATGAAAATGGTCATGTTGACATTGATGGCAATGGATAAAAACTAAGCTTCATTTTGATTTGTTTCACTTTTAAAACCAAAAACAGAATTAAATATGATTACATGTTAATTGCTGTATTCATCGTAATTGATTGGTTTACTATCCCTGATTTTGGTCAATCAAACCGGAACCTGATTAATTGGGACAATCAATTGGTTTACACATAAATATAATCTCAATGAGTTTCATTCACTTGCTGCCTATTTAGATGAATGTGATTGTTTTGATTTTTGTGAAGAAAATTTAAACTTGAAGAAAAAGGTAATTAAATCATTAATTAAAAATTTGATCATCACAATTTGAGAAAATAATCTCAGACAATTAAGAGTTTGATTGTATTTCAAATAGCTCAAGGATTATGATGAACAATTAGAAAACTAATCATGACATAGAAATACACTTACACAATGAAATAGTACTTTCTCTTTCTATTAAACAATCTAATCCACTTTCTGTTGATTTAAAATTCTAGACGATTATTAAAGATTTATTATTAATTATATTCTTTCTTTAATTTTTTTACAGTTAATTGTTACAATTGAAGCTCACACGTTCATGGTGAAAATGGTTAACTTTTTATTGTCTTGATGTTTACAACTATCATAATGGATAATCATAATTACTGTTATATTTTGTGATTTAATATTCATGGTCACTAACAATTGACACAATCGAAAGTTGGTCTAATTAACTTACACACACCTTGACAAACAATTAAATTTCTCATCAAAATTTGAGTAAAGTTTTACTTTTACTGTTCTCATTTTGATGGTGAAATTTTGATTCCTTAATTGTTGATTGTTTGTTTACAATAATTGTTTCCATCAACAGCAATTAATTCAAATGGTTGACGATAAAAATGATCATTTCAATTTTCAATTGAGATGAAGAAAAAAAAGTCATAATAATTGATGATAATTAATTAGAAAGAAATTAGAAAATCTCTTTTAAACAATCACGTTTTTGCTCCACAATTGTGATAAGTAACAATTAGTATTATTATTGATGATTAGGGGTCAATCTAAATTAACCAAAAATCTTAACTAACCCAATAATCAACAGCATCAATTGGATGATGATTTTATCAATGAAATTTTGTAAATACAATTAAAGGGTTAGATTGATAATTAGATGATTAAAAGTAGGAGGTTTATCATACTCATCACTTTAATCATGATTCGTATCAACAACAATTTAAGTATAATCAATGTGTATACATATTGATTACACGTGACTAACTGATATTATCTCCATCATGGTGAATCAAATTGTTGATCATGTTGATTTTTTCTTTCATGAACAATTAAGATTTAGATTACCTATCAAAGTATCAAATCTACTAATTTAGTTAGTTGATATCAAAAGCAAATTAACTCATTCTTATTATGTTGATGAATCGTGTAAATTGTTCATCGGCTGAATATCTCTCTCTCTCTCTCTCTCTCTCTCTCTCTCTCATGTTATTCATTTTTGTCTAAATTGTTGGCACTTTTTTCTCTACTTTATCACAATTAAATCACGATTCCATCACAACAACGAAAAAAAATAATCGCAATTACCAAGATGAGGATGCGGATTCTAAATGAATGCCAACTTAATATAACCTTTAACCTTGGGAAGCAAAATACAGGAAAAGGTTAATATAATCAATTTTGATGGGCGATCAGTAATAATAATGATGATGATGATGATGGTTAATAACGGTCAGAATCTGATTAATGTCAACATGATGATAATCCTAATCATGAATTTGTCTTGATTTGTATTTGATATTTAGGTGACCTTAATAAACCGGAAATATATTTTCAATCCCCAAAAACAAGTGAGACAAGCCAATTGTGGATAATAAATTAAGCCCATCATTTGATTGATTAGTTGAGTGTGTGTTTGGAATCAATGAATTAACTTCAATCTCTCTACACCTTATATACAATTTACACTCGAAGATGAATGAATTTTTTTTCTTCTAAACTTTGAAGAGAAAAAGAGAAATGGTCAATGATTAAGAAGAGAGAATTTGATTTGTAAAAGTTAATCAGTTTTAATTTCTAACAATCAAATAACAATGTATTTCGATAATACGTTGAAAAGATCAAATATTTATTAACCTAATCGTGAATAAAATTAACAGTAAAAGGATGATAATGATTTTCGCGTGAATGGTCAAGTAAGAAACTAAGAAAATTGCCTGAGGGTAAATTATCAAGGAGGAGAAATTAATGTTTTCCAAAAAAGTGATCCCAATGCTAATCAATTAATCATTTGAAGGGTAACCAAGGGGTCAAAATGATGTTATTATAAACTAAAAGTATAACAACCTAATTGGAAAGATCAATGATCTATTTTAATCATTGATTTGATGAATTAGAGGAAAACTTTAAATTAGATTATATATATAAATTTATCTCTCGATTCTCAATTAGATTCCGTTATTTTTTTTTGTGAACTTGAAACTTGTCACACAAACAGAATAACAACTACAGATAAATTTTCTTAATTGTTTGGATTTACTGAAAGATTTTCGATAATAATTGAAGGTAATCAATGGAAAGTGATCTTCTCACAATCATGTTTCATGATAGAGAGAAAATGTCGGTTCTCATGGATTAAAGGTCATTAAGTGGACACTTTAAAAATCGGAAATGATTAACTAATGACAAAAACTTTTCTCGTCCATTAAGTTTGTGAAAATCAATTGGTCATCGGGATTTCACACAAATGATAATCATTTCATTCTGATAATAGTGTTGAGGTTTTTCATCCTGATGATACACTTTTCTCATCATGAACACACTTAATATGAGGTTGAATCTACTTTTGCCCGAAAGGCATCATTGGAACATGAAATATGCAAAAGATTTTCCTAAATTGTTGCTCATTTAACGTTGAATTTATATACTTTTTGAGTAAATATCTATAATTATATGTATTCAATGAATGAATAAAAGATAAACATGAAATATTAATCTAAGTTAATGAATAGATGAAAAGTTGATTGGGCTTTTTAAGAGATATAAACAAATTATATGCACATAAAATGGAATATCAATAAAAGAGAGTAGAACTTTTTTTTTCTCTTCTTCTTTTCATCAACTTTAACCAAAAATCTTCAATTGATTGGATTGATAAGGTGAACAAATTTAAGGAGAAAAATTCAAATGATGGGATATTAATAATAATCGAGAAGAAGAGAAAAAAGTATCGGCAAAGTAAAGGAAAAAAAGATGATGAGATGAATAGGAAAACAGAATAAAAAAGATGAGAATAATTGATGAAATTGATGTTTAATTGTTGAACCAGTTTCAACTGTTACCTGGTTTGATAAATTAGTTGATGGAATTGGTTGTAATTAAATTCACTGATAATTACAAATGAAGTAATTAGAATACAAAATTCAATCAGATGACTTGAATTTCATTTCAATGTTGAAGAAACATAAACAAAACTGTTGACATTTACACATGATTAGCTCTCTAATTTTTCAACCAATAGTTGACAGTTTCTATAACTGTGATTAATTAACTGAAGGATAATCTGTAACAATCATAAAAAAAGCTCATCCTTTAATTGTAATCAAATTGTTTCTCAATTTGATTGTGAAAGGAAAAGTTTGTCGTGAGTAAAGATAAAAAGGCGCCATTTTTGTAATGAAGAAAATTATAATTGAAAAGAGTTACTCTTTTGTCTCATAAGGAAATAGTTGAAAAGTAATTGTGTCTTTAATCATTTCGCGATTTACTTTAAATTAACGGTAAGTTACAACAAGTTTAATCCATTAATTATTAAAACAATTTGCTAATTGCCCTTGAAATTAAAAACGTAAAAACCTTAAACCTTTTCAAAGATTTTTGAATGTCCAGTTTACTTAACTTTTTGTTTATTTGTTTTTCTTAATGGTTGTGATATTAATTTCATGATAGTTATCGGAATGAGACACACCAAAAAAGGAGATATTTGTCAAGTTAATTGTTTGGAATGGAAAATTTTAATTACTCTTAAAAATAAGAACAATTTAAAAGAAGAATCTCTTTCTAATACCTTCGAGCCTTGAATGTGTATCTTTCGGACAGCCCAAAAGTAATATAACCTAAGGATGGATCATCATTAACGAAAGTTTATTTATATAAAAAGAAATCAAAATTCATTTCAACAATTAAGCAAAACAAAAAGTAAAGAAAAAGGAAAAATGGGTGAAAAAAACTGGACATTTGACCCAAAGGGCAATCTGGAAACCTCGAATACCCTGAGATTGAAAAGGTGAGGCAAAGCCAAGTGAAATTGAATATCAAAATTTTCTTGTATTTGTAACGGTTTTCACTCAAAAGCATTTGCTGTAAGTGATTTTCTATTATTATTTTCCCATTTCAATGATATCAAATTAATTGTTTGCATTGAGGTGATGATGGAACTTCATGTTTCCAGTTTATCTCACAATTTAAATGGTTCCTAACGATACCAAATAAGATGCTAACTATCATGTTAATCACTATTTTCATAAAACCAGAAAATTATCTCCTCTCAATGATTCTTACTTTCTATGGTCTCTTCTTGTTTATCAGGTTAATTATTAGTGACCAATCTTGATTAACTGCTCTGAGGAATGATAATGATGCCGATAATTACATTAACACTACTGACCCAAAGGCCGATATCTGTTGAGATGATTGACCGAATTTGAATAATCAAGATAATTTCATCAAATTTGTATCTCTGTCTAAATCTAAATTATCATTACTTAATTGATAATAGGATGTTTTTGGTAAGAAATTGTGACAATTTATCATGAAACTAATTAAATCAATTAGATTACAGAAATTCATTCACCTTTTTGTGTACTTTGTATTTGCTGGTTCATTAATTTCAATTGAAATTAGTTGATCATCAAACAGGCAAAATAGACTGAATTAATTAACCATTTACAGTTATTAATATATTAATACAATGCTAATAATTAACTATCAATAACCTTTAAAGTTAAATAGTATTTTCAACTGATTAACTTAATTAATATTCATTATTTACTATTATTCTAACCTGAGAATCTACAATTAACTCTTGAGAACATGAAATTCACATTAATGACAATTTAACTTTTCTTTTAAACTTATACAGTTGCTGTTCAATTAACTATCAACAATCAACGAGTATTGACTACAAATTAACTTTCACTTACTAACAATTATCTTTGGCTAATGTTAATTCATTTCTTACAATTTGAGCTAAAGCAAAACAATCAATGGATTGACACTGATAATGATTAGTTAATCACTCCCATGATATCATATGGATTTATATTAATAAATATAAGTTACAATCAGAAATCAATTTATATTAACTCCACTAAACCGAATCGTAAAGCTTTCACTTTACAATTAAATATCACAATTGTGATGTTGATAACAATCAAAAATGATTCTCTTTGATCATCTTGTATTGTTAATCTTTTAGATTTAGGTATTATTATCCCAACAATCAAGAGTAGAGCAAAAAACAGATCAAATTGTTGTTCATTTCAATCGTAAATGATTAAAATATTAACAAACTAATGATGATAATTTAATTCAATATAATTGTGATGTGTTGATTGGAAAAGTTTTATATCTAAGTATTAACAAGAAATCAGTATAATCATTATAACATCATCATCATCATCAGTTAATCATTATCATGATTAAAACACGCAAAGTTGATCAGATTAACTAGATAGATGAAATTTATTTTTGACCTAAATCATGAAACTTAATTCACTTTACTGGGAAACCTTGATTCTCATCGCAATTTATATATAAATTGAAACAATTTAATTTCATCAAATCAATTGTTTTATTTGTAAACTTACAATGTAAATCAAATCGCCTCTTTTTTTAGTAATAGATAATTGAATCAATCACAAATGATTAACTGATTGTTTGTTTTCATGGTTAACTGTTCAAGTTCATGTTCAGAATTTCATCTTATTAATATTTTTTTTTCTCAATTTCTAATGAAAAAATCAACTAGTTATCAACATCATCCTTAATTGTTATCCAAATTACCTGTGATTTAATTCAATTTATTTTCAATTTCTAATCATCAGTTGGTTAACCTTGATCACTTTTAAGGTCATGAGGTTTCTTTAGTCATTTATCTATGAGAATTAACTGTTTCCTTGATTAATTTAAATACTGATTATGGTGTTAAACTGATTATTATGATTTAAATTGTAAAATTAAATCAATTATAATATTAACCTTCACAAGACAATCACCTTAATCTTAACCGTCATTGATTAGTCTTATTTTAAATTGCTACCTATTGTGTTAATGATCAATGATTTTCAATCAAATTAACATTGTAAATCATGTAAACAATTAGATAACCTTGTTAATTGTTAGGTTTGATGATATCCAACAATTAACAAGCAAATGATCAGGCCAAACAAATCAATCCTCAACCAATCAACCTGTTGATTATGTTTATCAAATCATTTATGCCTTAATTGTTAATTTAGCAAAACAAAAGCTGCTGTTTAATCATTCACTTTGATTGTAATACAATTTAAAGTTGACAATCAGCTAATTATTACTTACATTGTAAACACAATTAAACTTGAACCAAACTGTCAAAGTCTAAAATAATTTGATTGATGAAAATCAAGTTAATTATTAAATTCATCTTCTCTTTTATTATCATTGGATGCAATTTGATTCTAATCTGATTTAACCTTGATCTGATCAAATTGATTAACTAAATCAATAACTAATCAACAAAAGTTTCTGTAAACTTTTTGTCCATTGATTGTTATGATTAATGAATGTTTAAATTGTTGAACGTTTAATGATTGGTAAATCAACTTGTCCAAGCTGATCAAGTTCACTCAATCAAATTGTAAATCACTTTGATTTGATTATATCGATAATGATTTAAATCAATTTGTTAAATAACAAAAAAAAACTCAATCATTAACAAGCAGAAAAATTGTCAATCTAATTGTTAATTTGATTTGATTTGTTTTCTAATCACTTTTCTTGGTTTTCTTTGATTGCACTTTGATTTAAAACGTTAATCAAATATCAATTTACAATTAAACTTTTATATTCATTACCGGGTCAATCAATGGACAATCAATTTAAATCATCATTAAACTTTCAATCTGATTGAAATGATCGATTTCATCGTTATTATCATTTAGTTAATTGTTTTTCTCAAATTGAATAAAATTCAAATTTAATTGTCAATAATTTAAGAAAAGGTTATCTACTGATTGAACAATTAACTTAACTGACCTAAAGACGAATTACAATTCATTAATTACCGTTTAAACAATCAATTGATTAACAGACAAGTTGGTTAATTGTTGCAGTGAAAAACTAAACATGATCACTTGAATATCTTTCACTTTTTAACCTTTTTTTTAATGATTAATTTTAATTAGATTTACTTTCACCTTTTAATTGTGATTAAAAGCTGATGAGTGCAATAAATCAATAGCAGATAATAAAACAAAGTTTAATTCAATTACAGCAAACAATTAAGTTTACTAATTAGTTAATTTGGTTTACCAATGATCCGCGATTTTTTTTTCCTGGAAAATTGTATCATCATAATTTAAGCTCATTAGTAGTATTGGTAAATATGGTTAATAACAATTAAATAGATCAACAATTAACTCTGTGATAATTGAAACTCTTTACCTGAGATTAGCAAAGTTAATTATTGTTAAATTGTTGGGTCATCACAATCATCATTAAACTTGATTAAGATGATGATCAAAGGTGAATCAGGTCATAAGGCTTAATCGTGATCCAACCAATTGTTTCAATTTGAATTAATTAATACTAAACAATTTAAATCAACTAGTTAGTTAGTTAATTTAAATCACAATACAACCTTTTTTGTAAACCCAACAACAATTAATGGTAAAAGTTTAAATTTTCATGATTAAATTAATCGCTCAAACCAAAATGACAATTTAACACAATTTTTGATTGTTGAAAACAATCAATAAATTGAGTAGTTAATTGTTGTTGATATTTACTATTACAAATGTGATCCTTTGATTGTGATTAAAACACAACAAAGTTTTTGAAGAGTTAATTTGATTTGTTAATTGTAAATCGAGTCCAAATTATTATTTTATAAGGAAAATGAATTAAATTTAATTAAACAGATTTAAATCTACTCATTATTAGTTAACTATGATCATCCAACTAATCACAATCAGACCTTAATTATTATCATTGGATCATCTTTGGTGTTCATTTTGTTAATCAACAATTAACAAACTATTCAACTGATTAAGTTAATTTCTTTTACTTATAAATAATCGTATCAAAGTTGATTTTGACAAGATGATTATCATATATGTTATTAACTTGATTGGTACCAACAATTAACAATTTGTCAGTCAAGGTTAATATGTTGTTGGAAACTTAATTAATCAAACTGATCAAAATTAACCATCAAATGATAATAATAAGAAATACAATATTAATCAACAGACACTTAATCTTATCAAAATTAATATTCACAAATTTAATTATGATAAAATACACACTTTCCAAATCCAATTAAGACTCGTACGTTTAAAGATAATCAACTAATTGTCAAGGGTAATAATTAAATATTACACCACATATTGATCAGTATACGACTCATCTATCAACAATTAGTTAACTATTATCATGATTTTACGTTTAATTTGCTTCGTGATTAAACTTTAATTTAAATGAAGAAAAAAAAAGTTACATCAGAAAAGTTTTAATTAAGGTCAATGAGTTGTATCATTAGTTAATTAATCATTTTAATCTCATCTTTTTAATCAAAATCTATTAATAACAATAACAATTCTGATAATATTCAACAATTAGAAAATTGATTTGATTGTTTTAATCAGTTGATTGTTAATGTCATTTACCCAATTAACTCAATCTAATACAAATGATACTCAAACTGTTTGTTTCCGATACGAATCAACAATCAACTGCTAAAATCTTAATCAAATCAAATTTGATTGTTATCATAATAGTTTTACAAACAATTTACCAAGCACAATAGCTAACCTGTTAATCATTAACTACAATTAGGATTGAATCTTTTGTTTGATTAAGATTGTTGTTCAATTCAATTCAACTTTTTGATTGCTCGCCATTAGATTAGTATCATCATCATCATCATCTTCATCATAATCATGATAATATATTAACTTTATGTTTAATCATAATCATAATCAGTAAATTGTTAGCAAATTAACGACGAAAAAATAAAAAAAAAACAACACAGAATCAAGGAAATAATTAAATTCATCCCAAACTGATTAATTAATTTCATTGAGCTATATCATTAATAAGCCTACAAGAAAATGGTTTAATATTTTATCATATTTCTTGATTGTTTACTAATTATCATGTTGATTAAGATGAATAATTTAATATTAGACTTAAAATTGGGTGATATCGTTAATTGTTTGGATAACATGATGAGGTCAAATATTAATGGTTAAGGTCAGATTGTAATTTAGCTTGATTATTGTTTTTATCTTGATTGTTGTTGCACTTATTGTAAATTGTTGGTTGATTGTTGATTTTTGTTGCATTATTATTATTATTGAAATGATAGTAATCGCCTGAAGCAATATAACCTTACCCTTATCCCTGACCATATATATATATTAATATATGTATGCCGATTATTATTATGATTAAATTGTTAATCAACAATAAACAATTTACTGTATCTTTTTGTTTCATAAGGTTTGGTAGAAGAAGAATCAAAATTTGTTTGTAACAATTTAAATTGTTGATATAAATAGTGTTTCATTCATTGTTTTGCCATGATTTTATTTACTATTTGATCTTCATCCATATAATCATGTTAATCCTCATTATCATCATCATTGAATTTTCATCATGATTCTTGGCTTGGATTAGACATATAATTCAACCAGGAACTGATGAGAATTGACCCAGAATTTTAGGTTAACCGGAAGCATTTGAAAATCATCATATTCATTGGTGACAATTAGAGGATGAGAGAGACTTGTCATCTCATCAATACGATACAATTAGAGGGGAAGGGAAGGTGGAAAGTGTTGGACAGGTAAAAGTGAAAACAATGATTACAATATGATCTCAACGATCTAAATGTTTACGTTTATCTCTCTCTCTCTCTCTCTCTCTCTCTCTCTCTCTCTCTCTTTTCATTCACGTAATTTGGTTAACAAATTAAAACGATTGTAATTAGTGTAATTTTCTGGTTCCATCGTTGATTGTTATCATGATTACAAGTTGATTAGCATGATGATAATGTAACAGATTAAAATGATAATAAGATTGTGAAAGAGATTCAAAGGATTCAAGTAGATTTGGATAAAGATTAATTAATGAATTTAAATGACGAAAAAAACAAAACAAAAACAATTTACGAAATTATGGAAAAACATATGATAATGATTTGAATATTTCTAAATTCAAAGATGATGAATAAAGAAGAGGAAAACGAAAAAGGAAAAAGATTTTTCCTTCTTTTCCGGTGAAAATTTCATCCGATATTATCACGATTTTCTGTTTCATCCTCATCATCTTTTTCTCAGCATCCTCATCACCAATAGATGTTACAACCATTACCTGTTTACCTGGTTAACCTTGAAAGTGGCTTATGAGGTAAAGTGAATGGTTTAAGTAAATATTAACTTCATCATCATCATCATCAGATGATGATGCAAAAGATGAGGATACAACCGTTAGTGGACCTAATGAGATGATCAAGTGGACGATGGGATGTAGGCAGTAAAAAATGAATTAACTTGATAGAAATGATGATGATAAGTAGTCATGTTTATCATCTTCTCTTTCTCCTAGAATTATCTTCATCATCATCACCATCTCATCAATGAAACAGGGTCAAGATTTATATTTCACCTTTTCCTTAACAACACTTCATTTTGATTCATTAGAATTAGAAATTAATAAATAATCATAATTGAAACAAACTTTTCTCTCTCTCTCATTTTGTTTCTTTGTTGATGTAAACACTTCCTTACTCTGTAGTTAATTAATTAGCTAATCTAAGCACCGTTAATTGTTACCTTAAGGAAATTAACTCTTGTATTATCATCATTATATATTAAATTGTCAACTAAATTGCTGATTGAATGTCAATGAAGTTTTGTTTGATTGTTTTGATCAGTTGAAAATGAAAAATTTTCTTACCTTTAAACTTGTTGATTGTTACAATTGAATCTTCAGCATAACACAATAATCCAAGTGAGGTAATTATGATTACAATTAGTAAGTTAGAGTTAATCAAATTCATTTGTCCTTTTAATTGTGATCTTCGTTGACGATTGTAATCTAATTGATAACAATTACTATCAACTTGATTCACTGATTTTTTATCATTATTGATACGATTTGATTTGTTATTAGTTTGGATTTTCATTGTTTTCTTATTACTACTATTGAGGTTTGTACAAAGTGGCACTTGATTAAATTGACCTTTACAATTAAGGTCTAATGAGCCAGAAAAATGGCTCATAATTAAAGTTCACAATAAACAGAGATGATTGTTTGATTGAATTGAATCTAATTTAATTTGCTAATTCACTTTTTCTTCAATGATAAATGTCACTAAGAAAATAACAACAATTAATATCCCGACAATAGTTCAATTTGTCATTAGAGAAAAATGATCAATTATATAATTAATCACGTTGTAATTGTGTTGAAAAGTAACATTTGATGATAACAATTAACAAAATAAAAAAACTTTTAAACAACTGATTCGAAGTCGTTTGAATGTTCAAAAGTTTCAACGATAAAATTTCATGTAATATGTTTACATGTATGAACATTTAAGATACACTACGAACGATAAGTTAACAACGATTTTGATGGTGGGGATGATGAAAGAAGACAAAAAGAAAGAGAGAAAAGTAAGAGAAGGAGTCGAACCTGATCTGGATGAAGACAGAGAAGATGAGTGCCGGTTTAAACTGCCCAATCTTTTCGTTCTCTTCTCTTTCTTTTTCATCCTCATCTTCATCCTCTACCTTGAATCTACCTGAGTCTCTCTCTCTCTCTCTCTCTCTCTCTCTCTCTCTCTCTCTTTCTTTCTTTCTTTTCTCTTGATGCTGTTAATCAACTTCATTTTGTAAGTTTAGTTAACCGTTAATAAGGTAACTATTGGCCCATCCTTTTGCCACCCCCTTTTTGCCTTTCTTTTTATCTTTCTTTTCTCTTCATCATCCTCATCATTTTGTCCTCATCCTCATCCTCATCTTAATCATCATTTTTATCACTCATTGATTTTATTTAATTTTAGGTCATCTTTTTGTAGTTAGTTTAATGATACTTTGATAATAACGATAAAATTTATTTTCTTCAAAATTAAATTGCATCAATAATACTAATCAATGATAATCTAATAATCATTAATTAACTAAATACAATTATCTAAACTGACATAATTTGGGGAAAAGATTTTTTAGTTTCTTCTAAACTTTAATTTAGTTAAATTTCCTGTTGATTGTTGACTAATTACTTCTCTTAGTTAAGTTTACTTAACACTTTATACACGATATTTAATTCTCATTTTGAACAATCAATTTAATCTATGAGATTGACAGTTCTCATAAAATCAAGGGAATTGAATCTAATTAAGTTTGACCATGAACCAGAACTTGATTCCATCTTCACTTTTAATTACGATTATTGGAAAGCAATTCCTAGGAACAATTTAAATTCAGACGTTAATTAGATACAATCGTGATAAGATTTTGGGAAAAATATTCATCAAACTCACAGAATCCATTGATTCTAGTAATTAATAAGATTATCCAGCTAATTAAAGTGAATCAAGAAAATCTTTTATATCGATTCGTTCAAATTAAAGTTTGGGCTTCAAGTTGATATCGTTAAATTTGTGTGAGTGTTGTAATTAAAAATATCGTAATTATGATAAAAATTTATCAACATGATTAAGAATTGATATTCAGGTTGGAGACAAGGAAAAATAAAGAAAACTTAATTTATCCAATAATTTATATTACAAGTCTGATGATTAACAGTAAGGAACATAATTGAATTAATCAGATTTACGAACGAACAAAAAAAAATAACAAAATTAAACAATTTCGTTTCTCTCAATTTAATCAACGTCACAATTTAATAATAACAATCACCTTCAAGGACATTTACTTTAAGATTTCAAGAAAACTTTAACTCATTGATTTCTAATCATTACAATTAATAATAATGAAAGCAATTCTCAGTTATTCTGATAAAATCGTTAATCGTTTTCTAATTTCGTAGTTGCTGTTACTCTGATCAGATAATCATTTAGATCGCTTAATTGTTTCATCCAAACGGTACATTGCATCTCTCTAAGGTAAACAATCACTTGATTACAAGAAAAAATGACCACTAATCGAATTAATTAACGTTGATTACAAATCGCTCATCTTAATTGTCGATTGATCGTTTTACACTTCGCCAGTGGCTCCATCTGTATGTAGAGAATACAAGTAAACTCTGTTGAGAAAAAATCTGAATAAGAAACGGGAAAAACTTTTAGTTTACTACGAAAATGTAAACGTACGAATTGTTTTTGTCTTTTCATATGTAAGGAGAGTGACAGATACTGAATACCACCGATATTTTCTTGATCTGATAAGTTAAATCTCGAATAATAAGTAAATTTTCTCGGTCCAATTTATTTTCTTCGATAAGTTAATTTGGAGAAGTGTGATGAAGATGATGGTCAAATTATCAATGGTTCACATGTAGATTGACGACTATGATGATTATTTGCCCATCTCGATGATTAATTACTTGAAATTAATCATTTCTCAGGCTCTGAAACTTTTTCAGTGAAATGGCAAAATTTCAAAAACAAACGATTATTATTAACCCGGTTTTTTTGAAAATCTGCATAACAATGTTGATAAATTCTCTTAATTGTGATTTTGAATATGATTAACTTAAACAATAAGTTTCTCTCTGAGTGATTCTCTTAATTGTATAAACTAATTTACAATTTAAACGCGAAATAAATTCTTAAGATGAGTTTTGCTTGTAAACAATATGTAGAACGTTTATTTCTTTAATCATCTAAAAGATGTCGCCACTGGTAGAATTGTTCATAATCTTCATTCGCTTAATTATTTTGTCTTGAAATTAATTGTGTAAATTAAAAAGTGACATTTATGATCAATCTCGGTATTAACTTGTTTCGAGATTGGTTCAGCTAAATGATTTTGATTGTGATTCCAATCGTTCAATCAGCTAGCCGAGTAAAATATTTGATCCAAATATTTTTTATTGACCATTTAAATATTAGTTACTCTCGAGATTTAAAAGGTTGATCATGAATTGATTGTTGAACTATTTGGTTGATTGTTTCTACTTTTTTAATTCAATTACTTTTCGTACTTTAAGTTTCGTCTGTCGTGGTTCCCATTGTGATGGTCAATTGATTATCCCTGGTCATTCTCGTGAGGGTTTTGTTTTGATCTTTCAACATGTCGACGTGTTCATTTTTCATTTCATTTCTGATGAGATGTTAAAAGGATTTAATGGAATCGTTCAATAATTGGAACAGGATTTTTGGTTAATTTGAATTAGTTAACTGAAAAAAAAGTTTATGTTTATCGGAGACATTGAACTGAAAACGTTTCTCCTCCATGAAAAATAGCGGAAAAGAGGAGCTAACGAAACAAAACTGGTTCGGAAACGGTTTTCTAAATACAAGATCATAAGAAAGAGTTAATTTTTATTTATAGAATTGGTTAACTAATTAAGGATTCTAATCAATTTTTAACGGTACTAAAGAGACACTTAAATGATTAATACCTGGAAAAGGAAATGTCATTGTCAATATTATTAATAATACGTTAAAGTTGAAAGTTAATCATCAACTGATCAAGGTGAATTTCCAATAATGTCAACATTATGATTCAATGAACTTTTCTAATGATTCTGGAAGTGAATTGAAATGCAAACCGGAAATTTCCGTTTCCAGATATCAAAGTGAAAGTTAGACTAGAATTCTATTGATTAGTTGTTTCCGATCAATTGATATTAACACCAAATCGACAACGATAACATTATAAATTTTTGAATGTAAAAGTCCATCGACACTTGAGTAAAGTAACTTTTTTCATCGGCTTTGAAAATTACAAGAAAAAGTTGAAGAGAGAGAGAGAGAGAGAGAGAGATGATGATTAAATCTTGAAATTCAGCCTCAATCCAGGGATCAATTTGATTTTGCCAAGTGAAAACTTCTAACACGATTTACCCTTAGGGCAAAGCTGAAGATAAATATTAACTGATCCTAATAGTCGTTCATGGGGAATTCCAAGAATATGTACCAAAGAATCTTGAAAATGAAATAATCTATCAGGTAATTGATCCTGTGTTCCATTATCTTTTCATTTCTAGTGAAATTGGTTAATGTACTTTGATTCTATTTAGTTAACAGCTAAATTGAATTGTTTGCCAATCAATTAAATCAATGAATAGTTGCTGGAAATTTGTTGCTCAAATCTGTGAAGACGATTGATCATCATATCAATGGAAATCGGAAATGTGACCATTGATTTTGTGAATATCGGTTAAGAAGCTGATTAAATCAGCAGTATAAGGAGAGAGAAACTCAATCACCGGGGAGCAGAATTGACTTTCATTGAGACAAATCAATTTTCAATTGTAAACAATACAAAATGAAGGTTTTCCATCCCATGGTTCAAATTATGCCGCAGCCCCAGGGGCATGAGATCTGGTTTGTTAAGCTTCCAACTGATCTTTAAATTGATTTTCAACTTGATACATATTATTAATTGATAATCAATAACATGTAATACAAATTAACTTTTGTCTTTTTCCCAGTTTATCAATCAGTTTCAATGGTCACTATCGTCCAACCCTTGTGACTATCTAGTTTTAACGATTGTTATCAAGGAGATTTAACCTTGAGAATTATATTTTCCATGTCTTTTAATTTAATATCCAATTATTATTACTCTTTCCATATTGATTCGTTATCGGTTTTCATCATCTTCCTTATGATTAAGAGAGAGAGAGAGAGATAAATTGACGATAGTAAAAGTAATCAGCCTTGAAGAATCATTGAAAATTAAACCATATCTGATAATCTGATGATTAAAGGAATCGCCAATACGAAGTGATAATAATCAACACACAATTCATTTTCTGATGCATAGCAATCAAATTTGACAAACGATTACAAGGTGGGCTTAATCATAATCACTCTAAATGATTAACAAAGCCCTTTAATCAAAGTCGATGTAAATTTAATTATCAAAAACCTACTACGTGCATTTTCATATACTTTTTGTTAATCATTTACTTTCAAACAATTCTAATAATAAAAAGTAATTTTTTTTATTCAGAATAAAATATTTAAATTACTATTACAATAAATTAATTGTAATAAAATTGTAAAAATAAAGAATCACTTTAGATAGACTGACAAATTGGCTTATGAAAATACTGTCACTAACTAATCTTGGTGTTAATTATTAATGATGGTTAATTAAATAATTTGAATAGTAGGATAGATTGATGATTAAACAGTTGTACTAATTGTTAAAGTGTAATGAAACCTAATTAAAGTAATTAGGGTTGATGAAGTTTTGTTGTTTTTGATTGATAGGAAAATTTGAGATGTTAAAATATTGAGATAATCATGTAATATGAATATAATAATTAATTGTCCAGTTTCTTTTCAATCAATTAACTTTTTTGATTGTTTAGATGATGATGGAAACAAATTAATGTTGAATATACCAAACAAATGGAAACATGTCTCCATTAGTGTAACTAAGACAACATAAGAGTACAAGTTTCGGGAGAAATTGTAATTAGTTGAGAAAAGGTAACCAATTGTACTTAATGCGATTATATTGATAAGAATATTAATCCAGTGGATAGTTGATTTTCTAAATCCACATCCTTGCATATTATTTTCCCCTGGAGCAGTTAGAATGTGATGAATAATTCGTACGATCACTTTGAGAGCATCAAACATGGGTAACATTGTATAAGGTTCTTTGGATTCTAATTCGTAGCCCATTGAATAAGCGGTGACAATTATGGAAGTGTAAACACCATGGAGAATGGCAGAAGATGAATCTTTTTTGGTTAATAATTTGAAGATCGGTGTGGATAAATCAACCATTCGAGCCCAGAAGATTAAATTGTGCAGGTACATGTAGTACATTTTGGTTAGAGGTGTTTCCACCGTGGCGGCTTCACCGTACATGACATATCTCCAGGGTGGGAAACAATAGACGAAAATAACAAAACCAGCCCAATAAGCACCAAACATGAGACCATTGAAAACGACTAACCAAGGGCGCAGGTTAAAGGGTAAACGGGTTGACATATAATTTGGAAGTAATTTGATCAAACAGCAAAGGTAAATAAGTATAAGGGTAAACACCATGGGTTGATTGTTGATCAAAGGGAAATCATCTGGTGAGGCTGCAGTGTCAAAGGGGATGGCTTTTGATCGTAAATCATTTCCATTAATAGATGAATCAATTGCTTGGGATAAATTGACAAATTTTCGACTCCATGGGTTGAGAACGGAAGAAGATGTTGAATTAATTGAATCAGCACAAATCATCATGACCATTTTGAACAGTTTTCTCTTTTTCTTTTGCAATCACAATCAACACTGGAACAATTTTAATCACTAATATGGAATAAGTTCAAAGAGGAAACCCAAATGCTGATGTGTCCAAATTGACCCAACAGCAGGACAAAGGGGAACCAAGAGTAAAGGAAATTAACTAAATTATTACTAGTCTAAATTTAAGGTAGAAAAATAATCAAATTAAACTTTGATTAAATGAGCAATTACAATCGAAATTTAGAGATTCGTACTAAAATTCACAGGATATTGTAACTTGGGGGTTTAGTTTGAATTTCATTAATATCAGAGTGATTAAAAATGGAAAAGGAGTTAGAAGAAAAGAGAAAATCCTAAAAGGTAAGGAAAGGGTCGAGAGAGAATGAGAGAGTCAACGATAATCATCATTTTTCATCATCATGAATTTACTCTCTCTCTCTCTCTCTCTCTCTCTCTCTCTCTCTCTCTCTCTCTTACTCTTACTATCTGGTTCAGTTTGATTGCAACATTTTCTACCCCGAGGCAACATTGGAGAAGATATTGAAGAAGGAGGGAAAATTGGAGGTGAATGCAAATAAATTAAAGAAACATAGGGATAGTTAAAGAAAAGCAATCAACTGATAAACACCATAGATAATCAGAGAGATAGAGTGAGAGAGTCACATTGATATTATTAATAATAATTTCCCCAAGGATCAAGAGAAATCTAAGTCCCAAGTCATGCAAATGTCCAAAATGATTCGTTTCATCGTTAGTTAATCATTTGTTTATATTTCTTTAAGTCCATCTTAATAATTTCCAACCACGACCTAATCAGCATCTAAAGAAAAAAAATAACATAAAGGTAGATTAAATTATCATAACAATTATTGACTATTTAATTAATGCAATTAATGAAATCAAACCTTGAAATTTTCAGTTACATTTTAATGATGATCAACGTTGAAGTAAATAAGAGCAATAAATGTTAATTATTAAAAAGAGCTTGATAGTTACAGTTAAGTAAATAATAGTAGCTCTGGCTATGAATTAATGGTGAATCAAAAGTGATTACCATTGATCAAAATTAGAGTGAAGGTGTTTTACTAATCAGGATAATCACGGGGTTATTTTTATCAATTTAAAATGATTAGTAAATAATTTGTATTACTTACGATTAAATGTTGTTATAAACGATTAGTTGATTGGTTGATTAGTAAATTACTTCCCTGAGGCTTTTCATTAACTTGATTAAACTATTAAATCAAATGTAAATATTACAAATATTCATTCATTCAACTGGACATTAATTGTTGACTGTAATTTCGCAATCCACTAAGTCCAATCGATTCCACCTTGATTACTATCAATAGACATCTAATTAAGGTAAAAATAAATACATTTCAATCATTCATTAGGATTACGATCAATTTGTCTTGGAAAACATTTGGGAACAAATTGAAGAAATTGACAGATTAATCTTGGATTAGTGTCTCTTTTCATTTGCATGTGATAAATACTCTTTGTGAATAACAATTGTTAACAAGTCTCAAGAGTCAAGTTTAATCCATTGGATTAAGCTTTTCAAACTGTAATCCATAAGATCAGCTCGGTTATTAGAGTATGATGACTTTGCCATGAAATGATGTTCAAATCTTGTTAATTTGCTTCACTTTGATTACCCGACAGTTAACTGTCATTCTTGCTACTTACCAATTACAGGAAATAAAACTGGAATCAATCTATTATTTCCTTTGAGATGATTACAATCAGAAAGGAAATGACGTTAAATCATAACAAACATAGATGATTATTATTCACAATTATGCAAACAATTGATGATGATCAACATCCTTTAATCAGTATCCAAAATCGTCTCTCTATTGTCGTCGTTTTTTTCCTTCCTTGGATAGGGTGAAAGTTGATGATGTAAACTAAATGAGAACAATTAATAAGATTATTCTAAACTAATCTGGTTAAATTGTGACAAAAAGTAAAAGAGAAATAAACAAACAACGAAAGATGAATCTAAGACTTTCCTCTTACCTTTAACTAATCCAAAAGCTTCTGTTGACACAATCCAATACAATAATTAATCCCAATTCTCTCAAAGAATCTCTCCATCTCTTTCTCTATCTATCTTCCCACTGAATTACAATTCAACAACCATCATCATCATCATCGTCATCGTCATGTCATTGTCATTGTCATTCTTATTGTTATCATCGAAAATGATAAAAACATAACTCCACTTGATTCCAGGTCACAATTGTTACAATCATTTCCCATTACCTGTTGGTCACAAAACAAAACAAAAAAATGTTACACAACTAATTGTTATCCGGTTAGACTATCTTCCCAAATGTCCTAATAAATTATATCCCAAATGTTAATAACACAATAACCAATTCTAATCATTGTTAATAGTTGATCATCATCATCACCAATATATTTAAATGGATGAAAGAGAAGAAGAAGAAGAAAAAAAACCAAACGCACCAAAACGGAAATAACACCAAGAACAAGTTCAATAGCTTCTCACAGGATTCACAATCTAAAATTCACCGTAACAAGTAAGTGAGAAGACGTTGATGGAAAACATAATCATTAAGGATCTTCTCGCTATCGGAATAGGTCAAAAGATCAATTTATCACACGCCGATAGACTCACAGGTAATAAAATAATATTCACCGAAAAGAAAATAAAAAAAAAGAATAACCAATAAAAAGATTTCTAATAATCATTAAGAATTTAATGTGTTGACGATTAAATTATTTTTCTTCAGTTGGAAAAACATGGCGACCAAAAGAGAACAAAAAATTTAGAAAAGAACAAAAAAAAAGAACCGGGAAAATTGTTTTTCTTTTCCATGTCTAGTCGGTTGGACTATTAATGACTTTTGATGTTCATCTTTAATTAATTTCTTTTTCTTTGTGTTGGTGTTGATTTTTTTCTTTTTGCTCTTTATGTCACGTTGATGGGAAGAGAATCAATTTGTCTGGTAATCGTTTAATTGTCGAGGAAAATTTTGACGGTGGAAAAATAATTTGTCTCCATGGTGGGTGAGTTTCATTTTCTTCTCGTTATTTTTCATTTCTATTCTTTGTCTCAATCGTTTCAATTCTTATGGTTGAACTTTTACCTCTCTCATGGAAGTTGAAACGTTTTTTTTTGCTGTGACCCAATTAGACGATGATATTTCATGATGGATTTTAACAACAATTAGATTATCTACATTATGATAATCAACAACAATTCGAAAGGAAAAATGAGGCGTTAACGTGATTTACTGTATTCATTTGAAGAATCTCTGCTTTCATCATTCTCTATCTTTTTCTCTTTCTCTCAATGTTTCTCTCTCTCTCTCAACATTATCAATATCATCTCTACTTTTGCTTATTTCATCTTTCTTTTACTCTGTCTTTTTCTCTTTCTATGCTTTGTATGTTCTTTTTTCATGTTCTCTTCCTCTCTCTCTCTCTATTTTAGGTAATGAAAGTCAACCGGTTAACTGAACGACGACCTTCACTCGATTCCATCTTCATCATTTGGAGCTTTCATCTTCATGTGTTTGGGTCAGTCAGTAACCTTTAGGTATCATCATCATGGTGATGATCGATTCTGATTGGTAACAATTCTACATTTATTGATGAGAGAGGCTTATCAACACTAATTCAACTGTAACATTACTTTGCTCTCTCTCTTTTTTTCTTTCTCTCTCTCTCTCCTTTCATCTGTGTTTTCGTGTAAATTCATCATATCAAAATCAGTCAACTTACATCAGGCGAACGGTAAATAATCACCAATTAAATCAACAAGTGAGAAAAAGAAGGGAAAATGTAATTCAATCATCATAACAATGTTTTTCTAAGTCTTTATAATCTTATCTTCTCATCAAGATGAATCAATTACTAATTATTATTACCGATTCTCTTCTTTCATCTCATTCTTTTTCTCCTAATTGTCTTTTATTCAACAATATCTTTAGTGTTACCAATTTACCATCTCTCATGTAATTACCTTTACCATGATATTTATCTTAATTTCTACCTTTGTTGCCAAAATCAACATGAAACGAAAGGACAATTACTGTTATTTTCACCTGTTGAACCATTTTTAATTAGTGATTGACCCTCTCAAATTAAAATCTTTTGTGTGTTTACCATCACCAATTCACTCTCTCTCTCTTTCCTACTCTTTATTATTCTGTCTTCAAGGTTCTACTATTGTCAACCATAGTTTTAACCGCCAACATTTGATGTCATGGAACAAGTTTATGTTATTAAATTGAAAGAACTACCTCAACCTCCTCCACCACCTTCACCAAGGAATTCAAATGAACAAACTATCAATGGAATTAAAGTTAATTCCCCATTTGAAGGTAAAGATCTTAATCGTCAATCGTTATTTGGTTTCTCTGTGTTCCAGTTAGTTCTTGGATTTTTATCAATTATCTTTGCGATACTTGGTGCTTACAAAGATTGGACACATGCATTCGGTGTTTGTACTGGAATTTTTTACATTCTCACATCAATGGCAGGTATTCTTATCTCCGAAGGTCCATTATCATTACCATTAGAACAACCAACACCAACACCATCAACTTCACTTTCATGGACCAGTTTCTCTAGATCATCAACCTTCCTATGGATTACCTTAGCTGGACAGTTTGTCATCTTAATCATTTCAACTCTTTTCACATGGTTAACCATGTTTGGTATCATTTGCACTCTCAATTCAACCATAAATCTCCAAATTTCTCTAATATTTGCAAATGGTCTTCAATTTATATTTTCGTTGTTCTCTTCTTTTACTATTTGCCGTATCCTTAATCCAGACTTTCTCATCGATTATCTACCAAGTTGGCCTGATAAGCCCAAAGTTTCCTCTAAAGTAATCGTTCAAACCTCCATCTATCCAAGAGTTTTGAAAAATGGTGACTTCTCACGTCTTCTGGGTCCTAATTGTCTTGTCTCTTTGGTCCCACCAAGTAACAACCATAACAATAGACGATTAAACGCAATAACTAATGCTAGTCCAGAAGGTCCTCGAATGGTAGATCAATCAACGGAAACTGATGAACAATTTGAGGATATTAACGCTCATGTCCTATCATCAACACCAAAATACTTTTCAAGATCACCATCGACAATTTCATCAATCTCTACCACCTCAATGGGATCGTCTCATTATGTACCTTCACCAGAAAAGGAGCAATTACCAGTTTTAGGTTCATCTCCAACCATTGAACCGACAATTGAAATTGAACAAGAACAACAATCAACAACAAGTGAATCTGCAGTTACAGAAGAACCAATTGTTTCTACAATTGTTCAGGCAAACGTTGAAATTGAATCATCTCCAGAGCCAGAGAAAGAAAATATTACAAGCTCCACATTATCTTCAGATTCACCAGAATCAGATCAAGACTCTTATTCAAATACAGAATGTAATAGAAATGATCAAATGGACTGTAAACCATTACAACAAAGTCAACACCCTCATCAAATTACAACCACAACTACCACTGCAATCCACTGAATATTTGGTTCATATAAAGGAAATAGATCTGGTTACCTCAGAGATAATCTCAATAATCTCATGCAAACGAGATTGATCAAGAATAGGATGACCCAAGTATGGAAATTACAGCTGAAGGAAACTTTAAGTAGCAAAAAACAAAACCTCCCCTGTGACAATGATTAAAAAAACAAAGTTTTACCTGATTTGGAATTGTCAATTCATCGAAAACCTTGATTACCGAATCATGGTTATTACTGAAGAAGAAAAAATCATTGATAGAACATTGTAAAAAAACCACAAGGATCATCATCTTCATCTTCATCATCATCATCGACCGCCATCATTAAATGTACATAATGTTTTCGTTCTTTGCCCTAGAAGAAGGAAAAAAAACACTCCAAGAGGAATTACCAATAGGAAGAAGACAAAAAGCAGCTCAATATCTTCCAGCATAATCAATGAAAGATTTGTTAATTCTTTCAACTAATTACTAAAACAAAAGTTCAACTATTTGATTCGTTGGCCTCTTCTAAAGTCTATAAATATACAATTATCTTATCACTACAATTAACATTTTATTTAACGAAAAAGAAAACATCATTAACCTTCATCATCCCGATAACCCAAATTGATCAATAATGTTATCTTAAATCATCATCATCATCGTCACAATTAATCATCTCAATTAACTTTTCTATTAAGTCTGTGATCACAAAGAAAAAGAAACTTTTTCTTGGCAATATTCATGTTATTGGTTTTACATTTAAATCCCAATGACGATTGGTATATATGCTAATTAAAAACGCATTTACAATTAACAACAACCACCGAGATACCGATGAAAAAAAGTATCTAATTGTAATCAGTGTACGATAATAATAATTTATTATTATATTTCTCAATTAACATATTGTAACTCAATAACTCAATAACCTTGTCTCTCTCTCTCATACGATTTGAGCTTTTCCTCAACTCTAATCATCAACAATTTACCAACAGTTAATTAGATTCATAATTTGATGTTGAAAAAAAAATTGTCATAAATTATGATTCAGTTTAATTTGATTTTCATACAATCGATGATAATATTGATTAAAATAACTGTTAACTGTATTATTATTATTTAAAGAAAATCAGATCAAAAGGATTCCAATCAGAAATGGTGTCAACCCATCATGAAGATGATCAAATTAACAACAATTTAAATGATTATCATTTCTTTAATCTTGATACCTGTTAAATTGAACCATCAACAATCAGAGATGAATTGATTTAACTTTTTTAATTTAGAAACATTTACAACCGCCCGCTAATTGTGTTATTGATTAGATGATCAAAATCCCACAATTGAGCATATCCAATCCTGTTTATCACAATGGGAATCATTTAATTTAATTTCAACAATTAAACCAAAGATTGTGGTGTGTTTCAAATCGTGGAAATGGTTGACAATTAAGATTATTATCAACCGAAACAATTAAATGAAAAATTTTCTGTGAGATTGTTTAATTAACTCTCATTAGATTATGATGATGAAACAACAATTAACTTATTATAATATTGATAATTGAAATTAAAAGTATTGAATAGAAATCAAATTAAACTTTTCTTTTTCTATTACAATTAAAAATTAGATCATTAACTTGATTATATTAATCAAATTGATTAATCGTGTGAACTTGTTGATCAAATTTATCCACAATTTAACAATAATTAACTGATGATGATTAACTTGATTGGCTTATTGATATATTTAGGTCAGTCTTAAATTGTAGTTAGTTAATTTAATGTTATAAGAAATTTAAATTGCCAATAATCATTTGATAATCTCAATAACATTGATTAACTAATCAACTGATTTTGACCTTCAAAAAAAAGGTTCATCAATGATTTATAATTTAAATCATGATTAGTCTAATTCTGGCCTTGATTATTTATTTGACATTTTGCTGCAATTAATTTTAATCACAACCAAATCATAACAATTTAAATGGTTAATCAGTTACAAGAAGCTATTTATAGCTAATTGTGATTTACTAAATCAACACGGATCTTGAAAGTTTAGATTAACATAATCATAACCATAAATTGTTGTCAATTTAAATGTGATTTATGTAAAATAATCAACTGATTGTTATTGATTTTATTGATAAAAAAGTGTAATTTACTAATTGTTTGATTTATTATAAGAAATTTATTTTAATTTTGTTTTTCTAAATATAACAATGAACTGAACAATTAGGATGATTGTTACAATTTAGATTTGATTGTTTTAATCAAGTAACAGTTTAGAGATAATCAATTTGGACTTGTGATGATGGTGATTAATTAATTGTAGTTATACTAATTTAATAGATAATTGTGATCATCAGGATTGATTTTAATTACAATCTAATCTAGAAAAATTAAACATTAGGAAAAAAAATGAAAAGCAAAAAAACCTTGACAATTAACTTGACTGTTTAATTGTAATTTAGTTAAATGCTTGTAAAATTTGTTGATTATTGTTGATTAAATTGTTTACGTTGATTTTTGATTGCTAAAAATTAATTAATTGTGACAAAGAAGCGAAAAATAAACAACTAATTACAAGTTTTAACTTGAAGGTTAATTTTTTATTAGATTCAACATATTGACTGAGCATCGGTAATTAATTATAATAATTAAAGTTAATTGTTAAAATGTAAATTATAAACTCCATGTAAATATTATCATTTAAAAGTTTTAAATCAATTAACTATGAAAATTAGGAGTCAATTGTTGATCAAGTGTATCAATAATAAAGTAATTGTTTGTATATAATGATTGAGTGTTCATTTTAAAAATGTAACGCAGCAATTAAGATGATTGTGATTGAAATTGTCCAATCAATCATATAGCTAATGATACCATGTTAGTTAATTGTTTGGATGATATTAATGATTATAAACCAATAGAGATCATATTTTGATTATTAACTTAATTTTCTTCTAAATCTCTTTTCGGCTGGTTAATTAAAGGTGGAACCAATTAAAGGATTTTTACACAATCATCGTTATGGAAAAACTAATTCGTCCAAAATCAAATCGAGCCTCTCATCTAAATCCAATCGAAGTCCAGTTTTCGAGTTCCTCAATTGTCCAAATCAAGATGACTAAGTTTTTTTTTGTTCGATGTACAAAGAATCAACAACAACAACAACGACATTTCCAATAAAATGTGATCTGATCTTTGAAAGTTAATAAAACATCAATTTAATTGAAAAGATTCTGTGCTGATTTGGTGCAGATGATTAACACCGAATATTAAAACTTTGAGTTAATTAACAATTATACAGTCAAAGAGAACGGGAAACAATTATACTATTAGTTATGTGGACAACGCCAGAGAAAAGAAGGCAAAGAGAAGAAAAGAGAAAAGAGAAAAGCGTTAAACACATAATCGAATATGAGGTCATGATAGAATCAATTAAATCGAATCGAATAAAAACTTAACGGTAAACGAGATTAATCTGAAATTTCTATTCAAGTGATCGAGCAAATTTTTTCTTGAGATCATTTTGTTCATCCCCTTTAGCGGAATAAAGGTGACAATTGTAAGGAGCTTCATCTTCACCATTTCGACAGTCCCTTCGTCCATCACAGACATGATAAGAGTCCATGCAAAGTCCAGTGTCACTGCATCTGTAATATTCGGGGAAGGGACAAACCGATTCACAGCCGAATTCATCTGAAGCATCGTAACAATCAGGAGTACCATCGCAAACATGAGAGTAAGAGATACAATCAGCGTAATCACAACGATAACAGCGGCCATTTTGTCGTGCCAACGGAGATGCGGCTTCAATCATGACTACTAAGAGAAAGTAACAACAATGGTAAACAATAATTAGCAAGATTGCAATTAAATTGGTTATTCACTATTCGGATTAAATTGTTGTTGTTTTTTTTTCTCTTCTCTATTTTAAATTTTCTTTTAGATTTCATCTTGAGGACTTTAATTGTTGTGGATAAACAATTTCATTGAGAATTAGGATCCATGTTTACTTACCAAGTGAAGCAATTGAAATAACGACAAGAATCAAAGTCTTCATTTTGTTTGATGAATTTTTCGAGTTTTTTTTGGCTGATTGACTGATTCGAGACACAATTTAAAATTGTTAACACACTGTTGTTGTTGATCAACTGCTGGCGATCCTGATGAAATGATGATGATAATCAGATGATTTGATTTGCTGTCTTTTTATATAACTAGGAAATTAATTAATTGGGAGCAATTGAAAGAGGGAGCAGAAAATGAAGTCATCTTCATCCGAATCAAAAAGGGAAACTGTGTTTATTATAATCGGAAATAATTCATAATAATACATAATAATACATAATATGGAGGACGACAATTTAATAATTAATTAATAATTAATGAAGATGATGGTTTTCACCATGATGAAGAACCAGTTGAAGGTAGGATAAAGATGGAGGTGGTAGTTAGACCAGATCGAGCCGGTCCGTTGATGTTTGATCCATAAGTTTGGCCTGGAAAAGGATGATAACAATTAGGATGAACAATCAGAGAAATAACCTAATTGTGATTATATTTTCCCCTCGACAACAATTTTAATTAGAACCAACAAATTTACAATTAACTAATCAATGATGACCTGATACTCTAACTGATTAACTTCTAATTGATTGAATTCAACAATTTATGAAGTTCTGATCTGATAAGTAATAGTTTTCGAGAAAACCGAGCTCGAAGTTGAAACTTCAGGTCGCTCTTTCTACGATGCACTTTCGGATCATGAAATTTTTTTTCTATCGCCAACTTTTCATGCCCGCACAGAAAATCAAAGTTTTGGTGAAAAAAAATGCAAAGTGCTCCGGCTATAGTTCCGTTGTATTTAAATAAATGGACCGCGATTAGTCCCAAGACGAGAATGATCTGCAACTTATTTTTGAGACTATCCTATCCCACATTGTTGATCGAGCACTTTTTCCATTTAGCCAACAGTTTTGCCGAAATGACAGCGGCCTTTGATCTTCGAACGCTAATATATCCAAAACTACAATACCTAGAGATGTCTGAATAAGTCAAATCATCGTCATTTGAAAATTCATTTCGAAAACTACTCATCAGATCAGAAAAAATAAATATATTTTGACTTGATATTCGTGGCCCTACAAATACACAAAGTCTCAACTCTTAACTCAAAAGTCAATTTTCTGCCCATTGTCCTTTCACTTCTTCTCATTTAAATCTAAGTGCTAACTTACAGTAACTCATTGGAATTTTTGGAATATAAAATTTTCGAAAATTGAACATAAAATATCAAAAAGTGCAATTAGGTGATTATTACTATTGTATAATCTATGCTAAACACTAGTATCTATCGTTATTGATCTCAATTTTTTGCACAACTTTCCGAGAAAAGTTAGTTCTCAGTTAAGTGACTGCTCGATTTGCGTAAATTTCATGTTTTTTTGTCCGATAACTTTGTAACGATGTGTGTCGGTGTAACGATCAAATATTATTCGTTGGCCTCCTTTGGAGCCTCGAGGCACTTACCATGTATGTTGAAAAATATTTTCAAAGATGGATACATAACTCACAAGTCTAGTGTTTAATTTGTTACTAAAATTATTAGGTTTGAATGAGAGATAAAGTTACAGGGTATTTAAAAAAAACAAGGTGTTATTTGTCACCCAGTAATTCATTTGATTGTTTTGGCGGGAATCAGTTTCATCAGAATCTAATTATGAGTAGGTCACCTCAAGATGACCTTTAATAAATTCTGATTCTGGTTTCACCTTGTCATCATTATCAGCGTTGATTATCATTATTGTTCCCGTTAAATTTTCAAACTGAATTAACTTTTCCAACGTGACTTTGAATTCAGTAATTAACTTATTAATTAATCCTCTTTCCTTTTTCCTGAGTTAATATTGATCATTTTTTTTTGTTTGTAATCATTTCTAATTAGTAACAATTATTAATTATATTAACTGAAGGTAAACAATGATTAAAAGGGAGGGGAAATGATGTGATTAGATCGTAATTAGTTAAATGCATTGGTGAATGTCCGATGAAGGAAATTGATTATAGTTGATTAATTAACTTTTCCCTTTGATTGTGCTTTTTAAGCCTTCGATTCTCGAGAGGAAACTAACGATTCTAAATTAAGAGCTGATGTTTTAATTGTTTCATCGTAGGTGGGAGGTTGTTCAGATTCTGCTTCGATTATCTGATCAGTTTTAACTTCCTCGGTGGTAGATCCATTGGCTTCGGCTTCTTTGCTTTGTTTCGAACTGTTTAATATAAAGAAAGGTGATGTTCCGCTCGGGTCACTTTTCTCTTGATCATTGGTCTCGATTTCTGTTGGTGGGGTCAGATTGTCTTTATTGCGTCCATCGGCTGTCCAGCAAAGGGCTTCGCTGAAGGTTACGATGGAAAGAACCACAATGGCCAATAAAAGAGCCATTAATAGTCGAAGATCTTTGAAAACGGTTGAACTTTTATCGCTGACCCATCGAGTGAATGTTTGACTCTGGTCAGTTTGATAATTATGGGACAATGGAGAGACAATTGATGATGATGATGATGTGGAGGAGGAAATTTTGATCGGTTTATTTAGATGGGATGAAGATGAAGATGAGGAAGGTGATGACGATGGGAAAGCGATTACTCGGAATGTACCTGAAGTTTTTTCAAGAAAAGAATGCAAAAAAAAATAACAGATTAGATTATATTATTAATAATATCCAATAATAAGACTGATTAGAAGTTAGGTTAATTAGTTGTTATCATGTTTGTTAATTACTTTGTTCGTGAATTGGATTGATTGACAGACTGGAGTGTGAAAGACTTGACGATGTTGGATCGATTGTGAGATGAGGTCGAGCTCGTACAAGGAAAATTTGTCGACCATTTGAACTGTCACCAAATAGTAAAGTGTAACTTGATCGAGATTTAATCCAGTTAGATGATGAGCTTAATTGATCAGTTAATTGTTTGTAAATATCATTGAAAAAGTGAAATGGCCAGATGAGTTCTCGATGTTGTGACTCGATAGTTTCTTCAAATGGTGATCTAGATTGAAATACAAAAAGAAAACAGAGAAAAATTAAAATTTCAATCAAATGTACAGTTAAATGATTAATTGATTATTATAATCAAATGAAAACAATCAACTTGGAATGAGGCAAATCATTAAGATTTGTCAAGAAAAAAATAATTAGCTAATGTTAACTAACTTTTATTTTCACTCAAGTGAGAAAGTTATTATTTTTTTTCATTGTAACAATTGAACGATGGAGGTGTTAATGGAGATAATCATGATTGAAATAGTATATTGATTAACTTGATTGAATTGATGATTATGATGAAATTGTGATGAAAAGAAATTGAAAATAATAGTAACGATAGAGATTCTCTATTCATTGAAGCGAACCTTAGATTTTAAATTCTTGAAAGTTAATTGTTGATTCTTGAATTAACCATGAGAGTCCGGTCAGTGAACTGTCCAACTAAATTAAACTGGAATAGTTTAAGTTTACACTTAAATTTGATTGTTAAACAATTGAAATTTAATCAATCAACTGAGTACAAGAACCAGATACATATAACAAGAATAGGAAAGAAAAACTTTTCCAACTAAACCAAATTAACTTGCTAATTTTATCATTCTAATCATTGTAACAATTAAAGTTTCAATTTGATTTATTTTTTTTCTCATCCTCTTTACTTACAATTACAATCAAATCATCTGATTGTAATCAAGTGAAAGTTAATCATATTGTCAAGTATAAATGTCAAACCTTTTTATTTTCATCTAATTGTATTTGTTAACATCTAAATAATAATAGTAAATATATTTGATTATTATTAATGTATTGATGGGTTAATTTGAAGTAAAATGAGACAATTGTTATTTGGTTAATTGTTACCATTAATAATAAGATGGGATGAATGATTAACGCCCAATGGTAACAATTACAATCACAGTGAACAAAAAAATAATGAGACTGACAAAATGATCAACAAATTAAATATTAAGTGTTTGATTGTTACACCAAAGCAAAGTGTATAATCAAATGTAATTGTGGTTTATTATTGATTTGATTGTTTGACTATTGGACAATCAAAACTAAAACGATCAATATAAACTAATAGAGAGGTGATGAATTATATAAATTGTGATCACAATAATATTAGTTAATTAAAATATATATTTTTGACCTTTTGCCAACATGTTAACTGTCAACTTGATGGTTAACATTTTCAATACAATTTAATTTAATTGTAACCACAATTTTACTATTGTTAAAAGTGCAACAAAGAAAATGAATCTCTGATTTCAGCTGATTGTTGATATTATGATTATAATTACATCCGAAGTGATTATTATCATAAAATTCATCATGAAATGATTCACAATGACAAGAAAATCTGAAGTTGAAATCTGAATCTATTCAGGATCATGTAAAGGCGTTAACATGACTGATGAATATGATATAAAAAAAAGTATGAAAAGTTCAACAAAATGTTAATTGTTATCAAATTATTAATAATTTGTCATAATCATCAGGATGACATAATAAATTTACCATGAATTTAACCAATTCTGTGAATTTTTTTTTCGCCAATCAATTTGATTGATCAATTCATTTTCTTATCATTAATATTTGAGAATTGATTTTGTCAGTTGATTGTTATTAAAAGGAAATCATTTAAATTGTCACCACAACTTAATTATTTACCATTTAAATTGAATTAATCATCTCTATTGTTAACTCAAAACGTTGATTGTTATAAATTGCGATCACAGATTAATCTTATAACCATAAACTCATTGTGTTTTTCTTGGTAATTGTTATTACATATCGATTGGATGGAGAAAAAGAAAACTAAATTAACAATTTAATCCGGTTGTGTGAAAACAATTAAACTGCAAACTTGATTTATTAACTAAATAGAAAAGCTTAATCATAGCAAGTGAATAATCAAAATAATAATAAACTAAGTCTCTTGTGATGATGAAATTAAATCACTAAGCTGATCCTAGATTGTAATCGTTAACTTGATGATAATGAAGAGAAGGAAAAAATAATGATTAATATTAATCATTAAGATTATATTTTTGATCATTTTGTTTCTTTCTGTTGACAATTTTTCATATTAACTGAATTAACTGGATAAGCTCAGGTTGACAGATTAAACTATCATTTCTTATAATTGATGATGTTTACATGGATTATGATGATGATGATGATGATGATAAATATACTGAAAATGATAAATTCTTACATTCCAAGATGGTGGATCCATTGTTCAGATGAATGAAGATGATGGTCAGTGTTACTTTGTCCACTCTTGGAACTGTTTATCATCTCAGTTGACTTTCTGCATCCACTTGAGCATGATTTTCTCAATTGTATCTCATTGTAAGTCTCATTACAAGCTGGAAAAGAGAGAGAGAGAGAGAGAAATGGACAAGAAGTGGACATTAGTATCTTATTATTATTGGACAAAAAGCATCAATTGATTATATTTCATAGAGTCAATCAAAAAGATTAGTGGACATGAAATTGATTCTGTATTGATTCATGTCCATTATGGTCATCCTTTCATATGGACAAACATGCAAACCAATTTTAATCTGAATAATTTACTACTGGACATTGTCCGAGATCATTAAATATTGACTAGATTGATTGTGATTCATTAAAATTCATCCTCTTCATAAACTTTACCCATTAATTGACATCAAGTGAACTCTTTTTTTTTCACTTGGACATTTGATTGTCACGAAACTTATTCAATGATAAAGTTAATCATTTGGTGCATTAATGAGTATACACACACGATTTAATATCTAATCATGATTTTTTATTGGAACTTTTTTTTGACTTCCAAATCTTATTAACTTGATAATCATGATCAACGTGAAATAATTTAATAGGCAAGAGTGTAATTCAATTAAATTGATTGTGATTAGGATTTGACTTGAAGAAAAGTTGAAATGACAAAATGTAATGACAAAATTTTGGTTCCAAAGTATTAGTTTAGTTGATTGTTGATCTGTATGTGAAAATTTACATGTAATCAACAATCAAATTAAATCATATTGAAATTACTTAATCAGGAAATAATTATACACAAATATTAAACGTGAAAGTTAATTACTTGGTAATTACTAATCAACAATAATGAACAAAAAAAACTCAGGATGGTTAAGGAAAACATACCAATTACAGAAATGAAAACGATTAATTAAATTACCTTATAAATTGGTTGAGATTTGATTGATTCTGATCAATTGAATTACAAGTTGAAATGAAAACATATACACAACAAAAGGATACAATCAACATGATGAAGATGTTCAGTTTCATGATATTATTCAGATTCATTGCTCATGATTTTTGTCTTGTTTTTGTTGTCATGATGGTGAACTTGATAGTTCAGGCAACTGAATTTACATGGTAAAGTAATAACCAGGAAAAAAAATGATTATTCAATCAGAATGAGAATCTGAAATTCAGATAACCTTGACTATGTAACTTACAGGGAAGTCCAAATGCTGTACTGTTGAAATACTGGCAACAATTGGATTGGCACATGATAATTTAAATCATCGGACTGATTAATCTTATTCAGTTAACAGTTAGGAATAGTTTACTGAATCAAATTTGATTGTATCAATGGTTTATGTTTATTATTTTATTTTTTTGATTGAGTAGAAACAAAAAATAAACAATAACAATAATAATGAGACTACAAGGATTGAAGATGCAATTATGTTTACACAATTAAGTTAATTGTGATTAGGATGATGATGATGATAATCACAATCTTTAACGATTAACCCAGATTAAGATATTTTTGGTTGTAAAAAATTAACTGATTGACAAAAATATATCAATAATAATTACTATTATTTACCGTTAAGTGTTATGGTTAAGGATAAGTGATAATAATTGTGATGATGAGTGAAATTGTTTGCAATAATTTAACAATTGCTAGAAATCATTGTTCTGATTATTTGTTTATTATTAATACAATCAAGTTGATCTTAATCTTAATCCATCAGCCAAACTCCTAACTCATCATTTGGCTAAATTGTTCAGATATAATTTGAGTTTGTTGATTAACTATTATGATGATGATGATGATGAAAATACTATTCAGTTGATTTGTATCAATACGATTTTGTTGATTTAATTTTGATTGTTGATGGTTGAAAAATTGTCTCTTCATCAAGACAACCTCTAAACAATTAAAGTTTAGCAAAACTATCTGATTTAACTGTTAACGAAAGTTAATCAAGTTTGAAAATCATTGTAATCAATCAATCGTGATGATTGGAAATTGTTACAGGAAAAAGTAATTAGAGACAAACCTTTTCTCAATTTAGTTGATTACGGAAAAAGAAGATGATAATGTTAATCATTTAGATGATTAAAGGTGTAGTAGTTGAAATGATTAACATGATATTTAATTTAATCATTTGTTTTATATCACAATAATAATACCATTTGATTAATCATTATTTAAACATTATCACATTTCACTTGGTGTAAGTGTATCAATAGTAACTCAATAATATTATAAACAATTAAGAAAATTATACAAAAACAATTAGTTAAATTGATTTTATACAATCTGGTTAATCAACTAGAATCAAAGTTTTATAATATGTAATTAAAAAAAAATGTGCTTCATTTAGTAATTTGATTGATTTCTAATTGTGATATATCAATATTGATATTGATATTATAATCGGATTAGTTAATTGTTTCCTGGGTCAAAGAGTAACAGTTAAGTTTTAATTTTTAAATCGTAATTGTTATGATCAGGTTAAAATAAGATTAATTGTCACTTTAATTGAGACATGTTTTGATGACAATCAATAGGTGATAATCATTAATTATGATAGTAAATTGTTAGGATTAAAAGTGATTAATTTGATAGGTTATTTTATAATATCAATTGCACTTTTAATGTGATAATCTTATTGAAAATGAATGGATCAGTTGAGACAATTAATCATGGACAATTAAGCAACAAAAAGTACAAACTAATGAATCTTTACCTTAATCATAATTAAATTAGTCAATAAGCTAATTGAAAATTGTTATTATTGTTTAATAAAAAAAAAGGTTAGAGGTCAACGAGAAAATAAATCATAATGATTAATATCAATGAGGTTTCAATGTATTAATTTGGATGATGATTTTTGTAGTTGTTACAAAATTTGAATTGGAAGTTAATTGTTATGCTGATGGTTAAGAGCATCTTCTTCAACCTTGTCTGTTAATTGTTTTCATTCATGTAAATCACTTATTGTAACAATTAACTTAATTTTCTAGATAAAAGGTTTCTTATTGTTCAATTGAAAAGAGTAACAAATTGGCCTGGAAATTTGTTTCTTCATTGTCTTGGAGTAAAATTGTCAATTTAAATCATGATTGTGATGAATAAAAGATGTGGATGATTATTGTATAATAGAGAAGATGATGAATTTAATTGTGGAAACAATTTAACGGAAGTTGAATGTTAATTAATCAGTTAAATTAACATGGACAATCATCAACTTACCAAGCAAATGAATCTCATTGTTATTGTTTTGCTTTTAAGGTCAATCTAATGTTTTTAATTTTCAATCAAAAAGTAACTATTATTAAATAATCAACAATTAAATTGTGACCTGAATAATTAAATTGTACAAATTAATTTTACACAATTAGAAACAATTGATAAAAGTTAATTGTGATTCTAATTCATACAATCCTCAATCCTTTTAACATTGACCTAAAAATGTATTGGTCATCATTTTGAATTATCAACAAGATGATTAATCTAATTAATCTCAATCAATTGTAGAGATACAAAATTTACTAATAATCTACAATTAAATAGTAATATTTATAATCATGAGCATTTGTCTACAGTTAAATTGCAATCAGTTTAATCATCTGAGAGTCTTGAAAATGTCAACAAGATATAATCAATTGGATGGATAAAATTTTGCAAATATTATGAATGAAAGTTAATTATTGTAAATAAATTGATTACTTACTAGTAATACATGATTTCTCAATTGCATCAAGAGATTGAGGTTTAGCAAGGATTTGGATTAGTGAAAAGAAACGACATCCTCGAGCACAAGAAGTCCAATCGTTGAGGGAATGATAATGGTCACCACAATAGGACGAGCAAGATGAATGGTCATCAAGTTGATGAACTGGATTCCCATGGACATTATTTAAACTGGTCAACAGAGTGAATAATAATAGTAACGTTAAGCCCAATGATCGGACTAATCCCTTTGGATTAACAATTGATGATTGATTTATCACTGGAACAGTTATCGAGGTGGAGATGGAGATGGTCATCATGAGAGATGATCAACTGTACTGGTCAATTATCAGTTACAATTGGATTTGGTTTTGTTTTGCAGAAAATTTCAAATGAAATGTGAAAACAAAAACAAAACAAAATGAGTTGAGTTGAGAGAGAAAATGGAAAACAATTAAGATGAAAATTAATCAACAATTTACAGAGCAAATTAATAGATGATTTAAATGAGATCAATGGAAAACATAGTTGATCGTTTAATGAAACATTCGAAACACACTCAATGTTCAATACGAATTTAATCCTAAGCTCTTATTCTTGTACAATATTATTGAGCTTCTCTGTTCTTCTTCTGATACAATTTTTTCATCTTCTTTTTCATCTTCTCTTTCTTTCTCTCTTTCTATTCAAAAATCACTCCCTTTCTTCTCTCTTCTCTTTCATGAAGACTCTTTTTCTCTCTCATTCAGGGTAACTGTTCACCCGATTCTGGTTTTCTATTCTTCTTTCTATCTCTTTCTTTTTCTTCTGTCTATTTTATCATTTTTTCTTCTGCCATCTATTGGCTTCAGAATAATCAAGAGAGAGATTCATGTTTGTAATATCGAGAAAATTAATTCATTTAATTTGATTTTCCATTCTAATTAAAGTCATGGAATTTACTATTTAACCTTTTTCTATCATGGTAACATGTTTACTTTTCATTGATTGTGTAAGATTAATTGTTTCCTAATCAGTTTGTTACATTATCTAATTACCCTGACAACCTTTAATTATTTGGTCATTTTTTTTTCAAATGAAAAATAGTCTAATAGTTATCGTTAAATTAATCTCATGTTCAAGGATTAATTTCACTTGTTGGTTTTGATTGTTGTTGTTGAAAAACAATAACATCAAGATTAGATTGTCTTTCTATTAGATGATAATAAATGGATTTCTGATTAACTTGCTAATTAAGGTGATTTGTCTTAACATTTTCCATCAAATATCCAAGCAAAATGTGACTAAGAAAATTCTTAATCTAAAATAAGATTACACCAATCAAAGTAATTACCATTTAAAAAAAGAAGTAAAAAAAATAGAAAACCGAAAACTGGTTATCACAATCTAATTAACTGGAAACACAATTTACACAATTATCAGCTGAATTCCATTGAAAATTCACCAGTAAAATACTCACCATGAAATAAATTAAATGACAATATGATAATCAAATTAATAGTCACAATTAAGAAGCAAAAACAATCACAATTTCAATTGAATGAAAATGTAAACAAAACCAAAAGAAAACATAGTTAATCCTTTCCAACGATTAAATGAGCTCATCACATTATCCCAAGTGTTAAACCGAGAATAGTACAAACTGTCAACAATTAGAAAGAAAAAGAAATTATTGGATTGATTAAATTTAATCGAGAATAGAAAAAGAAACAACAATTTAATTAATTAATTGGCATGCGAATGTTTCATTTCATGGGCAGCGCCTTAAAAGAATAGAAAATCACCACCAGGTGGCTGAGGTTTAAAGAGAAAATGTAAGAAAAATTATTTTGAAGAAGAGAGAAAATCATTTCCATTTGATTACAAAGAATTAAATTTGTCTTTTTTTCGGTTGATTTAATTTGTTATCATCTTTAATTAATTATTACTTGATTAGTAATTTATCCTAATTATTGTTGGAATTATTTTTTGTTTTCATTTTACGTGGTTAACGACTTGGTACCAAGTGTTTAGTAATGGCGACCCGTGGAGGTGTCCAAAGAGTGAATGGATCTACACAAGGAAAGATCTTTCAATATAAATTGGTACTTCTGGGAGAATCTGCTGTTGGTAAATCAAGCTTAGTATTACGTTTTGTTAAGGGTCAATTCCATGAGTATCAAGAAAGCACCATTGGAGGTAATAATGTTTATTTCTTTTCTTCGTATTTTCATAATTTTACTCCTACCCATCATCATCACCACCACCATCATCATCGTCAGTCTTTTTTTCTATTCTCTTTAAAATTCCCGTGACTTCTCTCTCCTTTCTTTTCTTTTTTTTATATTTCTTCACCATCTTTATAGCTCGTCTTTCATCCCTTTAAAATTATTCACTTGGCTTATTCCACTTTTCAATCATCTTTTTTTTTCTCTTCTTTGATCTCTTTCTTTTCTCTTTTTTGTCTCTCTTTTTAGTCTATCTACTCTCTCTCTCTTTACTGTTCTGTCTTTTTCATTTGCTACTCTCTTTTTAGTCACTTGCTATCTCCTTTTTCCATCTTTTCCTCTCTCTCCATCTCTTTCTGTCTTTTTTTCTTTCTGTCCATCTTTCTCTCTCTCTCTCTCTCTCTCTCTCTCTCTCTCTCTCTCTTTCCCATTCTCTTTCACCCCTTTGCCTTGTTTCTTCCTTATTTGTTTTGTATTGGACTCTTTCTTTTTATCTTTCTTCAACTCATTTCACAGTCTCTCCCATTTATATTTTCTAATTTTGTTTTTTTTCTCTCCTTTTCTCTCATATATTCTTTTTTTTATAGCGGCATTCCTAACACAAACCTTATGTCTGGATGATACAACTGTCAAATTTGAGATCTGGGACACTGCTGGTCAAGAAAGGTACCAAAGCTTAGCTCCTATGTATTATAGAGGTGCACAGGCAGCTATCGTTGTCTACGACATAACAAATCAGGTAAATTATCTTACACCTTGACTTTCACTCGACGATTGGTTCTGGTATCAACTTATCGTTACCACCATTGGAGATACAGGCTTAGGCTTTTACAGTCAACTGTCAAATTTCATTCACACTATACTAAATACTGTTCAACTCCACATACACACTCACTCGGTTATATTTATAGAGATAAACGCACACGTACCTACATAGAAAACGAGATAGAATGTAAAAAGGGGAGGTTAAAGAGCGAGATGATGCTGATAAGCGGAAAAAAAATCTCTCATCTAGTGTACTTTTCAATAGGATTAGAGAAAGAACTAACACCTTCTAACCTTGATTATTCTATGGAAGTCTTTTTGTTCTCTTTTGCTATGTGAGTGATTATGATAAACCCACCCACCTTTTAATACGTTTGCTATCAGGGGGGAGTTTAAAAAAAGAACATTTACTGTTCTTTGACTCTTTTTGATCGAGATTTGGAAAGAAAGAGAAACAAATAATAGAAAGGTAGTTATGGACTGACTTGCCCGCGTCAATGGTAAATTGAGATGTAAATGCGTTATTGATTTATCTCCTTGTTAGAAGAAAAAGCTCATTGGAAAATGTTGCTTCGTAATAATTCTGACAAATGACCTTAATGAAAAATATCCATCACCTAACCCTGTCAATTAGCTCATACGCATCATCATAACAATCATCAAATTGATTCAAATAATCAATTTTTATGATCTTCAATAGGCAATTATTGAGCCGCAAAATGATTAATGAAGGGTACAAATGCGTTTAGTTTTTACCTCAACCTTCCCTTCACTATTCATTCATCGAATGTTTTATTTTTATTCTTTTTTTCTCTCTCTTTCTCTATTTAAATGCTATACCATCTAATTTCTAGAGTTGTTGTTTTTGTTACTCATTAAATCTTATCTTTTCTTTTCTTCTCTCTTATCTTCCTTCTATCCTCCATCATCATCATCATCATCATCATACAACCATCACTACCATCATGATGATCTTCATCCTTGGTTCTTTGTTGACGACCATTACAATTGATTGATGCTTATTCATTGCCAAAAAAACACTTATAACATTATACACACTCTTGGACCTGATTCCTTTTTTTTATCCAATGATTATGACACATTATTTTTCCCTCTTCACCTAAATGATGTTTTACTTTTTTCCACCATTTCCGTTACTCTTATGATTGTTGCTGGGCAGGATACATTCAACCGAGCAAAGACGTGGGTTAAGGAACTGCAACGTCAAGCAAGCCCCAATATCGTGATAGCGTTGGCTGGTAACAAGTCTGATTTGGCTAGAAAGCGAGCCGTTGAGATGGAACAAGCTCAGGTCTATGCTGAAGAAAACAATCTTCTCTTTATGGAAACATCAGCCAAAACAGCTATGAATGTGAATGAAATCTTTTTGGAAATTGCTAAAAAGCTTCCAAAGAGTGATCAAAGCAGTGCCGGAGGTGGACCAGGTTCAGGTAGACCTGGTGTTGATTTGACTCAATCCAATCAAAATACAAGCAGTGGATGTTGCAAATCCTAAGTGAATACCCAACAACAACAACAAAATCAAATAACAAAAATATCCTTTATATTATCTCCTTCATTAAAAAAAAGACCATTTAGAGAGAAACAGACCACAACAACAAACAAACTTCACGCCACCAACAACATCATCAACAAATCAACAACTATTACTACTACTATTATTTCTATTGATACATCAACTTTAAAAACACCACCACCAACAACAAGAGTGAAGATATTGTAACCAGGTTATACATATAAAAAAAATTCTGAAAAAGAAAAGGTAAAAACGAGAGAGAGAGAGAGAGAAGAGAGGAACAAAAAATTGGGGAAGAGAAAAGTGTGAGAGTGAAAAATGATTGAATGAAAGAGCGAAATAGAACCAAAACAACCAAACCGAATGATCCTTATATACTACATTCATAAAACAAAAATCCATGTTAATATAAATAAAACTAATTAAGGTAAAAAAAATTAAATTGTTTTGGGCTCGTATTATTTACCTTAAAACAAAATTGTATAAAAAAATAAAAGGTTCAATGTATGGATAATTGGTCTCAATTAAATCACATCACTTGTCCAATTATTTTCTTTCACAAACAGTCAATCCATTGAAACACCGAACTTACAATGGAAGAAAACAATTAACTGTTAATAGTTGTAGTTTATGAGTGACTTTTGGAAAAATTTACAATTAAATATCTCTAAAAATTAATAATCAACAGAAAGGGAGAGATAAATTGTTTGTTAGCCTGGTTCACTTTTCCTTGGCTTGGTTTGTTTTTTGTTTTGTGTTTATAACATAATAGAGTTGGATTAGTTTTCTTTTCACTTTTAATGATGATGATCCTCTTTATAGAAACGTAATCCACAATATCCACAACTATGATTACCAGGTTGATCTAAATTAATGAAGACCCGAGGATGTCCAAGTGGTCCACCTCCTCCATCACAAGTTGTAACTCTTGTCTTACAAGCGATTGGTGCAGTTTCCGCAATCAAATCAATGGCATAATGAGGATTGACTTTCTTTTCTTTACCAATGTATCGAGCCATCCGGTAATCATTTGATTCCCACTTTTGACCAGTATGTGTTGATTTATCAATTATTTCAAATGAAAACTCATCTTTCTCAGTGACCTCTGAACCCTTTGAACCAGAAGGTGAAGAGACAATTTTACCACCATTAGTTGTTGCACCTCTAATTGGAGCCAATTGAACCAATCGCCTCAACAATGGGCGTCCATTGTTCAACAGGTTAGACATGGCTAATCAATTTAGAAGAAGAAAAAAAATTAAAAACAAGATTTAGATTAAATTAACAATCAAACAATTAATCAAATTACTTGAGGTGACTTTCCTTTCAAAGGAAAACAATACAAATACAAGTGATCACATGATGGAGAAAAATTGAAGCGCCAACTTTGAATTGGAAAATTGGAATAAATTAAAAATTCTTATTGACCAATTTTAATTGTTCCTAATTGTTTTTAATTATATTAGACAAAATAATTAGATTCTAACATGATAGAGAGATAGATTTAAACTTTTTTAAATGTTTAATGCATGTAACGAGTTGGAGACAATTAATTAAAGTGAGCTAAATTTTTAGCTTTTCGATTTTTAAATTTTAATCAATACAATTAAGAAGTGAATAATAAATTGTAGTTTGAATACAAGTCATTTCAATAAAAATCTTATCAATTAATTGTAAGTCATTTGTTACAATTTACTTACTGATGGTGAAACTATGAAAATCGGTAAAATAAAATTAATGTAAAACAAATTTTCACAATTGGTAATTGATTGTGATTATATATAAAGTGAAATTGATTTTCTTAAAAAAAAGTTTTGTTGTTGAGTTAATTATGGAGCTAAAAATCAATATAAGAGAGGTAGGTTGCAGATAATTAGTTAAATGTCATAATTTCTCAACAATTAGTATGTTTGATTGAGGGTGAATTGTTTGCGGGTTGATGAAAAGGATAAATTGACGGATCGTAAAATCAATTTTTAATTGTTATCAACGATTGTCCGATTATTATGGATTTTGTAACTTCTCGACTTCTGGACCTTCGGCTCGGGCATCGTAGCCCATATGCCCAGAGGCGGTGTCGCGATCTTGTTTACGACTTTCGCTAACGAATGCAAATGTGAAGAAACCACAAGATCCAATGACGAGCATCCCACCAAATCCAAGGAAAAGAGGACCTAAATAGATCAAAGATCAACAATTAGTTAATTCAGTTGATTCAAAAAAAGATACAAACACAAAGGGAATGAGAGAAAAGACCAAAATAAACATCTAGTAACAATTAAATCAAATTCAGTTTAAAATTAGACAAAGAAAACTTGATAATCCATTTTGGTAAATGAAATTTTTTCCACTCAAAGAAAATTAAAGAAACTAATTGTTGATTGTTGATTGATTAACAAGCTAAATAAACAAATAAACACAGTCAATTTACTGAATAAATTTAACCACGAAAAAATATTCAAAACTATTAGCTAATTAGCTGTGAAATTAAAAACAAAACATGAACAAAGATCAATATAATCAAAATAGATCCTCTCGAAAATTGTAACAATCAATTTAATTGCATTTTCTCACCAATAACTCTCATCAAATTAGATCCAATGTATCTTTTGTAATTCTCATCATAATCGGGTGGAGTGATCTCCGTGAAAGCGATACCCGTTAAAATGGCCCCAACGAGCATAAGAAAAATGCCCAAAAGCGATGAACCAATTGAACACCAAGTGACCGCAGCAAAATTACCGATTTTCGTATAGAAAGGCATGATTACCAATTAATCCGACGAAAAATTAATCCAATCAGCTAATCCACCAGAAGAATTGCAGAAAAAAAATTCACCACAAATCACTGAATTCAAATTGGAAATGACTAATTATTTGTATTCCTTTGATTTTGGAACTTTTTTTTTTCTTCAACAAACTAATTGAAAGTTAATCGATTCAACTTTTATCAATAAATTTGGAATTTAAATTAAATTGATTAGCAAAAGAGAAAACAATTAGCAAGCTGATTAATTGTTGAGGCTCAAGGAAAGAAACGTTAACTTTTAAGAAGCTTTAATTCACCAACACCTAATTTTCAAGAGAAAAGATTAATTAATGATTAGGTAACCATAGTAAGGAAAAGATAATCAATGAATGTGTTTGTCTTTCTAATCTTTATTGTTAATAACCTGATTCTCTTTGTGTATTTAATATTCACCTAAAGAGGCAAATGAAAAGTGCTTGTGTTTTATTGATTGTAAGACGATTTGTTGATCATCAGCAATCAACCATTCAGATCTTTCAATCTTCCTCTTTAATCAATTACAACAACAATCAAAACAATTACTGATTCATTGTCATTCATTGGGAACGTAAGAAATTGTTATCATTTGATTGTTAATTTAATTTCTTGTGAAATTATGTTCACAACAATTTAATTGATTTTCTAATATCAATAATTTCAATGGATAAGTTTAAATTTACCTTGTTAACTGTTTCACATTCAATTGATTTGTTTGGAATCAGCTTTTTTAATTGTAACTAATTGTTTGTGGTTTTATGGTGATTGGAAATACAATATATTCAACAATTAAATCGGTTCATTTTTTTCATGTTTCCTTAATCATTACAATTAATAATGAAATATGTAGACACAAATGATCAAGTTAATTGTAATCAAGGTTAATTTACTTATTTTCATTCATTATTAACAAAAACTATTCATTCAACTCAATTAACTAGAAACAATTTACTATTGACAAACAATCAAAAACTTGAATCATTTAAAAACCGATTAAATTGATAGTATAGAAATCAATAAATTGATTGGGTTGATTTTTCATTGATTTACAATTGATTTTAATTGGATTAACCATCTCATTGATATTAAGACGATTAATAAATTGCTTTTCCTACAATTTAGGATTAAGAGGAACCTTTTTCATTTGGAGTTGGTTTTACATCAAATTAATATTATGGAATAAATAAAACTTGGACAATTAAATCAACAATCATAAATATATAATCTATATATTGTTATATGGTGGATGATTTGTTTTTTGATGATTTGATGGAAACGCAGGTCAAAAAATTAAATCATGATTACCTTTCTCTCGATAATCAATGGAATTGCTTGACTGAAGATGATAAATGTTAATTGAGAGGGTTAATTGTTTTAGTTGACTGGAAATATTGGATAAGAAATTGAGGATTAAAAGAAGAGGAATTAATCTGAACAAATTAAAATTGTCAACTTTGCTTGTAAGGGGATAGTCAAAGTCTCTAGTGTTTTTCTTGATTGTAGACAGAAGTTGATTCCGTAGATATGACTCATTGATAGATGATTACTCTTGATGAGAAGATGATGATTAGAGGTTTTCAATGGATATAAAAAACGAATTTCGTCCAGAGAGACAGAAGGAAAGAGAGAGGAAGAGGAAGAAGATGCTTAATGAGCATAGAACTTTACAATTGAAGATTTTCACCTTTACAAGCAATTAAGGTTGACTTAGAATAGAAATAATCACCATCAAGAAATGTTGATTAAATTCAGGACAAAGATTAATTAAGATGATTGTTGGAACTTTTCTTTTTTTGTCTCTTTCTCCAGGTGATTTTTAAATCTATGGGTAAAAATTGACAATTAATTGGAAGTAAAATGTTTCATGAAGATGATGAATTAGACGATGACTTGAATGGCGAAATCTTAATTGATAATCTCAACGATTTTAAATTGTAATTCCTTTCAGGTTGGACTTTGAGGTGGTTCGTTACTGAAATAAGGAGCAGTTTCTCTGTCCAGAAGAGTGTGACAAACGTTACAAACTTTAAAACTACGATTCTTTGGTCCACCATAGATTGTTTTACTATTACAGTCGAAGCAAAATATTTTACCACAGTGAGAACAATGATGCTAATAAGAGAAAGAGAATAGAAAAAAAAACCAAAACATATAATTAGATTAACAGAGAGAAAAATTAGATTATTTCTTTATTTGAAGTAATCGATTTGTATGTTGACAATTAGATGACTCACCTTTTCTTTACGTGAATGGAAAAGTTTCTTACAATTATTACATTCATTAATATCTTCTTCATGTTGCCATCTAACCTCTGTATCGGCTTGTCTAATTTTCTCTAATTGAATCTATTAAATAAACATGGATAAAGAAAAGGTTTAAAATTAGTTTAAACAATTAACCAATTTCCATTGATTGTCTTTACCTGAAGTGATTGGGATAACTTGACGAAATCTTTTTGAACTTGTTCACTATTATGAAGATCATTTTGAAGACTTTGAACTTTACTTTTCAAGGTTAAATTTTCTTCTTCCAATTTTATCTGTTGATAGAAAAATAATATCGTTCATTCAATTAGATTGTAAATTTGAACTTTTTTTTCTGCGAACTCACCTTAAGACCATTGAGCTCTAGAACTTCTTGTTCAAGGTTAATTATAATACGTGTATTCTCCTTTAATAGAGTTTCATCATCGTTTAATTTACTAGAAGTATCTGCATGTTGCTCTTTTAATTTCTTATATTTATTACCAATTAATTCTAGGCTTGTTCGCAATCGATCATTATCCTCAGTTAATTCTTGAATCATTGTTTCCTTTGATTGTTGTTCGGATCTATTTTGTTCTGTAAGAGTAATCATAAGGTTTTAGTTTTTGATATTTGAATGTGTTAGTTGATTTTCATGGAGAAGTTGAGGAAACTTTAGCCTTTGAAACTGACCTTTAAGGAAAAGAATTTCACTTCGATAAGTTTCTTCTTTTCTTTCTTTAGCAACCAGAGCCGTTATCAGGTCTTCACGTAATTTAAGACAATAGAATTGCATATCATCCATTTTCTGAGGTAAATCTATTATCTCAGACTGAAGCTCGTCACTTTTGGCAATATGTTTTCCAAGTAGCAATTCATTTTCAGCAGCAAGTTTTTGGATATGACGATTCATTTCCTCTTTGCTACTAGTTAGACTGATGATTTTCTCACTTGCTTCCGCGTAATAGTTGGTTAAAATATCTAAAGAGAGAAAAGAGTGAAAATCGTTCGATAAGAAAAAAGTGACGAAATAAAAAGTAGAGATATAAAATATACTTCTAATTTCAGCTAATTCTTTGGCTGAAGAGTCAAATCTCTCCTTAAGAGTGTTAATTTGAGTCTCAATTTCTTTCGCTTCTTCGGCAAATTTCTCCTCCAATTCCGTTCGAAATGCTTCCTCTCTCCTTAAATCATCTTTACGACTTTTAATAACTCCCTCACTGTCAGCCAATTGTTTCAATAAATCAGATTCATTTTTTTGCATCGACTGTAATTGCATCTCATAGTTTGAGCACATTTCACATGGTTTACGAAGCTTTTCCTTGGTTCTTTCAAGCTGTCCACCAAATAAGAGAATGAAAACAAGACAATTAAAAAGAAACAAGGGGAGTAATTAAAAAACGAAGACAAAGAGAAGAGGAGAGAACAAAAATGAATAAAAACATCATCAAAATATGATATCATTTGGGTGATAAAAAGGAAATGTACCTCATCCGTTAGTGATTTTGCTTCTCCAGTAGAACCATCATATAAATTGAGTGATTGTGATCGCTGAAGCCTGTAAAATGATGAGCCAACAATAATCCGAAATGAAAAGAATCAACATACAAAAAAAAATAAAAGAAATAAATCAAAATATTAATAAAAAGAAAATGAGAAAGGAAAGGTGATGAAAAAGAAAATCAATCAACAGAATTTTTTTTCTCCCTAATAGAAAACTCATTCTGGTGGCGAATCATGATTAACACTTACATTTTTTTCGCATCAAGAAAAAAATCGTTGATAGAACGATTGATAAATTCGTTAAATTTAATTTGGAATCACAGTAAACGTTCAATTAAACCAGCAATAAGTTAATTTAGACAAAAGGAATCACTAAAATTAAAATGAAAACAAACAATTGACTGAAAAGCCAAAAACCTAAGACTCAGCTGCGAATAGAAATTTGAATTTCCATCCACCAGATGGCAGCACACGCGTTCCACATGATTAAAAACCGAAAATTTTTTTTCCCAATTATCAATATTTTCTTAAACCTTTGGTCAACCACTTTGACAATTTACTAATTTGTTGATTAACTAATTATTACTTTTTCCAAACCCGTTATCAATTAACTATTCAATTAGCTATTCTGTTAATATGTTGCCATTAAATTTGTTGAAGAAATCACAAAATCATCCAATGGTAAGTATTTTCTTTTTCTACTAAATAAGCTTTTATTTTTTTCTCTTCTTTATTATTTCAAGTTTTCCTTAAATTCTATTTCTCAGTTAATTAATTTACATTTGATCTCTTTTTCATTTATTGGTGTTGTTGTTGTTGTTTAATTGTTTACTAACCTTGAGATTGTCTCTATTGTTTTTATCTCTTTTTCTCTTTCTCTCTAGTTGGTTGAATTAAAGAATGGAGAAACCTTCAATGGTCTCTTGGTTTCCTGTGATAATTGGATGAATATAAACCTACGCGAAGTAATTTGTACTTCAAGAGATGGTGATAAATTTTGGAAAATTAGTGAATGTTACATCAAAGGTACAACAATTAAATACCTTCGTATACCAGATGAAGTAATAGATCAAGTTAAAGAGGAAGTTAACAAACCAAGACGTGACTTAAAGCGAGGACCTCCAACCGGCGGTGGTAAAGCCAAATTTCAAAAATAACAAAAGCAAATTCATCTTACCAAACATACACAACACCCTTTACACATCCAAACCCTTCACCTTCATGGTTAAATCACATTCATATATAATATATATTCATCTATACCAAATTATCACACCTCCATTTCCAATCAACTATAATGTTAATTAAATACGATGAAATACATTAAGCCAGAAGAAAAGAAATGGATTCAAATTACTCAGTAATTCATTCATTTAATTACAAAAATCAATACAATCGAGCTTTTTTAAAGATGTTTTTTTTTATTGAATGAGCGCCATGTTTAGATTTTGTCACATATTCATAAGTTTCTTTATTCTTTCTCTTCTTTGTTTTTCTCTTCTATTCTCGTGATTGGACATTATTCGAAATTGTTGATTGTTGAGCAACCATTTCTAAAGATAAATAAAATAATGAGAAGATATTGATTGAGAGAGTGAATGAAAGAGAGAAAATCGATTGTTTTAACTTCATCTTCTTCTCTCTTCGCTTTCATGTATAACCAACACTTTCACTTGACAATTGATTAATTGAAACAATTTAGATCAGTATAATTAAGATTTTCTTTTTGTTGTTGTTGTTGTTGTTGTTGAATGATGAGAAGGAAAAAAACAGTAAAGAAGAAGAGAGATTAGAGAGACAAAAAAAGAGAGAAAGAATAAGGTGAAGAGGAAGATAAAGAGCAGAAATAAAGCAACAGAAAAGTCATTGACAATAAAGGATAATCTCCTTGAAAGAAGCAAAAATAAAATTAAGCTACTGATTTTATCGGGATAATAGGTCATTTCAACGGCATTCCCAGACTTTAATAGTTTGATCTACCGATCCAGTGATGACGAACGGAGATGTTTGATGGAAATCTAGAGTCCAAATGATTGTCCAGTGTGTCGATCGTGGTGATGGTCCGGTGATGTTTTGAGAGTAAAAGAAAAAGAAAAACATTTCAAGTATTAATAAACAATGTAATTAGATCAAGAGCTATGGTCAAGTTTTAATTGATTAAGAAAAAGGTTCAAGAGATTGAAAAGTTTAAATGAGAGGTTAGACTTTTCCCCTGGATATTAAATGAGATTAATTTTGCAATTGAATTATAAAAAGTTTAGTTATGTTTTATGTTTAAAAAGATTATCTAAGGTTTTTGATTAGAAACAGTTTAGGGAATTGGATTAATTTGGATTACTAATCATCTTACCGACAGTAGTGCAGAAATGGTTATGAGCTTCCAATGTTTTAGAGCATCTTTTATTTACTATATCCCAAACTCGGACAGTTTTATCATCAGAACTGCTAATAATATATTTCCCTCCTGGATGCCAAATGACACCTCGAACCCAATTATCGTGACCGATTAAAGTGAATAAACATATTCCAATTGTTACATCCCAAACTTTGATGGTTTTATCTCGAGAGCCACTAACCAGGAATGGTCCTGTTCGATTATTTCGAAGATTCTAAGGGGGAAAATAAGAGGAAAAAAATGAATTAGAATAAAGTTCTATCCCTTGGTGGAATTAACGAGTAAAAGGAAGGCAAAAGTTAATCATAATCATAAATTTATATTCTTTATATGTACTAAAGTACATAAAGAATAAATTCAAAGAGTAAAAGTAAATATTATAAGCGAGAGAAATAATATCGACCTTTACCCAAGTATACAAAGCGAAACGATAACAAATCAACCGATTAATCAACTACTTATAAAGGCGATACAATTGAAGCTTAGAAAATAAAATTTGACAGACTAACTAAGCCGATGAAACAACAACAACCATTGAGTGTTTACTTACATCATTACCCGCTGCTTCGCAGACGACTGTGAATGCTGATTCCGGAGCCCAGGCTATACACTCTACCGTGTGATCATGATCTTTAAGGACTACTTTGTGCTCGTTTGTCCCTAATTTATGCTCATTCACACTCGTATTCCAGATAATTATGGTCTAATGGAGAGAGAGAGAGAAAGAGAGGGAGAAGATCATCGATTTAAGCGAAAAACAAAATGAAACCATCCAGAGTTTGATTGATTTATCGAGAGTAAAATTGTTATCCACCAATTGTAAATCCATTTATGTAGAGCCGGATATGAATGAAGAAAATGGAAGAAATAATAAATTAGAAGAAGATGAAAAAGAAAAAGAAAAGGATGAAATTAGAACAAATTGTTGAGGTGAAAGTAAATCGTGCGTTAAAAGTAAAAGCCGATTTGTATTGTTATTATTTTGCTACTTTAAGCAATTGATCGATAATTAGAATTGTTTTATTGTAACAATTTTTCTCTTTCAATTATTTGAAGCTTCAATCGTTGATTCTCACAATTTGTACAACAAAAAGTAGAGTAAAAAAAAGTTCGCACTGATACTTAGAGTATTAGAAAAGGTTTTCAAAAGATGTAACAATATGAGGCGAGAAAAAAATAACAACTAACGGACAGGGAAGTGGATTGTTTTCTTGATTGATATTTATATCATCCAATATATAATTAGATCAAGGAAGAAGAGAGAGAGAGAGAGAGAGAGAGAGATTAAATTATGACCATTTCGTTGCTATCTGATCAATGGATCAGATAGAGACAATTAATTGAATAAATGGTAAACATTTTTTTCTCATCATGTCAGATGAAAAGAGTGATAATATTAATCATGAAAATTAATCAGAGTAATGAATAAGAATCAAACTATCAAGACTAAAGTTGATTTAAATTAATGAATAATATTAATATAATATAATATTGTTCATAGAATAGAAAATAATAAATGACAAGAGATGAAGATAACGAGAGAGAGACTCATTGATTAGTGATTTAAATTTCAGATTAAATGACAGAAAAGGATAGAGAAAGAGTAAAAGATTATCTAAACAATCTGATATTTGTATGAAATGTGAATATGAATGAATCATAATGAGTGTAATAGATAATGTGAGTGTGTGTATACATATTTTGAAGCGCATGTAATGATAATAATTTGATGATGAAAATAGAAAATGATTCAAGTGGCAATAGAATGTAAATAAAAGTTCTTACATGATCTTTTGAACAACTGGCGATCAATGTACCATCCTTATTTACTCGGACCATTCTCACCCAATCACGATGACCAGCATAAGTTCTTACACAATAGCCAGTAGCTACTTCCCACTTTTTAATTGTTTTATCCCTTGAACAAGAAAGTATATGATCACCGGTTGGCATAAATGTTACCGATGAAACATTATGATCATGTCCGTGTAGAGTTCTTAAACACTCATATGATTGGAAGTCCCATAATTTAATTGCCATATCAGCTGAACAGGAGGCCAATAGTTTACCGGTTGCATCAAATGCAACATCTTGGACACTGTCAGTGTGGCCTTTAAGGGTTCTTTCATAATCACCGGTCTCATAGTCCCAAACTTTAATGGTAGCATCTTCACTGGCAGAAACTAACAGGCTAAATACCGGGTGAAAGATGACCCTTGTGATGGTTGAACGATGACCACAGAGGGAAAACTTTTCTGGTGGCCGAGGTATCCATTCGGTTGGTGATCTTCTCTCTCTTGTGGGAGCACCTCCGATATATTCTTTCTCTGCTTCTGATAATTTTGCCTCCAAGTCCATTACTTTCTTTTGTAAACGTATCACAGAGGTCCATTTCTTTTCCAATAGTCCACTGTATTTCTTATCAATCTCACTGGGCTTCAATCATGCCAAATATAATGTCCGGTGGTTAGATGAAACATAAACAATGGAAGAGAAAGAAAGAAAAGAAAAATAGAAAAGAATAAACTTAAAATAATGAACATTTTTTTTTCTTCCATGGTGTAATTTGTCAGGTTGAACAATTAGAACCGAAAAGATTTTGGTTACTTATAACTGTGTACACAATTCAAAGATCCAAATTATTTATATGAAGCTTTGAAGATGGTGTAGTTATATATCCAAGGATTTGCTAGTGATTTGTCATTCTAATGCTTTTGATATTGGCAAACAATGGAAAGCCTTTAAATTTACCATTTGAGCCTCTCTTTTGAAAATTTCCAATGCTCCATTGAATCCTTGTGAAAATAGATAATCAGCAATTGCATGGTTCCTAAAGTGAAAATGGAGAAACCAAATGGGAGATAGAAAGAGCAAGAGAGAGAGAGAGAGAAGAGAGAGAGAAAGAGAGAAAGAAAAGGAGAGAAAGAAAAAAGACAATGAGTGAGTTAGTGAGAGAAATAAGCAAATTAAATGGATAAAGATACAGAAGAGAAAAAGGTATGACAATCAATTACATGGAAAACTATGGATGTAATTGGTTATGAATGTTACCAGAGAAAAGAATTTAAGTTAAGAAGAAGGAGTAACAATTGGGAGAAGAGAAAAGAGATTGGAAACAAAAGAGGTTCAAAGGAATATGAAGTTGAAAGGGAAAAGAGAAAGAGAGAAAAATGGAAAAGAAAGAAGAAATCACAACAGAGAGAAATGTTGATGACTCTTAATACATCCAAATAATACAACAGAGTTAGAGAGAGAGAGAGAGAAGATATAAAGTAAGAGAGAAAGAGAGAATTTATAAAAAGACAGATACAAAAACAAGGAGACAGGATAGAAAAGAGAGAGAGAGAGAAAAAGATTATCATTTAGTGGATTAAATTATTTACTTACAATTCATCCTTCTGACGGGTTGTTAAGACCATTTTCATCGCCTTACGATGTAAAAAGGTAATTAGTTATAACTAAATTACAATTAAATCTAATTAGTAAACATTAATCAAAGAGAAAAGGGAGAAAGAAAGAAAGAAAGAAAATCAAAATTAAACAACACAAACAGTTTTCATCTGAAATAAAACAAAACCAAATTGAAAGAATATTCGTGTTATGTGTCGCCATCTATTTTCTACCGTTTCAAATGTGAGTTTTTTGAAAGAAGAAAAAATTTCCCATCAATTTTAATAGAAAAACTTAATTGTTGTTGTTAATTGTAGGAATATTTTGTTGATTGTCGTCTCTCTTTTTGGAGTTTCTTCTGGACCATAGATTGACCTTTCGTTTTCTCTACTCTTTTGTATTTAGAGAAAGTGGTTCGTCTTTTCACCTTTTGGATTGTTGACCAAATTTCTTGTTAATTTGATTGTTACCTTTTCTTTATGACAAGGTAATTAATTAAGGATTTTAATTCTTTATGATTTGCCTTTTTTTCATTTAATTAAGTACAATTCATAAGATGAAAGTGTTTAGCTAAATTGTTGATGTTGATTTTTGTTTATTAATTGGTTTCAATTTGATTATGTTATTGATTTATTTTCATTTGTATTAACAATTATAAAAATTTAGTTTCAATTGATTTGATTTGATTATTGTACTTATTGTTTAATTTGATATTTTACTCTGAAATAATTAATATTTTACCGAGAAATATATTAAAGAGCATAACAATTTAATTGCGTTGATTTAATTGTAAATCGAGAAGTTCAATTAGTTAACTAATTGTAAAATTATATGAAAATTGATCATTTATCCAATTTGTTAGTTTATTGTTTCCTTAATTATTATCATTGTTATACTATCAAGATTGACCAATTAAATAATAATCAAATTGTTTCATCGTAATTATTAAATTGCTACTATGCAGATTGACTCATATTAATTGTAAAACAAATTTAATTACTTATGGTTAAATCTTGATAGTTAATTCATTTAATCACAAAGGTTAACAATGAAATTGTAATAAATAATTAACAAGGAAATGAAGATCACAAATAAAGTTAATTGTAACAAATTGTATGCTTACTCTGCGGTATTGATTAACTAATCAGTAAACTTGATTCAAAAAAAGGTTAATTAATCATGTTCATCATAATCAAACAATCAACATATTGATAACAATGTAATTTACAATTTACTAATTATTGTTTGATTATTTCATTTCAAATTTGATTAGCAAGTAGTGAAACAAATTAGTGGTTACAATTAGTTAACAGATTAATGATTAGATGATTAAAATACCCTTTTAACTTTTTGATTAACTATTTGATTAGTCAAATAATGTCACTCAACAATTTAACATTCAACTAATCACTGAATATAATTAACAATCAAATCTTTAAATGATTTTGTAAAAATAAATCTCAATTCAATGTTATCATTTTTAAATGTTTCTTAATAACAATTAATCAACATCATGAGAGTTAATTGTCAACCCTTTAAATTACTTATACAATTGTTTCTTATATTATTATCATTAATTGATCACCAGCAATTAGTTAACTGTGCTCCTAAATCAACCACATCAGATAATCAACAAACTAAATCACAAACAATTAAAAAATCAGAATCTGATTTTGATCCTGGATCAATATTTGCTTCATTTTGTAAGTTTATTAAATTGTTGGAAACTTTTTAAACTTAATTTAGTTAATTAGTTTAAAATTAAATTCTAATTGTTTGGATAATTGTTTTCCAGTTCCAACATTTGAAGATGTTGCTCAAGAATTTAATTTCTTTGGTAAGTAATCAATTAAATTGATAGAAAATCTTTCCAATCAACAATCATCAAATTGTCACTTGATTGTAACAATTAAATTACTTTTTTCTAATTAAAAAGGTTTTCCAATTCTATCTGGACCAACATCAAAAGGTAGTATTTTTAAATAATTACAATCAACTAATTGTCTTAATTAATCTTCAATTTTTCCCCAACAATTTGTAAATCAGCTCCTGAATCTCATGGTTCCAATGATAATCACAATCAAGGTAAATATTGTGAATACCTTTACAATTTAGCAACAATTTGATAGCAATTTAATTTACAACAGATCATCAAAATCACCCAGTGGCTAGATTACATGTAGTTAGTAAGTGATTAACTAAATCCAATTAGTGATCAACAATCAACAATTTTAATTTTTATCTCAATCAATTTTACCTTTGTTAATTTAGATGATGAAATCCCAAACGGTAATAATAATAAAACAATTTAAATCCAGTTAATTAAATTTAATACAAACAAATTGACTTGTGGTGAAATAATTGATTATCATTAACAATCAATCTCTCCCTTAATCAACAATCAACAGCAACTCATCTTGCAGCAAAAGATATCAAAGGTAATATCAATCAAAGAAACTTTAATCAATGTTAATTGTCATTTAATATAATCAACTAACCTTTTAAATTGTGATTTTCTCATTTCCAATAAAATCAAAAAGGGGCATTGGCTGAATTGCACATGAGTCCAGGTAATCAATTGATTGTGAACATTGAGAAAACTGGTTAAATTGCTAATCAATTGATTTTTTCCATAATTTTCCTTCAATCAACTTTAACAATTAAGACATTACACTTCATAAGCACACAGCTAAAGGTAAATTGTATTGATTTCAATGTGAAACCATCACACTGACCCTAATTGTCTTAATTAGTTATCGGACGAGGACATTTAATGAAGGAAAGTGATGGATCAACACACTTTGTCCAAGGTAAATTTCTGACAATTAGTTAATCCAGTTGAATGATTTTGATGGAAAAATCTTTTTAAATCAGATTACAATCAGTTTCCATTCCCAATGATGTCCTTTCACCATCCAGTCCATAGACACTTATTAATTTTACATGGTAAGTTAATCGACTTCATTTAAATTGTTTTACCTTCTAACTAATTAAAGACTCAAATTTAACCAATTAACAGGTAACATGGCTCATCATGATAATAAAACTCACCATGAACCAGCTAAAGGTAAAATATTAACCATTTGATTGAACTTAATTAACTCTCCTTAATCTAATTAGGTGGTCATAATAGTAAACCAGAAGAGTGGACATTGGATCATATGTTAAGTAAGAAGAGCAACTAATTAGTTGATACATTTACTTAATTACAATTACAATTGTTTAGGTTTCATTAAATCAAAGAGACCATTACAATTACATGATACCAGTATACCTCATGGTAGGTTAATCAATTGAAAAGTAAAATATTATAACTAATTGCAATTAAAACTTTCAATTAGATGATCTTATCAATTCACATTCAGAGATGAATAAAAAATGGACACAACAAGAGGTTTATGGTAATAATTGTTTAACTAATTTTACCTTTAATTTGGTTGTAAATTAATTTCCTACTTTTAATTGTGATTAAGCATTGATACATTTACTGGAGAAACTATTTAAGAGTAAAGAAATGGTCGAAGGTAATTAACTAATTGATAGATAATCATGATTGTCAACCGATTAACTTTTAATTTTGTCTCTTTTAAGGTGATTTTAGTTGGGATAATTTTGTTCGTAATGCTTTGTAAGTATTAATAGTTGATTAACAAGATAATCTGATTGATTGATTGATTGTTAACTAGACCTTGGCCTGGACCATTAGCATCTAAATGGCAATCTCTATGTTTAGAGCCTGGATTAACACTTCAACAATTACAATCTCAAATTTGTAATCCAATTGAACCTAAAGATAAACAGAATTGGTGCCCACCAAGTTGTACGACAAGATCAGTAGAAACTGGTCATTCTAGTGATGGTCAAGCGGCTATTGATTCAGCCAAGTTATCATCTCTATCAAATGAACTGAAAATAGAGTCACCAAAGGTTTCCAAAAGTGGCCAAGGTAGATTGATTACCAGAATTAAGGAATCACCAGGGGAACAATTTAAACAACAGTATTCAACTTTGACCACAAGATCGACATTGGTACCAGAGAAATCGGATTATCTGTTCGATATCGATGGTTCATCAGATTCTTCGCAATCGGATGAAGTTGAATCAATTGAAGCTTTAGAAAATAGTGATGGACCTAATGATGGAATGACAACACCGACAACTATTTTCGATGATACTGATTATCCCTCTTCTCAGAATAATAAGGATAAATCATCTCTCCCTGGTTCTAATGAACAATCAGGTAAGAAGATGGCCACAGTCTCTTCACTGGATCGAGAATTAGATTCGAAATCTTCTGATTCAGATTCAGATTCTGATTCGCTGTTCATTCAACCCGTTATTGCACCGATGGTTGTAGCGCCAGTAGTAGTGAGCTCTATTGGTGATATGGATGAAGAATCGACCAATGTTTCACCATCGGGTTCGAATGGTTTAACCAAAATCGAATCAGCAAGTGACAAAAATTTATCCAGTAAACAAGATTCACTTCCGACTCCAGCGGGATTGAAAAGTTCTAGTGACTTTGTGAATGAAAAAGACGCTACATCATCAACTATAAACACACCAAATCAATCAAGTGTAATTGGATCAGCACCAAGTATTAATAGATCATCACAAAGAGCAAAAAGTGATAATGTTAACTCAACACCAACTCGAAAACTTTCGAGCTCCTCACAATCAACTAAATCAAATTCTGATGAATTTGATTCAGTGTTTAATTTTGCTTCATTCAACCAATTCTTTATGCCAATTGAATCAGAATCGTTACCTTCACCCTCAGTTACCAAATCAACCGACCATCAATCATCGGTGGTCAATCTAAATGGCCAATCAACAAAAGTGCCGAAATTTCCATTGGGTACTTCAGCTCCAATAACTTCAAAATCTAAAGAGACCAAAATGTCCCCAAGTGTAACTGATACCAGGTCGAAACCTTTATCTTCGATCTCTAGTGTTTCTGAATTGAATAGTTCGCCAAGTGTTGTGCCATCTTCGACTCTATTTCCAGCAGATTCACTGAAACCTTCGAATCTAAAGTTAGGTACATCAGAATCTAATCGAGTATCTAAACTTTCTCCTACCATGGATACTTTGGAATCTGATTCGAAGAGACCAATGACAACCACAAGTTCAATTGACACGGGAAAATTAACGACACCAAAGCAATCGATGGAAAGTCCGCTTTCAGGAGAAAAAGCTTCATCATCAAATTTACAAGAAGAACAATTAAACGATCAAATCGTTGATTCCACAATAATGGCTGGTGCTTTATCCGCAGCATCAGGAATGGTTATAGCAAATGCACCCAACGTCGCAATGTCATCACCGCAATCATCAAGTTTGGTTGCTGAATCTTTGAATCTATCGAATGATAAATCCAAAGGATCAGTTGCTACAAAAAACGATAGTAAATTAGATTTTCAAAAATCGAAAAATGAGCAATCATTGCCTATTAAGAATACAAGCAATCTAATGAATAGTAACCCAACTGTAGTTGAAGAATCAAATGGAGCACTGGATAAACTAAACAAAGCTTCACCGAAAAACTTTGATGGTACGATTTCACCTTCCAAAGAAAATCAAGTGCCCAAAACCCCGAAACCATCTGAGATACTTGCATCAGAATCGAACCAACCAGATGCGAATGTTGAACTGAACGTTGCATCATTAAATACGTTTGTTGTGCCCATCGAAACCCAGGAATCGAGTGTTAAAAATGTGAATGCTTCAGTTCCTAACGATATAAACAGCAAGTCTGACAAAATAAAAGACTCGTTGCTTGATTCAGTCAGATCGACTTCAGATTCGAACGATAGATCATTAGAGCAGGATAACGTTGCAGAAAATGGTTCGAAAGAGAATACAAAACAAAATGATGGAAAAATTCATCATTTGTTGGGCGTAAAAGGATCCATGGATAAATCTGATAACGATAAGAATGATGATTCAGTTCCATCGTCTTCTTTATATATTCAACCCATAGTAACACCAATCGTATCAACACCATTGATCGTTTCTACCACTGATCTCGATTCAAAGGATCAAGAGACCATAGACAAATCACCATCAACATTAACCGCAAATGATTCCGATAAAAGTGAAACTTCAAGTGATAAGCAAAAAGATTCAACTACTGATGCAATTAAAGCCGATCTAGTCTCGAATGATAAGTCGTTAGAAAAAGTTAACAATATGAGTACCAATTCTACTTCTGTGAAATCCACAGGAGATGAAGTGAAAGATTCGGACAGACAGAAATCTACTTCTGAAGAAGATTCTGGAAGATCTTCTGATCGTAAAAAGACACCAGAGAAAATCCAAAATGAGACATCGCAACAAAATTCTCAAAGTATTGATTCTACGATAAATTCTGGTATTCTAGCATCAGGAATACTCCTGGAAAATGAATCACCGATCATCGCATCACCTTCTTCGAGTCCAATGTCAACACAAAAAACTACGAAAAAAGCTTCTGAAAATGTGAACGACAACGCAAATGTGACCGGAATGAAATCAACAAATGATAAATTTACTAATATTCCAGCTGAAAATATGACAACGAAGTCTTCCAATTCTTCCGAGTTATCGAGTGAAAGTGGATCCATGGATCAATCTGATAATAACCAAGATGAAGAATCAGTTCCATCATCATCTCTACATATTCAACCCATAGTAACACCAATAATATCATCACCATTGATCGTTTCAACTACTGATCTCGATTCTACCGATCAAGAGTCCATAGATAAATCACCATCAACATCGACCACCTCTGATAAATCTGAAACTTCAAGTAATAAGAAAAAAGACTCAACTACTGATGCAATCAAAACAGATCAAGTCTCGAATGATAAGTCGTTGGAGCAAAGAAACAATGTTACAACGAAAGGATCGAAAAACGGAGATAAAACACAAAATGAAACACAGAATAGAACAATAGAAGATTCAATGAAAATTTCCGATAACCATTTGGTGTCAGCACCAGAAAAGAATCAAACTCTACAACCTGATTCGGATCAACCAGATTCTGATGTAGTGTTTAATGTCGGCTCTCTAAATACAGTTATTGTTCCCGGTGGAATAGACAGTGTCAAAGGTGTGAATGTAGAAAAGGGCAACGATATGAGTACCAACTCTACTTCTGTGAAATCCACAGGAGATAAAGTGAATGATTCGGACAGACAGAAATCTACTTCTGAAGAAGATTTTGAAAGATCTTTTGATCGTAAAAAGACACCAGAGAAAACCAAAAGTGAAACATCGCAACAAAATTCTCAAAGTATTGATTCTACGATAAATTCTGGTATTCTAGCATCAGGAATACTACTAGAAAATGGATCACCGATCATCGCATCACCTTCTTCGAGTCCAATGTCGACACAAAATACTGCAAAAAACGCTTCTGAATATGTGAACGACATCTCAAATGTGACCGGAATCAAATCAACAAATGATAAATTTTCTAATATTCCAACAGAAAATTCTGATACTAAATCTGCAAATTCACAGTTATCCAGTGTAAATGGATCCCTGAATAAATATGATAACGATAAGAATGAAGAATCAGTTCCATCTTCATCCCTACATATTCAACCCATAGTATCACCAATTGTATCAACTCCATTGATTGTTTCTACCACTGATCTCGATTCTACCAACGAAAAGATTATTGATAAATCGCCATCAAAATTACCTATTACAAAAGATTCTGATAAAATTGATTCGATGATCGCTAATCAAGGACCAGATGAATTGGATCTCAAAAAAATACCAGAAGCTTCTGAACGAATGATAGAAAACAGCACAAGAATAGGTGGATCAACAATTTCTTCCAAATCAAACGAAAAACCTCAAATTTCTGAATCGATACAATTTTCGAATTCAACTTTGAACCAATTAGAGTCAAGAGCATCTACAAATGTCGCATCACTTAATCAACTTGTCGTTCCAATTGAAATTGAAGGATCGCCAGGTATTGGCAATGAGACGAACAATTCAAAATCTTCAACGAAAACTAATTCGTCAATAGCCAATCTATCACCAACATCCATTCAATCAGTGACAACAAACCAAACGACTTTACAGTCACTTATCAAAGATTCGGATAAAAGAAACAAAGAAAATTCTATAGTTTCAAGTTCTATGGTCGATGTTACTCCAATTCAATCGAGTTTATCACAGATAATTCAAACAGAATCAACGAGCCCGAAGACGAATGAATCGCTAAATCCAGAAAAAGCAGACCGAACGCTAATTCTATCAAGTGAGCTTGACACAATCGACACCACAAAGCCCGACAAAGCAGAAATTTACAACAACAAGACCTCAACTCTACCGGAAGTAAGTAAAACAACATCGGCATCGAATGTCAGAGGTTCCTCTCCTTCTGTACAAGCATCGGGCCCAACAAGGAAACAGAACAAGTCAATAACTCAAACTACTCCGAAAATGATATCTACCTCTTCATTTCCCTTATATTCAACAAGAAATCTGACCGCAGCACCTTCATTACCCACAACAACATCAGCACCATTATCAACATCAACCACAACTTCGAAATCTAAAACAAAAGCTAAAGTAACAAATCCTTTCTCATATCAATTCAACTATCCATTTGGCTTACAGTTTAATAATCCAATTCAGCCAACAACTTCTGTACCATTGAAAAATGTTCAATCGTATTCAGAGAAAACTGCCACACCGACTAATCAGAAAACGGTGACAACTCCATTGTTGAAGATGACAACACCTTCTCTAGATGTGTCAGTAACAGAATCACCGATAGCAAACTCAGAATCCACCGATAAAACTCTTACTGTGTTTAGCACCGATTCTTCGTCCCCACAATCATCCGTGCCTCTTAAGAACTCAACAAACGACTCACCGAATATTTCAACTTCTACTTTCATAGCTACACCTTCATTCACATCTCTGAGTTTAGAACAAAATAAGCAAAATTCTGCTGTGGAAAAAGGTAAAGATGACATGAGTGTTTCAACTCTAGAAATTAGTCAAATACCACAATTTTCAAGTGAATCTCATACAAAAAATACCAATTCGAGTAGAATAGAGATGAGTGGCTCGAATAAAAGTTCATCGGATGAAATAAATTCGAAATTTAAAGCGAATGGATCAATAAGTGATGTGCCGAATGGAGTACCGGAAGGTTCGAGCCCAAAAAGCGGTATAGACGCCATTTTACCAACAGATAATCAAGGCTCATCAGAAATTCACCAACCTGATTCGAATCAGTCAGAATTGAGTTTAGAATCGAACGTTGCTTCGTTAAATACGTTCGTTGTGCCCATAGAAACCCAAGAGTCATCTACGAGTGTCAAAGATGTTAATGGATCACCTCCTAACGATACTCAAATTTCAATCTCTCAAGCAAAAACTTCAAGGAAAGAAATCAAAGATTCGTCTCTTGCTTCGGTCAAATCGACTTCAGATTCGAATGTTTCTAATATTCCAACTGAAAATATGAAAACGAAGTCTTCCAATTCTTCCGAGTTATCGAGTGCAAGTGGATCCATGGATCAATCTGATAACAATGAAGATAAAGATTCAGTTTCATCATCATCTCTACATATTCAACCCATAGTAACACCAATTGTATCAACACCATTGATCGTTTCTACCACTGATCTCGATTCTACCGATCAAGAGTCCATAGATAAATCACCATCAACATCGATGACAAAAGGTTCCGATAAAAGTGAAACTTCAAGTAATAAGAAAAAAGATTCAACTACTGATGCAATCAAAACAGGTCTAGTCTCGAATGATGTGAAGTTGGAGCAAAGAAACAATGTTACAACGAAAGGATCGAAAAACGAAGATAAAACACAAAATGAAACACAGAATAAAACAATAGAAGATTCAATGAAAAACTCTGATAAGCATTTGGTGTCACCGCCAGAAAAGAATCAAACTCTACAACCTGATTCGGATCAACCAGATTCTGATGTAGTGTTTAATGTCGGCTCTTTGAATACAGTTATTGTTCCTAATGAAACCAACCGTGTCAAAGGTGTGAATGTAGAAAAGGGCAACGAAATGAGTACCAACTCAACTTCTCTGAAATCTAATGGAGGCAATTCGGAAACTCATTCGATTATGAATAACTCGACCTCAGAAGAAACGAATACAGAGGACGAAGAAAATTGTGATGAGTCTACCGATGAAGAAACGACAACAATCGGTGCAATCGAAACTCATCAACCGACTAAAGTTTCAGAACAAAAAGATCAAAAAGGTTCTTCGAATGTTCAACCATCGCAACAAAATTCTCAAACTATCGGTTCTACAATAAATTCTGGTATTCTAGCATCAGGAATACTTCTGGAAAATGAATCACCTTCTTTGAGTCAAATGTCGACAAGTAATTTGCAAAAAGCTCCTGTGAGTGAAAACAATAATTCGACCATGACCGGAATGAACTCAACAATTGATAAAGTTCCTAATATTCCTACGGAAAATACTGATATGAAATCTTCAAATTCTTCCGAGTTATCGCTTGTAAATGGATCCATAGATAACAATCAAGACAGAGATTCAGTTCCATCGTCATCTCTACATATTCAACCCATAGTAACACCAATAGTGTCAACACCATTGGTGTTATCTACGTCACCATCAGAGATTTCAAGAGAAGCATCTGATAACAATGAGAGTACCTATGCATTAGATCAGAATCAAGACAACTTAGGATCAGAAACTGCAGCTAAATCCGATATTGTTACTGATTCGGTCAACAACTCATCCAAATCCACAAACTCAAAGCCAGAGTTTAAAGCAAATGATACATTGAATAAAACTCCAAAAGATTCAGATAAGTCGAAAACTCTACAATCTGATTCAAATAAAGCACTTAATGTTGCATCTCTAACTACGTTTGTTTCACCAGAACAAACTGAAGGACCGTCGATAAGTGTCGAGAATGTAACAAAATCTCCTGCAGCAGAGACTTCAAATGACAAGGGCAAATTTTCAGCCCCTGATGCGATCAAGCCAGATTTAATTTCGCACGATAAGTCGTTAGAGAAAGTTAACGTTACAACAGAAGGATTGGAAAAAGAAAATACAAAGAAAAATGATACAGAGAACGAGACAACTGAAGATTCAACGGAAAATGTAAATAATCATTTGATTTCAACATCGAAAAATAATCAGAGTCAAGTATCAAATTCTATGAAAGATTCAAACCAACCAGACTCGGATGTAGAACTGAACATTGCATCATTAAATACATTTGTTGTGCCCACAGAAACCCAAGAGTCATCTACAAGTGTCAAAGATGTTAATGGATCACTTCCTAACGATACTCAAATTTCAAACTCTCAAGCAAAAACTACAAGTGACGTAGTAAAAGATTCACCACTTGATTCTGTTAAATCGACTTCAAATAATAAGCCATTAGAGCAAATCAACACTACCAAGAAAAAATCGACAATAGAAAATACAAAGCAAAATGATACACAGAATAAAACAACTGAAAGTTCAATGAAATATTCCGACAGCCATTTGGTCTCAGCACCAGGAAACAATAAAGAAGAGAGAGCAGAGAAAACTCTACAACCTGCTTCGAATCAATCAGACTCTGGTGTAGTGTTTAATGTCGACTCTTTAAATACATTTATCGTTCCTGATAAAGTCAAAGGTTCGTCTAATATGGTCAAAGATGTGAACAACAATGAATCAACACCAAACAATACGAGTACAATTGTTGTTTCCGGTGGAATAGACAGTGTCAAAGGTGTAAATGTAGAAAAAGAAAACGATATGAGTACCAATTCCTCTTCTGTGAAATCCACAGGAGATAAAGTGAAAGATTCGGACAGACAGAAATCTACTTCTGAAGAAGATGCTGGAAGATCTTCTGATCGTGAAAAGACACCAGAGAAAACCAAAAGTGAAACATCGCAACAAAATTCTCAAAGTATTGATTCTACGATAAATTCTGGTATTCTAGCATCAGGAATACTCCTTGAAAATGAATCACCGATCATCGCATCCCCTTCATCGAGTCCAATGTCGACACAAAAACTGCGAAAAAAATGTCTGAAAATGTGAACGACAACTCAAATGTGACCGGAGCGAAATCAACAAATGATAAATTTTCTAATATTCCAACTGAAAATATGACAACGAAGTCTTCAATTCTTCCGAGTTATCGAGTGCAAATGGGTCCATGGATCAATCTGATAACAATGAAGATAAAGATTCAGTTCCATCATCATCTCTAAACATTCAACCCATAGTAACACCAATAATATCATCACCATTGATCATTTCTACCACTGATCTCGATTCTACCGATCAAGAGTCCATAGATAAATCACCATCAACATCGACCACCTCCGACAAAAGTGAAACTTCAAGTAATAAGAAAAAAGACTCAACTACTGATGCAATCAAAACAGGTCTAGTCTCGAATGATAATTCGTTGGAGCAAAGAAACAATGTTACAACGAAAGGATCGAAAAACGAAGATAAAACACAAAATGAAACACAGAATAGAACAATAGAAGATTCAGTGAAAAACTTCGATAACCATTTGGTCTCAGCACCAGAAAAGAATCAAACTCTAAAACCTGATTCGGATCAACCAGATTCTGATGTAGTGTTTAATGTCGGCTCTCTAAATACAGTTATCGTTCCTGATGAAGTCAAAGGTTCGTCGAATATGGTCAAAGATGTGAATAAAACAACACCAAACAATACGAGTCCTAATACAGAAAAAATTAGAACTAATAATGTAAATGAGTTGAAAAATAATTCTTCGCTGGCTGATTCTAAACCGGAAGTAGTAGACTCACTCGATATTGATTTGATGAACGATAATATTACAAAACTTCATCACTAGAGCTCTCGAGAAAATTAGCAAAAAATAACACGATTATGAATGAATCAGGAATGACAGTATCAGATGCTAATAAGTCACAGAAATCCGCAATATCATCACTTCCAATCAGGTCTGATTCTAATCAATCAGACTCAACCACAGTACTAAACGGAATATCACTTAGTCATTTCATCACACCAGAACTCCCAACGAATGGGTCGAAAATCTCATCAGCTAAATTGTCCACTGATCAATCGCCTACGGTCACGGTGTCAGGTAAAGATAAAGGTAAGTCGAACTCAGAAACAAATGATTTTGGAGCCAATCAATCAGAAATAGAAACATCTAAATCAGCATTCGATAACAATTCGAGTCTTGAACAATCATCTGATTCAGTGTCTTTAAATGCTCAACCCAAAATCTCACCAATAATAGTACCACAAATTGACACAAATACTGAAGCAGTTAATCAAGAATCAGTATTAGTCTCACCAAAAACATTGACTTCTAATGGGTTGAAAAATTTCCAACCATTTATAAGTGTCGATAATGCAAATATTTCTAAAGTTATTCCTGAGGCCAAAAGTGACAACAATACAAACCAGTCACTGATAACTGAATCATCAGGAAATTCATCAGAAAATAAGATCACAAGTAATTCAATTCTCACCAGTTTGGAAACCACACAGCCACAATTTACCAGCGAGTCACAAATTGTTCAGCTTGACACTTACAATCCAGACTCGATTCCTTTGAATGGTAAAACATCCAATCAAACTGAATCGGTCAACAAACCACAGGAAGTTAAGGTATCGAATGTTAATCAACCAGAAACTCGTCGAGAGTCAATCGATAGCGGGTCAACAATCGCCCCATCAATAGATTTTGATGAAAGTAAAAAAGCTTCGATGAATTCGGAATCGCCAATTAATATGTTAGATAATTTGAATTCCCTGAAAAATGTTGATAGTAATTCAACTAACGATTCAACGAAAACAGTAGTGGCTTCATCGCCCGTTAGATCAATTGACCTACAAAACTCAAAGTCTAGCGACCAAACAGTAGACGCAACATTAGCTACAAGTGCATTGACATCGACCTTGACCAATGGTCAACCTGTTGTTGAAAAAGAATTGAAAAATCAACAGAAAAGCTCAAGTGATTTGGACAATCGAACAGCTAAACAACAAAAACAACCTATAAGTGAAACCGAAAACAATGAAAATGTTCAATCGACTATTGTTATATCGTCTGTACCAACGGAAAACTCGAGTGTAATTGAGAAGAAACCAATGATTGAAGCAAATGAAACGTCAGAGACTTCGAAAAACAAAGACCAAAATCATGTTGTTTCAACATTGGAAATTAATCAAGTACCACAATTTTCGAGTGAATCTCATACAATTAACTTCGATTTGAGTGGAAAAGATTCACCTTCATCGTCAACTACCAAGAAAAAATCGACAATAGAAAATACAAAGAAAAATGATACACAGAATAAAACAACTGAAGATTCAATGAAAAACTTCGATAACCATTTGGTCTCAGCACCAGAAAAGAATCAAACTCTACAACCTGATTCGAATCAATCAGACTCTGGTGCAGTGTTTAATGTCGGCTCTCTAAATATAGTTACTGTTCCTGATGAGATTAAAGGTGCGTCAATTATGGTTAAAGATGTAAATGAATCAACACCAAACAATACGAGTTCTAATACAGACAAAACAAGTACAGTTACTGTTCCCGGTGGAATAGACAGTGTCAAAGGTGTAAATGTAGAAAAAGACAACGATATGAGTACCAATTCCTCTTCTGTGAAATCCACAGGAGATAAAGTGAAAGATTCGGACAGACATAAATCTACTTCTGAAGAAGATTCTGGAAGATCTTCTGATCGTAAAAAGACACTGGAGAAAATCCAAAATGAAACATCGAAACAAAATTCTCAAATTATTGATTCTACGATAAATTCTGGTATTCTAGCATCAGGAATACTACTAGAAAATGGATCACCGATCATCGCATCACCTTCTTCGAGTCCAATGTCGACACAAAAAACTGCGAAAAAAATGTCTGAAAATGTGAACGACAACTCAAATGTGACCGGAATGAAATCAACAAATGATAAATTTTCTAATATTCCAACTGAAAATATGACAACGAAGTCTTCCAATTCTTCAAATGCTTCCGAGTTATCGAGTGAAAGTGGACCCACGGATCAATCTGATAACAATGAAGATAAAGATTCAGTTCCATCATCATCTCTAAACATTCAACCCATAGTAACACCAATAATATCATCACCATTGATCATTTCTACCACTGATCTCGATTCTACCGATCAAGAGTCCATAGATAAATCACCATCAAAATTAATCGCAAAAGATTCCGATAAAACTAAAACTTCAATTGACAAGAAAAAAGATTCAACTAATGATGCAATTAATCTAGTTCGAACGATAGGTCGTTAGAAAAAGTAAACGTTACTACAAAAGGATTGAAAAACGACACAGAGAAAGATGGCATTCAGAATAAAACGATAAAAGATTCAATAAAAGGCCCCGATTATCATTTGGTATCAGTCTCAGAAAATAATACAGCATTCGCACCTGATTCGAATCAATCAGACTCTGGAGTAGTGTTTAATGTCGGCTCTCTAAATACAGTTATTGTTCCTGATGAAACCAACCGAGTCAAAGATGTTAATGCAGAGAAAGACAACGAAATGAGAACCAACTCAACTTCATTGAAATCTACAGGAAATTCGGAGACTCATCCGATTATGAATAACTCTACCTCGGAAGAAACGCCTACAGAGGATGAAGAAAATTGTGATGAATCTGCCGATGAAGAAACGACAACAATCAGTGCAATAGAAACTCATCAACCAACTAAAGTTACAGAACAAAAAGATCAAAGTGGTTCGTCCAATGTTCAAACATCGCATCAAAATTCTCAAACTATTGGTTCTACGATAAATTTTGGCATTAATCAATCAGATTCAGGTGTAGAATTGAATGTTGCATCAGCAAATGCGTTCGTTTGCCCATTGAGACAAAAGAATCGTCTACAAGTGTCAAGACCTAAATGGATCAGCACCTAAACATACAAATGCTGATAAGACTACGAGTAATCTTGCGATGACCACTATGGGTGGCAAAGCAAAAGAGTCCACACCTGATTCAGTTGGTTCAACTCAACCTAAAAAAGATGGAATATTGGAACGAATGAATGTTGGAACTAAAGAAAACGCAAATGAAGATGTGAATCGGAATGATACCCCAAATGGAAAATTAGAAGGTTCAACGAAATTTGATTCTAATCAAATAGATTCAAGTGTCGGGTTGAATGTTGCATCATTGAATACGATTGTCGTACCTGAGGTACAAAAAGATTATCAAATTAACAATGATTCAACTTCATTGAAATCTAATGGAGGCAATACGGAAACTCATTCGATTATGAATAACTCGACCTCGGAAGAATCGACTACAGAGGATGAAGAAAATTGTGAAGAATCTGCAGATGAAGAAACGACAACAATCAGTGCAATCGAAACTCATCAACCGACTAAAGTTTCAGAACAAAAAGATCAAAAAGGTTCTTCGAATGTTCAACCATCGCAACAAAATTCTCAAACTATCGGTTCTACAATAAATTCTGGTATTCTAGCATCAGGAATACTTCTGGAAAATGAATCACCTTCTTTGAGTCAAATGTCGACAAGTAATTTGCAAAAAGCTCCTGTGAGTGAAAACAATAATTGACCATGACCGAATGAACTCAACAATTGATAAAGTTCTAATATTCCTACGGAAAATACTGATATGAAATCTTCAAATTCTTCCGAGTTATCGCTTGTAAATGGATCCATAGATAACAATCAAGACAGAGATTCAGTTCTATCGTCATCTCTACATATTCAACCCATAGTAACACCAATAGTGTCAACACCATTGGTGTTATCTACGTCACCATCAGAGATTTCAAGAGAAGCATCTGATAACAATGAGAGTACCTATGCATTAGATCAGAATCAAGACAACTTAGGATCAGAAACTGCAGCTAAATCCGATATTGTTACTGATTCGGTCAACAACTCATCCAAATCCACAAACTCAAAGCCAGAGTTTAAAGCAAATGATACATTGAATAAAACTCAAAAGATTCAGATAAGTCGAAAACTCTACAATCTGATTCCAGTATAGAGCTCAATGTCGCATCTCTAAATACTTTTGTTATACCAGAACAAACTGAAGGGTCATCAGCAGTAAAAAACATCACAAGCTCACCTACATCAGTGAATTTAAGTGATAAGACCAAAGAATCAGCTCCTGATGGGATCAAATCAGATTCAGTCTCGAACAAGGCATCGTTAGAGCAAATCAACACTACAACGAATAAATCGGCAACAGAAAATACAAAGCAAAATGATACACAAAATCATAATTTGTCGAGCGTAAAAGGATCCGTGGATAAATCTAATAATGGTAACAGTCAAGATGAAGGTCCAGTTCCATCATCATCTCTACACATTCAACCCATAGTAACACCAATAGTGTCAACACCCTTGATTGTTTCCTCTACCGGCATCGATTCTACCGATCGAGAGTCCATAGACAAATCACCATCAACATCGATGACAAAAGATTCCGATAAAACTGAAACTTCAAGTGACAAGAAAAAAGATTCAACTACTGATGCAATAAAATCCACTCTAATCTCGAACGATAAGCCGTTAGAAAAAGGTAACGTTACCACGAAAGGACTAAAAAACGATACAGAGGATAGAAAAACAGAAGATTCAGTTAAAAACTCTGATAACCATTTGATTTCAACATCGAAAAATAATCAGAGTCAAGTATCAAATTCTATGAAAGATTCAAACCAACCAGACTCGGGTGTAGAACTGAATGTTGCATCATTAAATACGTTTGTTGGGCCCATTGAAACCCAAGATTCGTCTTCGAGTGTTACAAATGTTAATGAACCAGTTCCTAATGATACAAAGACACACTCTGAAACGATAAAATCCCCACACTCAAAAGATACGAGTGACGAAATGAAAGACTCGTCCCTCGATTCGGTCAAATCAACTTCAGATTCAAATGAGAAACCAAAAGAAGAATTCAGCTTTACAACTAAAGGATCGAACAAAGAAAACACAAAGCAAAATGATACAACAAATAAAACACCAGAGAGTTCAGTAGAAAGTCCCGATAATTATTCGCCAGCATCAAAAAAGAATCAAACTCTAAAATCTGATTCGAATCAATCAGATTCTGGTGTAGTGTTTAATGTCGGTTCTTTAAACACTGTTATTGTTCCTGATGAAACCAAAGCATCGTCAATCAGTGTCAAAGATAAACTTGTATCAACCCCTACCGATCAGAGTCATGTTATAGAGGCAACTAAAAGTAATAAAGTAAATGAGTCGAAAACTAGTTCGTCAACGACTGATTCCAGCCCGAGAACAGTAGATTCGCACGACATTGGAACTTCATCAGATAGAATTACTGGAAATCCTGATGAGACCAAGCTTATCACCGAATCTGATGAGGAAGAAAAAGACAAATCAGAGCCAATATCAATTTCCGTGAGAAATGAATTAACATCGACTATTGTTATATCGTCTGTACCAACGGAAAACTCGAGTGTAATTGAGAAGAAACCAATGATTGAATCAAATGAAACGTCAGAGACTTCGAAGAAAAAAGACCAAAATTATGTTGTTTCAACATTGGAAATTAACCAAGTACCACAATTTTCAAGTGAATCTCATACAATTAACTTCGATTCGAGTGGAAAAGATTCACCTTCATCGTCAACTAATAAATCGTTGGATCAAATAAACGGAAAAGTTGAAACGAATGGACCATCAAATGATGTATCTAATAAAACATTGGAAAATGCAAACCAATTAGATTCAAATGTAGTGATTAATGGCTCATCTCTAAATACGGTTGTTTTGTCGGGAGAAACTGACAGACAAGCAATTAGTGTCAACGATTTTCATGTAACCTCAACGAATGCTATGAGTATAAACACAGGAAAATCTTCAGGAGATAAGGAGAAAGATTCGGAAACTCATTCGATTATGAATAACTCGACCTCAGAAGAAACGACTACAGAGGACGAAGAAAATTGTGATGAATCTGCTGATGAAGAAACGACAACAATCGGTGCAATAGAAACTCATCAACCGACTAAAGTTACTGAACAAAAAGATCAAAAGGTTCGTCCAATGTTCAAACATCACAACAAAATTCTCAAACTATCGGTTCTTCAATAAATTCTGGTATTCTAGCATCAGAATTAAACATTCAAGGTATTGATTCCTCTGCAACAAAATCGATGGGTTTTAGTTCATCAAATAATCAATCAGATGTTCCACATTCAGATAAATCAGTTATCGTTACTAATACACATCCGGTAATTGTCACTTCACCATCTGAACATCCAGAGCAGGAAAATAAAAATCAATCTCACCATCAAGAGCTGATAAATAATCATGATGATGATCACGACGAATCAGATGAGCCATGTGACCTGGAAGAAGAGGAAGATGAAACAACGACGATAATCACATCAGAACCATTTACCACAGAGTCGACAATCCGTTCAGATGAAATTAATCCACAAAATTTGGCTCACAATTCATTGAACACTCAACTATTACAATCAAGTATTCAAATTGATCAAATCAAAATGATTCCAGAAACTGATTCATTCAAGAAACATTTAACTGATTCACACGACGAACATGTTGCTTCAGATCATTCAAATCATTCGGAGGCTAAATCGTTCCCAGGTAAATTCACTCGGTAAATCAAAATTCCAGATAATATAAGTTTCTTTTCTCGTCAATCTTTTTTATCCTCAGGTCAAAAATTCATTAAACAATGTGCATGTAAACGGATAAGAGTCAAAGACGATAAAAGATGAAGGACAAAGTAACAAAGTTCGATAACTGAATTTAACTTCGGCAATCATTGGATAATATTAAGAAATAAAAATCTATTTTATTCACACTAATTGTCTCGTTTTAGAATTTCAAAGAAAAAGATCACTTTCACTATTTTCGATTAGTTTAGAATTCAAAGAGACGGGTATCCAAAGAATCACGAACTTTAAGGTCAATCGAAAGTTATCAAAGGTGAGAATTCTAAGTTATGTTCAGTCTTGCCGTTCTTTCGTACAAACTAATTCGTCTTTCGGTGATCAAGTCTAATTGTTCATCTAAATCATTTCAATAAAATTGATACATATTGTTATCATTTTCTGGTTGATAATATTGATCAATCGATAAGTAATATATTCCAATTTCTTATTAATCATCTTTTGCTTGTACAAATCAATTGTAATAATTTTCTTTTGATTAAAAACTATCAGGTTGGCCTAATTTTGAACATTCTAATTATAATTTGTTCTGTTATCAATTGAGAACTGCAATCAAGTATCAATCGGTGGTTTATAATAATTTCGACATCTTTCATAGAATACCTGTGGAAATAATAGTGGAATGGAAGAGAAAATTGATCAGAAAATTCGAATTAGAGAACAATCATAGGCTATCGATTTACTCACTTTTCTACTTCGATCTTTGACCACTTCTTCGACGTTGAGCTCTTTTTGGAAGGATCGTAACTATGAAAGAGAGAGAAAAAAAACCATCGAAAAAAGAAAATTAGATCAAAACAGTTACCATATACAGAGAGAAATTGTTTAGATTGTGATAGCCAATGGGTTTAATTGAGCTTAGAAATTGAGAGTAAACTTGTAAGAAATGAATTTCTCAGTGGTGAATAATCAACAATCTAAATTGTTGAAAGTGTTTTGATTATTTCAAATTAGCAGAAAGAAAATCAATCCATACTTTCATCTGCTCCTTCTTTAGCTGTTTGAATAGCTCAATGTTATCCTTTGAATCTTTCAATTGTTTCACTTTCTCTGTCACTGATGAAATGCATCTCCTAATGGCCTTTTCCCTGTTATTGTAAGATTCATTTAACTGTGAATAAAGAAAATAAAATTCATGAGTTTACAGAATTGAAACAAAAAATGAATCCAAATACAAACCAACCTGAAACCATAAATCTTTACAGTCTCTTGTCAATAGGGAAACATCATTCTTATGAGAATCAACTGAGATTGAATTATTCAGGGCATAGATAATATTGTCATCAATTTTTCTCATCTTCATGATGTGATCCTGAATGTAGAGAAAACAAGAAAAACAATTAAAGAATTAATTGACAAACAATTGATCAAAATAAAAGAAAAAAAAATAAACAATACAAAAGGTTAACCGGTAAACCTTTGAGAGATTAAGAAATGAACAAAAATTACCTGAAAGGCGAGTAAATCATCACAAGGAGTTAAATCAGTTCCACTTGTGGAAATCATGGATTAGAATTTAAACTAATTAAACAATTAAAGAAACACAATCAACACAAAAGAAGAAAAAACCAAAACAAACTCAAAAGAGAAAAGAAAACAAATTGAGAAAAAGAGAAAAAGTCAATCACATGGTTTGGATTCTATTCTATTGGATAACCAGTTGATGTTTCTCTCCACATGAGGACAGTTAATCTCTTTCTCTTTCTCTCTCTCTTAATCTCTTCTCCATCTAATCAAATTAATCTCATGTAGATTGAATTTTCTCTGTGATTAATTGTGTTCAATTACCTCCATTTGAAGGTTGGTGTTAATTGTTATCAAAGAGTAAAAAACAACAACAATGGATCATTACAATTGTTATCAAAATGTTGATTTTCTCAATTCAATAGTTTATCATGTTACGTGTGTTAATTGGTTACAATTTAATTTTCTAATCATCCTGTAGTTTTGTAGATTTACATGATTAATTTTGATTGATCAGTAATTTATTGTTTCGTTTTTATCTTCTATGTGTTGTTGATAACTGAGTGAAAATTAGTGAAAAATTATTGTAAATTAAACTTAACTGAGTTACAATTGTATTGGGATAATCAGTTAATGGAATCAAATCAATCCAATGGAAATTAAAATGTTAACTATCAGTGATAATTGGATTAACTTATTCATCTTCATTAATCAACAAATTTCTTCTTATATCTTAGAATTACTTGTTTAACAATTTACTACAATTGGTGCCACTAATCAATAGATAAAAAGTAAATTAATCCGATGGAGAATCAACAATCATTGTGAATTATCATCTTTCCAAATGATTAATCGATATAATTAACATTCAATAAGGAATCAAAGAGAGATCAAGTTAATTAATACATTATCTTAATTAACAACAACATAACAACAACAACAACAATCAAGTTAATTTGATAAACTGTTTCAAAAGGGAAATTGAAAATCTTGATCATCTCAATTGTGTCTCACTCACCAAAACTGACCAGGTAAAAAATACAAGGAAACAATTGAAATAATTATCATTATGTGTGCGACTACAATTAACATCAATCAAAATGTAATTACCTGGAAAAGGATACAATTGAAACGGTCCAAATTGAAAGCTTCGGCGAAAACTTCATCCATGTTAGCTGGATTCGCCATTGTCGCCATGGTTGAGGTCAGTTTCCAAAACGAACCCGATAATCCAGTTCCACCTTATCTCCTGATGATATTCAGCGTCAATACGATACTTTTGGTTTCGGTTCACATGTTGGCCTTAATGATATCAATTTGTATTCTACCAAGTTTAGAAGAGATTTGTCAAGCTAATCAATTCGGTAAAATTGATCCAACTTCATCTCCTCATGATGAGCTCAATATTTTCATTGAACTTTCATGGATTTTATCAAATGTTTTAGGTTTATTATTGTTTCTCATTGAATGTGTTATCTGTTGCTGGTTAAAATTCTGGGAAAATGGTTCACCCAGAGGTGAACCAGGTAAACGAGTCGCTCTTTCAGCGACAATTTTATTCATTCCTATTTTAATTACCTTCATCTATTTTGCTAATCACTTTTATCATTCTTTGGTTAAATATAATTTTGAACGATCAGCTTTACAATTAAAGGAAGTTGAAAATATTGCTCTTGATTTGAGAAGTGGTTTTCCTCATGACATTGCCAGATCAACTTCATTACAACCAAATTTTGCTCATTCCACCGTAATCATTATATAAAAACAATTGTATCGATCAAACAATTAAATATTTAATTCTAAATGTTTTCAATTAATTTCGTGTGTCGTCAGTTCAAATGAGAATCTCTCCTTACTTTGATTCTCTCTCTCTCTCTCTCTCTCTCATTTTCTCTTTTTAATTAGTCTCTTATCATTATAATAGTTTGACTCTGATCAGAGAATTAATTTAATCATCTAAATGTGATTAATTTAATAACGATTTCAATTATTTTCGCAACGAAATTAGAATAGAATCATTTCTATCCACCAGGTGGCGCTCGACGCAAAGAAATCAACAGCTGATGAAAAGTAGAAAACAAAATTAAATCAATTGATTGAATTGAATTTAATCAGTAGCTTATTTTTTGATTAATCATTATTTTAATTTCAATTTTTGATTGTTTTATTGATTACCTTGTGTTAAAGATTCTATGAGTTGCTTGTCATGTCTTCTACTGTATCAGGTTCGTTGACTGAAGAGGAGAAAACTGAGAAACTTCAATCAGGTAAAACTGCTCCAAATGTTGATGTGAAACCTAAATTTTTAACTCGTGAGGAACGTGAAAAATTGGCCTTACAGAGACGGGAACAAGAAGCGGCTGCAATAAGGAAACGAAATGAAGAAGCTGCTCGTCAAAGGCAACAACTATTGGAAAAAGTGAGAAGGGATAAAGACTCTGATCGAATGGAGATTGACAGGAGAATAGATTCTGAATCAAGAGACCGGCGAGATAGACGAGATGAAAGACGTGATGATAGAAGGGGTCGAGATCGAGATCGAGATGATAGAAATCGAGATAGAGACCGAGAAAGAGATCGTCCAACGGTTGATGATGATGAAGAACCAAAAGAGAAAGATAAGAAAAGAGAATCCGAAGCAATTAAAGAAAGATATCTTGGTGCTAATAAAAAGAAGAAAAAACTTCGCCGATTAAATGAGCGAAAATTTGTCTTCGATTGGGATGCAGCGGAAGATACAAGTGATGATTATAATCCAATCTACAAAGATCGACACACAATCCAATTATATGGTAGAGGTCATATCGCTGGAATCGATTTGAAGCAACAAAAGAAAGAACAATCTCGATTTTATGGAGAATTATTGGAACGTCGTCGAACAGATGAAGAAAAGGAACAAGAAAAATATCGACTTGAGAAGGTCAAAAAGAAGGAAGAAAAACAAACTTGGGACGATCGACATTGGACCCAAAAAGGTTTACCAGAAATGAGAGAAAGAGATTGGCGAATATTTCGAGAAGATTTTAGTATCTCCATCAAGGGAGGAAAAATTCCAAATCCAATTCGAAATTGGGAAGAGTCCGGATTACCTAAACCGATCATTAAGATTATCGATGAGTTGAAATACAAGGATCCAACGCCTATCCAGCGACAGGCCATTCCCATTGGACTGCAAAATCGTGACATCATTGGTGTCGCTGAAACGGGTTCCGGTAAAACGGCCGCTTTCCTGATTCCATTGCTTGTCTGGATCACCGCTCAACCAAAATCTATCCGCCAGGAGGAAATTGATCAAGGTCCTTATGCACTAATTTTAGCACCAACTCGTGAATTGGCTCAACAGATTGAAGAGGAAACACTCAAATTTGCCACATCTCTGGGAATCAGAACTGTTTCCGTTATTGGTGGTGCTTCAAGGGAAGAGCAAGGGCTTAAGCTCCGTTTAGGTTGTGAAATTGTTATCGCCACTCCTGGTAGATTGATCGATGTCTTAGATAATCGTTACCTTGTTTTAAGTCGATGTACTTATGTTGTTCTCGATGAAGCCGATCGTATGATTGATATGGGTTTCGAACCTGATTTACAAAAGATTCTTGATAAAATGCCAGCGACCAATTTAAAACCAGACACGGATGATGCCGAAGATGAAGATAAATTAATGTCCAATCTCAATTCTAAGCTTAAATACCGACAGACTGTCATGTTTACTGCTACTATGCCACCGAGTGTTGAACGTTTAGCTCGAGCGTATCTTCGTCGTCCAGCAATGGTCACTATTGGTTTAGCTGGTAAACCGGTAGAAAGAGTTGAACAGGTCGTTTATCTTGTAGCCGAATCAGAGAAACGTAAGAAACTTGTCCAGGAATTAGAACGTGGTGTTCAACCGCCCATCATGATATTCGTTAATCAAAAGAAGGGTGCCGATGTTTTGGCTCGAAGTCTAGAAAAGATCGGCTTCTCCGCGATCACCTTACATGGTGGTAAAGGTCAAGAACAGCGAGAATACGCTTTGGCTGCTCTTAAATCGGGCGAGAAAGATATTCTTGTGGCCACCGATGTGGCCGGTAGAGGTTTAGATGTGAAAAATGTTTCACTGGTCATCAATTATGATATGGCAAAATCTATCGAAGATTATACTCATCGTATTGGTCGAACAGGTCGTGCCGGTGCTACAGGTAGAGCGATATCTTTCTTGACCAAAGACGATTCTCACCTTTTCTATGATCTAAAACAATTATTGACCCAAAGTCCAGCGTCAACTTGTCCACCTGAATTAGCCAATCATCCTGATGCTAACCACAAACCAGGAGCATCTACCGGTCAGAAAAAACGTAAAGATGAAACAATTTTCGTCTAAACATTTTCATCATCAACTGACCAACAAACAATAATCATCATCATCTTGACCACATCTCCAATCATTTAACACAAACTGTATCATAATTTTTTTTCGTCATCAAATTGATTCACCTTAGAAAACCTCACTACCACTTTTTCCAAGAAAAAATATTATCAATTTTGTTGATTAATCTAAATAACAATTAACAATCAAGCTAATTAAAGTCAATTAATTCATAAAGAATGAAAATCCCGCGTTTACTTGGATTTGTATTTCTCTGTTTTTCTTGCACGTGGTTTTGTTTACATTCATTTCAATGTGACAAAAAAGTGAAAGATTTTCTTAATTAGTCTTTTAATTTGCTCAATTGTGTTCTCTTTTTTAATTGTGATTAATTTATTCTTTTTTTCATCCAGTTAATCGATTCTCTTAGTGTGTTGATTTGTGAGATAATGACAGAAACAGTTGAACGAGTTTTAGCTCAATTCAAGAACGAATCTGGTGAAATATTTGGTTCTCCATTAGATTTACCAATTAACGTTGATTCTCGTAAATTGTCAATCTTATTTAATGCTATTTACAATTCGGATAAAGAATCAGTCCCATACTCTTTTTTTCTGGAAGAGACTGAGATTAGAGATTCTTTAAAGAAAACGATTGAAGAATCAGCTGATTCTAAGAATTGGTCATCAGAGAAAATTGTTTACATCACTTTTGCCCCTCAAGCGGTTTTCAGGGTTCGTCCAGTGACCCGATGTTCAGCATCGTTACCTGGTCATGCTGAGGCCGTTATTTCGGCTTCTTTTAGTCCCGATGGATCTTCACTGGCCTCGGGTTCGGGTGATACCACAGTTAGATTCTGGGATGTGACAACTCAAACACCTCATCATACTGCTCGTGGTCATCGCAATTGGGTGTTGGTCATCTCATGGGCTCCAAATGGACTTAAATTAGCTTCAGCTTGTAAAAATGGCGAGATAATTGTTTGGGAAGCCAAAAGCGGCAAACAGATTGGATCAACTTTGAAAGGACATAAACAATGGATCAACGCTTTATCATGGGAACCCTTACACAGGTAATTGTTTCAGAACAATTTACCTTCACAATTAAGTTGAAATTCTAAAATTTTTTTCTTCAACTTTTACAGAGATGGTGATTGTAGACGACTGGCCAGTGCTTCCAAAGATGCTACCATCAGAATTTGGGACACAATCTTAGGTCAATCTTTAATCATTCTCTGTGGTCACTCAGCTTCGATTACATGTTTAAAGTGGGGGGGAACTGGATTAATCTACAGTGGATCTCAAGACAGAACGCTAAGAGTTTGGAGAGACAGTGATGTAAGTTTGCGATTTTTTATCTCTCAATTTTTTTTCGAATTTCTACAAAATATCTAATAATCTATGTATGATTTTCTAAAGGGTGTTCTGTGTCGGACATTAGAAGGCCATGGACATTGGCTTAATACTCTTGCTCTAAGTACTGATTATGTTATGAGAACTGGAGCTTTCGAACCAGCCAAAGGAGTTAAACAGAATTCAATCGACGATTTGGCTCAAGTGGCCTTAGAACGATATAATAAAGCTCGAGGGGAGAAAGAGCGTCTCGTTTCTGGGTCAGATGATTTCACTTTATTCCTTTGGGAACCGGAAGATGCTAAGAAACATGTCGCCCGAATGACCGGACACCAGCAATTGATCAACGATGTTAAATTTTCACCCGATACTCGGATAATTGCGAGCGCATCTTTTGATAAATCAATTAAACTCTGGGATGGTAAAACGGGAAAGTAAGTTGATTAATGAAATAATCTTTTAATTGTTTTGATGAGTATATTTCCATTTAATTGCTTGATAAAGGAGACAAGGGGTAGAGGTGGATAAGTTTTCATTATCCATATGGTTGATTATTTGTTTCGTAATTTTTTTTTTGGTAATTAATTATCTCTGCTTAACAATTTCCTCTTCTTCTTCTTCTTCTTCTTAAATTGTTACAATTTTGTCAAACAATTGAAATTGTAAAAATAATAGATATATAACTTCATTAAGAGGACATGTTCAAGCGGTTTATCAAATTGCTTGGTCAGCTGATACAAGGTTATTGGTCAGTGGAAGCGCCGATTCAACGGTTAAAGTTTGGGATATGTCAACAAGAAAGTTACTCCAAGATCTTCCTGGACATGCTGATGAGGTTTGCCAATTAAATATCTCCTTTAGGCCAGAATTAATTGTTATCTATTTAACTATATTCAATATTCCTCTTGCGGGTCAATTTTCTTTGCGTTTTGTTTTTAGGTTTACGCCATTGACTGGAGTCCTGATGGTGAACTTGTTGCCAGCGGTGGGAAAGATAAGCTCTTGAAAATGTAAATAAGTACTTTCTTTGTTTCTCCTGGTCAACTTATCCGTCGTTATTTAATTTCTTTTTGCAATTGATTTAAATGGTTCGTATTTGCTTCAATTTTCTTCCTTTACGCTTTGGTTTAGATGGAGGACGTGAACTTTTTGGAACTTTAAATGTTGGATATCCAAACTGGATGGGATGACTTTTGGTTCGACGATAAAACATTTGGCGCGCAAACTTTTTATGGTTGATAAAAAAAGATGGAAAAGTTAGAAATTAACATAGAAAATGTTAACGTCAAAGGGACAGCGATTTATATATAAGGGAAAATGGTTGTTTGAATATTTTTTCTCTCTCTCTTGTTTTTCTGTACATTTAAAGCGTAAGAATAATTAACAGGAAATAATATTTTCATCCAACGCTTGAAGCTTTTCGTTGGCCATTGAATTCTGAGACAATTGATTCATTGAAGGTAAACTCTTTCTCTTCCTATGGTTGTTGTTGTGTGTGGGGAGAACATAAAAAAAAGAAGGATACAGAGAAAACATAGAACATATAAAAACAGATGAGACAAAATTCATGGACAAATTGTTGTTATCAATCAAGACAAATGAATTTAGGAACGTGAAAGCGACATTTAAAATAATTAGATTACAATTCTTACCTCAGAAGTATCGTTATTGTCAGTGGTACTTGTACTGGCTGAAGAACAAGTTAAATTGTCAACATCAATGTGATAAGGAGCTGAAGGTGTAGATGAACTAATCGATGGTGTTACTTCAAAAGCAACTTCTTTTGTATTTTTAGGATCCAAACTTGATGAATTACTTGGAACATCACCTTTGCCATCTTGGAGAGGTAAATGATAACCTCTTTTATCCATTTTTCGGACTAAAATTTGAACCAAAGAAAACAATGGAAAAAAGACAATTAAGTAAATAGACATAAATTCTATTCTTTTGAATAAAATATATGTTCCGATTTCACTTACATTCGTTTTTATATCGGCGAAGTTCCTGTTTAGTTTCATCGATCTGTTGAGTTAGTGTTTTATTCTTGGTTCTCTCACGTTCCAGAGCGCCTTCTAATTCTCGAATTTGAGTTACTCTGATTAAACTTGAAGAATCTTTAGCCGGACTATTAGTTGGATGATGACCAAACCATGATGCCTGAAAATGTGGAAAAAGGAAAGAAAAGAAAAGAAATAAAGTTAATAATCTGATCTGTTTGTACTTTTTAATAAATTATGGTTTCTTTTTTTTTTGGTTGTTCCATTGTTATATTAATAATTTTCTACCTTCTTTGGTTTATCCTTTTGGTTTCGTAACATGTCAATGAGTTTCAATTGTTGATTAGCTGTTTCATTGAACTTTACTTGTTCTAATTGAAATTTGTTTCTCTCATCTTCCAATTCGGTAACAATAACATCGATTCTTTTCTGTAGAACATCATTTCTAACCAGAGCTTCTTCCAAAGCTAAAGAAAGTTGCTTATTCTGTGAGTTAATCTGAGCGATACTGGTAATGTGCTCAGAGGCTTCTTCTTTCAGGTAAAATATTTCTTTCTCATAATCGTTTAGTTTTTGCTGGAGAAAATCAACAGTCTTTTGTTTCAGTTCATTTTCTTTCAACAAAGAAGGTAATTCATCTTCATGGAGAACACGGAATTGTTTTTCCTCTTCCAAAGCGTCTTGAATTTCTTGAAGCTCTTTCTCAAGCTCACAATTTTTTGTCTTATAATCAGTTACACTTGATTCTAAAGCTGTAATGGTCGATGACATGTCCATCACTTGGCTTTGGTATTTATTAGTTATTGATTCAAGCTCTTGTTCCAACTTGGTTATCTTTTCCAACATTTTAGCTTTTTCCTCGGTCAATTTAACTTTAACATCTACTTGGCATTTGAAAAGGTTTTCAAATTTGGAAACCTGAGTTTCAACGGAGGCACAAGTTTCTTTCAGAACTTTATTGGTTGATGTTAACTTTTCATTAATGGTAACCAATTCAGCTTTCTCTTTTTCCAAAGAAGAACATTTCTCTTCACAACTGGTCTTCTCATCTGTTATCTTCTTAACATCAGCGGAAGCATTTTCACATTTGACTTTCCATTGTTCAATCTCTGTCTCTTTTTCCTTCAGTTTGGCTTCCAATTCTTCACATTTTTCTGCGCTTTCCTTTTTCGCACTCCTTAAATACTCCAATCTAGACTTTGATTCTTTAATATCCCTTTGAGCACATCGCAATTCAAATTTAACTTCTTGTAGATCTTTTTTGGACACACCTTCAGATTCCTTGCGAAGAGATTCTACCGTTTCGGACAAGGTCATTATCTGGTTTTCATAATCTTCTTTAACCGCTCTTAAATATTCCAATGCAGCTCGATCAATACGTTCACGTTCAGCCCTCTCCTTTTCCAATAATTTATTCAAAGTGGCATTTACACGATTAAAATCATCAACACTTTTATACCTTCTCAAAGGTGATCCAATGGGTGTTGAGACAACCATTTTTTTTTAAACAAGAAAAGAACAAAAAAAAGAGAAGAGAAAAGCAAACCAATTGTCAGTTGAAAAGAACCACAATTTTCCACCAAACAAAAAATATCAGAAAGGAAGACACAAATTCACTTTAACAACAACAATAGACAATCTAAATAAGATGTAACAATTAAAGGTAACAATAATTAATAGAAAAGTAATTAAAGAGAAACGTCTTGTTCATTTACTTTAAACATCCAAATGAAAAAACTGTTTTTTTTGTTTCTTTTTTGAATTTTGTTTTCCAACGTTCGTTTTCAGTGTCGCCATCTGTCGGTAGAATCAGCAAATTCTTTTGAAAGGTTGAATCGACATTTCCAATTTAATTTTTCCTTTTCCTTTATTTACTTTTGTGTCTTGGATTATCTTTTTATTTAGATTCTAATTAACTTTAATTTAGATTAATTTAATGGCGGGGTCACCTTTACGCCGTTTAATGGCAGAATATAAACAATTAACTCTCAATCCACCTGAAGGTATTATCGCTGGACCAATAGACGAAGAAAACTTCTTTGAATGGGAAGCCCTAATAACAGGTGAGTTTTTTAATTCTTTTCTATTTCTTTTTTGTTTCTTAATTGTTTCTCCATTTTATTTTATTCCAATTTAGAATTAATTACCATGGCTATGTGATTATTGTTGTAATTTAGTTTTGCCTCGATCATTTTTTTTCTTTCGTACACTTTTGTTCTCTTGTCATGTTACTGATGCTCTTTTATGTGATGACATTATTTTGGTCTCCAAATGTTTACCATTATTGTTACTCAGTTTTGAATTTCTGTCTTTTTTTTAGGTTACTGATTTTATCCATCAGGTTTAGTTAATTGATTAGCTGATTGTAATCACTTGAAACTTAATTTATATTTGACTTGTTTTTACGTTCTTTTTGATATATGAAATGGTTTTGTCACGATGTTCCTTTTATCGATTTTTGATCTTTGAAATTTATTTTTTTTTTATTATTAACTCTTTTTCTTTTTCTTTTATTTTTTTCTCTATTAGGTCCTGAAGGAACTTGTTTTGAAGGTGGTGTTTTCCCTGCTCGTCTTGCTTTTCCTCCCGATTATCCTTTAAGTCCACCTAAGATGCAATTTACATGTGAAATGTTTCACCCGAACATCTATCCCGATGGTCGAGTTTGTATCTCAATTTTACACGCACCGGGCGATGATCCCATGGGCTATGAATCTTCAGCTGAACGTTGGTCGCCAGTACAAAGTGTGGAGAAAGTTTTACTCTCAGTTATTTCCATGTTAGCTGAACCCAATGAAGAATCTGGAGCTAATGTTGATGCTGCGAAAATGTGGCGAGAAGATAGAAATCAGTTCTACATAATTGCTGACAGATTGGTTCGAAAATCTCTAAATCTTCCCGTTTAATCAGCACAATTAATATATAAATCACCTAATTGATTATCTATGTGTCGTATTTACAACAAAAACAACAAAAACAAAAAAAGGGGAAAAACATTGATGAAGCAAAAAAGAAACACAATCAACTGATAAATTTCCAGATGAAAACAATTATAATTATCAATGTTTCTATCTCTCTCTCTTCCTCAACTATTTGTTTATTTGTTATCAATTCCTCAGATTCAATCAGTGAATCAATCATCTAATTATATTGATCTTTACTGATAATATCCACTAGTAACTGTGATTCAATTTACGGTGAAAGAAATTAATTTACAACATTTAATCAGTCAAATATCATCAAAATTTGATGAATAGTCAATTCAAATATTTATATTAAATTTTGGATGATTTTAAATCAATGAGAAAAGTATTTAACACAATCAAATGTTCAATTTTCTCCCAAATCAACAAGAGAAAAAGAATAAGAAAACAAAAAAATGAAAAAAATGATTCTCATAAACAGAGATGAAAACAAAAATTAAATTAAATTGAATTTTCACTTTTCTCTCCTGATTTGTTGTCACTTGATTTATCTCGAAATGATTTAGACACCGGAGCTACGAAATAATCTTCAATCTTTTCTCCAGCATTTGACATGACCAGAATTTTATCCTGTGGTTCCGATTTATCCTCCTGAAGAAACAATTTTCCACCTTCATCAATATGATACATCGGTTCCACTCCTTCAATGTTAACCAACTCCAAACGAGAAGCATATTTAATTGATTCCTCTAATTGCGAAATTAAACTTGGATTATTGGTCAACGTGAGAGCTGAAACCTTTTCCAGCATAGGAATTAACTTAATAAGACCACTTGAAGACATTATTGAGAATATAAAGAAATTGATTGATTGAACAAAAAAAAATTAGAATAGAAAATGAAAACAACCAAAGAATAGAATAGAAAAAAAAACAAAACAAAGATGAAAGAAGAAGAACACAAGAGAAGAATACAACTAATTCACTCTAGAAGATTTTCTAACCGTTCACAATACACACACGGAAGAAAATAATCAACAAAAATCGATAAGATAACAATTAAAACTGATTAATTAAGATTAGAAAATCTAATTGATGAAAAAAAAATTTTTTCTTTTCCAAATCACATGTTTAGGATTCGATCAAAGATCCGATACTTTTACTAATCTGATACTTTTTCGCTTTTAAATTTTTCTCATTTTGTCTCAATTACAATTAAATTAAATTGTTATTTTCTCTTATTTCTTGTGATAATAGTTAATTCAATTGTGGCGAAATTAGTTCTCTTCAAACTCTTTTGATTACTCTAATCGGTTGATTGTTTAATTCGTTTGTTACTTAACCAAAATCCTAAAGAAAACGTTTGATTGGTTTTCTTTTTTACATTTCCTTTGATTCAATGTCAAAATCGTTTCTAATTTACATGTCAATTAGTTTAATTTATTCACATTAAATTAAGTAAATTACTTTTAGAGTGGATAAGTGAATTAAAAAGTTACCAATCTATAAAAATAAGTGAAACAAATTGTCCGGTTAAAAGGAGATTCCCAAGAATCAATGTACTGAATTGGTAATAAAATTGGAGACCAAAGTAAGCGAAGACAATTTAACATGTTAATTATAACCATAAATCTTATCTCCATTTATTAATTGTCAATCTATTTTCTTCTTTCCTTCTTATTTCTTGCTTCCTTTAGTTAAAGAGGAAACCATTACCTGGACGATGAATTATTGGTCATTCTAATTACTTTATATTCATCATGAATAAGTAACTTTGTATGGAGAGTTTTCTATTGCAACCCAATGGAATCGCTTGTAAAAGGAAAAAGAGAGAAAAGAAATTGGAAAATTATTAATACAACTTGAAAATGTGAAGCAATCAACTTGGAATTGACGATTTAATCGACGTGTTGGTCTTTGGCATCACCATGATACAAGATAATTAAAGACGAAAAGCTGTTAATTGTAACAAAACAAGATATTTATTAATAATCAGATCAAATGATTGATATAGGAAAAAAATTGGAGACCATTGGCCTTGTAAATTGTTTACCTTTTAATTAACGTCATTTAATCATCAACTAGATCTCTAATTTGATTGGTATCACCACTAAATTTACCTCATCATCACCATCAGAATCAAAGTAAGTATATATACTCAATAAGAAAGAGATAAATCATATGTCCATCATTTTCTTTCATCCATCGAAACTCATCAAGTATCATAATCACTAATCACGATTCTCTTTAACTTTCTCAGAAAAAAACAGATAATTTCAACCGATTTTCTCGAATTTCATTCAACACTCACCAATCGATACTTTTTCTCAGGTAAATTTGAAACAAGAAGGTAAACAATCCTCATCATTTCGCTTATGCGTTCTTGTCTTTTTCTATTCTACTCTCTTTCTCCTCTCTCTCTCTCTCTCTCTCTCTCTCTCATGTTGATGTTTTGCTTTATTTTCATCTTTCTCTCACCCAAAACCCGGTAACCTGTTTATTTTTTATTCTTTCATGTAATTTTATTTATTATCAATTCCAATCAAACCGAATACCCTTAACAGTCATTCAATGTTCACCTCAGTCCTTAACCTGCTCATCTTTTAATTGAAACAAACTAATTTCATCATCTCATTGACCATTAACAACATTTACCTTTTAATCCAGTTAATTGACAAAAACAACAACCAATGTGCTTATTAAATAATTATTATTATTATTTAGTTAAACACATTATATGAATCACATTTATGTCAACAAATCATCAATATTTCTCAATTAATTTCAATTATTTGTCTCCTTCTCTTTTTATGATTAAATTGATTTTTCGATTCAATTTAACAGGTAAACATTTACCAGCAATTTTCACCTCATCAATAACCTCTAATTACAACCACAGGTAAGTAGCTTTTACTTATTAATCCAAGTTAATTGTCTCTTGTTCAATATTATGTCAATCATCATCTTCATCAAATTTACTTACATTCACCATACACATGGTAAAAGCAACAACAACAACAACATATTAATTAGTAAACCTCTTGACTCTCAGAAGGTCAATATAAAAATTGGTTAAGTTAATTAACTGATTTTTCCTTTTATCAGCTGATCTTTTCCAATAGATAATTTGTTTTTAATTCTCAATTTCATTTGATGACTTGATATGATACAATTGAATCGGTTGTTATTGTCTATCAGTTATAATTGTCTATGTACTTGTTGTGTGTCTAAGATTTTAATGTTTGTCTTTAATTATTATCTTTTCCTTTACTAATTAATAAGGTAAACAATTAAGTCTCTCTCTCTCACCCATACATATGTAACTACATCAATTGATTGTCTCTAAATTGTGCCCAACCACCACGAGCTTCCGACTGCAATTAATATCATCGTGCTTTACTACCATCGCATGTAATTGATTGTTAACAATCAAATCAATTGCTCACTAATTCATTTTCTCTCTCTCTCTCCCTTTCCTCCCTTTTCTCTCTCTCCTCTTTATATATCCTTTGCATTTTTTTTCTAGATCATTTTAAATCCATAGATTGTTCCTGTTGATTGATTACTCTTCTTCCCTTCTTACTAATTTAGTTTTAATTAGTATCCTACCTTATCCGTAATTTTTGGTGTGTAATCAACAAATTGTTTCATCTCCTCACTAATTGTTTCCATCGTAATTTAAATTGTTACAATACCTGTTACCCTAAAGAAAGACAATTACTCAAAATCATCCTAATCCAACATGAATTGTATTGAACGAGTTCAGAGGTATGATGATAATCTCTAAATCTATTTTTAATCCGATTGTGCTTTTCCCTCTAATTTAATTCATTAACTGATTATCTTTCATTTTTCCAACTAATTCAATCAAATGTTAAATTATCTTTCACACTAACAATCTCATCGTCAACTGACAGATTAATACATAATACACTTGATAAGAAAAAAAAAACTTCTCATCTCATTAACACTAATCAGTTATTATTTTTCTATCTTTTAGCCCACCAAAAAATGAACCGAAAATTAGTCAAATTATTCCCGTAAACATGGGAATTGAGGACATGGAGAAACGGGAAGAGACCTTATTCAATGAAACCTTTGACGTTATAACGGAAAAGTTAACAAGTACCGTTAACCCGGACTTAAGACGAGTTTCTGACTGGCTCAAGAAGGTAAACTACTTTTGGTCATCATCTTCATCTTTATCTTCATCATTTGATCTTGATCTTGATTCTCCGATACATCTAAATAAATTTTCTTATTCTCTATCTTTTCTGGTTGATGTACATATAAATGACTCTCCTGATCAATGAAACTGGACTTTGCTCATCATTCTTAATTGTTGATTCATTCTTCCTCTTTGCCTCGAATACATATTTTGATTTGGTTAATTATCATTCACGTAATTTGCTGGTGGGCAACAGGTTCTCGTCTATAATGTGCCTCACGGTAAAAAAAATAGAGGAATGGCTTTGGCTTTGGCCTATCAAGTGCTGAAGAAAAATAAGAAACTGGATTCAGACAAATCTCATCAAGCTCGAATTCTTGGATGGTGTATTGAAATTCTTCAGGCTTTTTTCCTAATTCATGATGATATAATGGACCAATCATTGACCCGTCGAGGTCAACCTTGTTGGTATAAAAAGGTAAATATAAACAATCCAATGAATGACCATGAAAACAAGATTTTGACAAGTAAAAGTTACGATTTCATTTATTATCATTATTCAGTTAATATATAAATAAATGATTAACTTTATAATCATCTCTTCATATCCATAAATAAGTGGGTCCTGAATTTTGAAATATCCCAATTTTACTGTTATCATGTTTACTTTTGTTATTTTAGTTTAATTGTGCTGATTAGTGTCCATCAAGTTTTACCAGTTTCATGGTAAATGATCAGCTAATCATCATGCCTAATGAAAGCCTTTCATTTTAACCATTTAGACCATTTTCATGATTAGATTAAATTACAGTGATTTAACTTTTAAATGATGATAATCTTGTCTTAATATGATCGTTGTACTTGCGATATTTTGATTGATTGCTAATTTTATATTTTCTTTTTCGTCAATAACAGGAAGATGTTGGACTAATTGCAATTAACGATGGAATCTTATTAAATAGTTGCATCTACAAACTTCTCAAGGAAAACTTTTCCAAAGAACCAACTTATTCACAAATATTAGATCTTTTCCATGAGGTAAGGAAAAGATTGAATTGGAATCTAATTAGATCGTCTCAAGAATTTAATTAACAAGAGGCAACCGCTCTCTCGGAGGAAAAATCGAGATCTTTAATCAATGAATGAATTACTGAATTCAAATTCAGGACAAGTTAAGAAAACACTTGATTGTGATTAAACTTATCAGCGGAAAATATTAACTCTTTGATAAGTTTTCCGTAATTACAATCATCCCATGCGTTAACAACGTGTTATGGTTAATTGTTTAACTACTTAACCAACTATTATAATGCTAATTAATAGATCTAAGGGAAATTAGATAGTTAATCAAAGGGAAAACATAAGATTAGCAGATTTTTTTATAAGATCTTTAGTCGACAATTGATTAGATTCCGATTTAAACTTGAAACATCAGCTCAATTAATTAACAGAATTTACTTTCAACAATTAGCTAATTAAATCCTTTTCAAGTTTATCACATCCATTATAAAACATTCATCAATTAATTAGTCTTTATGATTAAGTCTTATAATGTAAACATGATTTCCTTAATCTAACTTATACATTGAGAGATTTTTCCTTGTTAATTAACTACTCAATTAAGATTTTAATTTCTCTGTTTATTTAGATGTCGATGTTTGATCATTATTTTACTTACCCAATTAAATCAAACTATCAATTGATTTAATGAATGAATCTCATGCGTTCGTTTTAAACTTGAATCGCAACTTAATTTTATCGAAAGTTGAATGTTAATTACTAATTCTAATTACTGTGTTTATGTTTATTTCTTTATATTAACAGATCACCGATCTAACAATTAAAGGTCAATGTCTTGATATGCTTAATTCAACTCCTGATATGAAAAATAATCCAGCCGCTTTCACCGAAGACGTTTACTCAGCTATCATTGAATATAAAACGGCTCATTACAGTTTCGTACTTCCTATCCGATTGGCCTTTTACCTTGTCGGAATTGTCTCAGAAGAGGTTCATGCTAAAGCGGAAGAGATTCTCCTCAAATTTGGCCATTTCTTTCAAGTCCAAGATGATTTTCTCGATTGTTATGGTGACCCAAGTGTGATTGGAAAAGTGGGTCGAGATATCGAAGAGGGAAAATGCTGTTGGTTGTTTGTAAATGCATTAAAATTGTGCTCAGAAGAGCAAAAGAAAATCTTGGTGGACAATTATGCTCTCGAAGATCCCGCTGCAGTGGCCAAAGTACGAGAAATTTACGATCAGTTAAACATGAGAAAAGTTTTCCAAGACTATGAAGATGAATCATATAAGGAAATTAAAGGTCTCATTGATTCCTTTGCTTACTCTCAACTTGTTCCCCTTGAGGTATTCAATTGGTTACTCAAGAAAATTTACCGTCGAAATAAATAATCAACAATTAATCGCCTACACAACAATCGGCTTACAATCGTAGGAACAGATCCACCATCCGGAAACAATTAGCAATTAAAAAAGTTTACTATCTATCAAATCTCTTTGTAAATTTGATAATCAATCTCATAATACAGAAAATCCCAACACTATCAAAAAAAATCCGAAAAATTAACTTGGAAAATTGAAAACCGAAATCAAGAAATTGTTACAATTTGATCATAAAATCAAAATGAAGTTCATTTAATTATCCAAATTTCCGTCTCAATAACTGAGATATATTTTGTATTACCAAACACATGACAATTAGTAAATTACACCAATTAAAGGAATAACCAACAATCAACAACCAAATTAAAGTTAATCATTATACCCAAAAATGTCGATCAACCAACAAAATCAAAAGTAAAACTTAATCACATAGACAACAATTAAGTAAACATATGCTACCAATGAAAAGACAATTAAAAAGAGGAGAAAACTAATTAGCAATAAGAATAATAATAAAAATTGATTGCAAAGTTTCAATTCAGTTATAGACCAACGTTTTCAGGGTGTTTTCATAGTTATCCGGTTTTTGGTTACATGAATGTTGATGATGATTAATAATAATAATCTAAAACTCTCAACGAGTGGGTTAACATTTGATTAACTTAATCTGCCGATCTGATTGTTGTCCCAAAAATAAAAAGCAACTTTTGCCTACAAAGAAAAGCAAAAAACTTGATTAACTGCAAGACCAAAAAAAGAGTAACCAGAAAACCAGCTCACAATTCATCTGATTAAATTGGAGTGGGTGTTGTGAGTTGATTGCGTGAGTGTAAAACTGAACAATTTATGCCATCGTTTGACACACATCCTTTTAATACATCCACTCACTCACAGAGTCATTCATTTGTTATCATCAGAATGATCATCATCTTATTTGTCACATCCGATTTAAGTTTCCACTTCCCCTGAAAGAGACATGATAATTTCCGGTTCATTTTTTTTTTACTGTGGAGGCGGAAAAGTAAATCTATTTCATTAAGGTATTTCCTTTTAATCGTTTTTTTATTTTTATTATTTATCATCTTAAATTGATTTCGCGTTGTTAATTGTTAACCCTAAGGTAAATTGTAAAATGGTTGTTTGTCTCAGAGTGAGAGATAGTATACAAGCCAAGAGAGTGTTAGGATGAAAAGAGAAAGAGAGAGAGAGAGAGACAGAGTGAGAAGGAAGATAAAAAGAGGAAGATAGGAAGATAGAGGAGGCGAGGGTTCTCTCACCTAACCTTATATGGTTAGTAATATAAGCTCCTTGCCAGATTGTAGTTTTTGGCATCATCATCAAAATCAGCAATACATATAAGATATTTCGTATAATAGATTACAGATGATGATGATTTTCATGGTGGTGGTAGAGAGAGAGAGAGAGAGAGAGAGGATGATGAAGATGATGTAGATATAATGGTGAGGATGAAGATGATAAAGATGAGGAGGATGATGTACATTTAAGATTTTTTCTTCTTTTATATTTACATTTACAACCTTATTTTTTTTTCTTGTGTTTGTTTTCATCAATTGATATAATATAAATACTTTGACATTTAAGCCAATGGTCAGTTGACATTAGTTGTTGATGTTACATGTTATTGGGAAATTGATTTGTGTATAAATTGCTAGAAATTATTTTCGACCTTGTCAATAAAGTCCCATAGGTGGATTTTGTTTGTTTTCGTAAACTTTTACAACTAACAAACAAAACCAAAAAGGTGATTAACTTAAATTTGATTGTTGGTTAATTTTTTACCCCCAAAGTTTGTTTTCATCATTTAAAAGGCAGCATTTTCAGAATAGGTTAGTTAACAAACATTGTTAAACAAAAAAAAAAGGGGGAAGACACATATTATTTTGATTACAATTAATTGATTGGCTAATTGGTCAAGGTTTTAGATTGTCTTTTGGTTGTAATGTCCAGGTAAAAGCCAATCACTTTGAATGATCAAAAATATAAGGTAACAGAGTTAAATAAAGAGATTTGATATTTTTGCTAACAGAAATGAACTAAAAAATTTGTAGTTACGATTTGAAAACAAACTGCGCAAAGGTACAAATCAACCAACACTCTAACTTTAGTTTTTCATGGCTGCGTTTTGTGTGTGAGTGTATATACGTTTATGTACATATTCAGTTGACCTATTAAATTGCTTGTTCTTTAAGAAATATATTGATGCATAATTTTGGTTTGGTGTTTGTTTGGCATAAATTTTGCTCTGCTTTTGTTTTTGCTTTTGCTTCCTCTCCTTTGCTTTTTTTGCTTGTTCACTTGTAGATCTTGTGGCTCATTGTGAGTTATTGTTGATACTTTGATTCTTGTGAGTAGATTAATCATATCATGTCACCATCGTTAATCATTTGCTATGAAAAAAAAGGCGATAATTTATCATCATTTCCGACAAACCATGGGCTCAATTGGTTTTATAATGTAGCTTTGGGCGTATATCTCCCACATCCAATTAGTTTCAAGCAAGTTTCATCCAAGAATCAAGTGAGAGGGTATAGAGAGAGTTTGTTTGTGTGTGTGTGTGAGAGAGAGAGGGAGAAGTTAATTCATTGATTCACAATTGATTTTTTTTGTAACAGTTTATGTTTAGTAAATTAAAAATATCCTTTTTGTTTAGTCTAAGCTTTTCTTTTTGCTTCATTATGAATGCTGAATGTTGATTGTTGATTGTTAATTCCTGGTGATTCATTGTTGTTTTCCACCGTAAGTAGGATTCTTGAAAGTAGTAGTTGCCTGCCTGTAGATTGGATTCTCACCCTGTAATTGAAATTAAAATTAAATGATTAAGTTAAGATGAAATTAGGATGGATTACAAATGTTATTCGTAATCGGGTAAGATTGATTGATAAACGATTAGTAAAAACACTTACGGTGTCCCATTTAGCCATTTGTCTTTCTTTTTCAAATTTAGCATATTCCCGACTATCATGAATTGTAGTAATTAATTTCCAAACTAATAGTAATAATAATCCTACAAGCACAATACCAACAATTACACCGATCACAATTGCTAAGATGTTGACGGGAGCAGGACAATCTTTAGTACGTTGAGCTGTTAATTCAATCATCTTATTATCATCATCACCATAAATGAAGTATTTGAATTGATATTTACAGTCATCGTCTTCATCGATAAAGGTACAATGAACTTCACCTTTTTCGGCATCGACTTCGAGATCATCGACAACGATTACTGACCAGGGACATTTGGTTACATTTGTACCAAATGAACATTCCTCTTCGGTAAATGGACCAGTTTTATGGACTTTACATCGAACACAATCTTTTAACTTCTCACATTGTGTACGACATGTTGGACAAAGTTGACAAAATTGTCCAGTATAAGGTTGACCGTCTTCACTGAAATCACATTGACAAGAGTTACAAATACAACTTCCATGAGCAGAACATATTTTATCCTCAGGCGTTGCTTTACATCCATCAATTGAATCATAACAAGAACAATCTTCACCAATCCAACCAGGATCACATCGACATTTACCACAATCACAAACACCATTTCCACTACAAACTCGACCATTTTTACGAATACAAGAGAAATTGTCACATTCACAATATTTTCCATAAATTCGTTCATCCGGACTACTTGGATCGTTACATTTACATTTTCCACAAACACATTCACCTCGACCAGTACAAGATCTCGAATCATTTGAAGCTTTACATGACATTTCATCCTCAATTCCACCATTTTTAAGGTCACATTCACATTTTGATCCGTAAAAGTTTTCGTTACAATTACAGATTCCACATTCGTAGGTACCATGTCCACCACAATATTCACTTCCTTTTTCCTCGTTCCATTCTTGTTCACATTCACAGTCACAAATTATTTCCACATCTAATTCCAGTGTCTCCTTTAGACCAACGGGACTAATTTTGATTGTTTGATTCCAATTTTTACGAAGTTCGGGACATTTGTTTACCGTTACTCGAACTTCAAACTTTACTTCAGTACCAACCCGAAGACCATCACATTTATTTGTCTTCTCTAATTTTGTTCCAAGACATTTTGAATAATATTCCAACTTAATATCGTCTCCTTTATAATCGTCAATTAATTCAACTGACGAGGTTATCTTTTGATATTCGGCCTTAACAAGATCGACAATATTAGAAGAATCATTCTTTAACATTCCCGTTGATGAACCTTTAACCAGTGTACTTAATTTCTCGTAAATATGAACTTGATTAGCGGTTACAGCGAAAATTAAATTGACATAATAATCCATAACTTTTTGATTAATTTGACTTATCGATGGATAATCTTGATTAACACTTTCCGTATATTCCCCTTGGGACATATGACATTCACCATCATTTGGCTTAACAATACCTCCGAGCTAAAAAAGTGAATAAAGTGAAAGTTTAAATTAGTTTAAAGCGTCATTATCAATTTACTGTATTTTCCCATCTGATAAATTGTTGATGAGACATGAAACTGTTGTCATATCTCATGCAATGGATCAGTCAAAGTCTATTTATAACAATTAACAAATTAATCCAAATTCACCTTTCCATCTCCAGCATAGTGGAAGCTAGAATCGGTTGAGAAAACTACTAATTTTCGAGAATCGGCTCTCCAACCAATTTGCCTTTGACAAACAATCGCCTGCATTATCGCATCAAAACCGCCTTCGGGTGCATCGAGATTACCAGAAATATTTGTTTCTTTTACTTTGGTAACGAAAATTTCACTATCATCAGCCAAAGGCATATGATTACGGAATCCATAGGGAGCAACACATCCTTTGCAAGGCTCTCGTCGCCTGTCAAGTAAATTAAGAAGAAGAGAGAAGAAGAAAAATGAATAATCATCTGAATCCAGAGCATGATGAATAATTTGATTGAAGAAAAAGTTGAACATCAAACAGAGGAAAATTTTCCTCTTCCATCTTCATCATTACTCTCGTTCTTTTCTAACTTTTCATCCAATTTCTCGTTTAACAAGAAGAAAAGTCAAGAAAAAACAAGTTGAATTAAGAAACAGCTCACAAGATAGTAGAGAGAGAGAGAGAGAGAGAGAGAGAGAGAGTGAAGATTTTCAAAGTTAAAAAAGAAAGAGAAACTGTTTTATCAATGGTTTTCTGTTCTTTCTAGATGAGAGAGTCTGTGATGACAGCGAAAACAAATGTAGTTAATGTTGGTAATTGTCTGGACACAGGAGCCTACACATACTAACAGATCCGTTTGTTTTTGCTCTATCATCTTTTATCTTCATCTTCTCTCATTTTCTCTTTCTCTTCATCTCTATGTGTATGAATGTATTAACGTTCGGGATGAAAAGGAAGTGTAATATTAACCATAGTAGGAGAAAAGAGAAAGAGAGAGAGAGATGAAAAATACCCCAAAACACTATATACAATGTTCAGTGTTTAGAGTTTATAAATACAATGGTTTGTATACGGAGAGAGAATAAAAGAGCAGAGGGAGAGACAGAGAGAGAGAGAGAGAGAAAAGATGAGGGAGTGATGAGAAATGAAATGATAAACACTTACTTTTCTTCGACCATACTAATATAAGGCATCACTGTTTTATCAACAAATGAACCGAAACCCAATCTAAAGTTTCTGGTTATTTTCTGCATCTCCTCGGCTAATTTATTACCAAGAAGACCTAATTTATCTTTATCATCTTCCATTGATTTAGATAAATCCATGAGGTAGTAAAGGTCAACAGGATAATCAACTGCTTGTTTGAATTCAGTGTAGAAACGTTGAGTATCATTAGGACGTAATTTAAGTGAAATCCGTTTTGGTTTAAGTTGAACCGCTGAATCTGGTGATAAAGCTTGATCTGAGAACTCTTTGGCCTCAGTTACATTGACCACACTAAGGGGAAAATGGATTGACTTGGGGTCACAACCTTCGGCGATTAAAGATTTATAAAAATCACACCGAGCTTTATTGGTCTCATCGGAGAAACCTCTCTGTGTACACCAAGCACAACTAGGATCAGCTCTTATACATTCATGGCAATTTTCACGAGAAACACATGGATTTTGTTGGTCAGAGGTTTGAGCAAACGTTAATCCAATAATTGAGAACAATAAAATGGATAATAAAATGAATAGTGAAGATGAACAATTGGTGGTTGAAGATGAAGATTTAGAAAAACAATTTAAGAAAGAAAAGAACACTACCGGTGACATGGTGATGAGAATATGTTGTTGTTCTCTGAATGTGATTAGAATTCAGAGAAGAATATGATTAAGGGTGGTGGTGATTGAGAGAGAGAAAGAGAGAAAGAAAAGGAGAGAAAAAGAAAACAAAAAGAAAATATAAAGTTTAGAAAAAAAATTGAGAAGAAAATTAAATGAGAAAATAAATCACAGAATAACAAGAGAAAAAAAAACTTGGCTTTTGATAGATTAAGTTATCAAAGCCATAAGTAAATTTGGAACCAGTGATTAAGGAACCAGCGTAAAGATGATGAGACAAGATGAGAAACCAGAATATCAATGACTTAAAGTGGAAGACAAAAAATCAACCTAACCCAAAGTTGAGAAAAGAAAGAAAAAAAGAAAGACTTTTACAGAATAGACTGTAACTCCATCTACTGTTTCCATCAATTAACGTAACGGTTTCACTTTTGTTTATCTTGATTAATCATCTGATCGGTTGATCATCTTGTTTAACATCATTTTAAAACCACTTTTCAATTGTTGACAAACAGTTGGAGCAATCAAGTTATTTCCATTTAATAGTTAATCACTTTCACTTGCTTGATGATAAGAACGGTAAACATATAAATATTTAAGATGATCAAGTCCAAGGAATTGTTTTGTTTTTTTTCTGGTTTAATTATTTCATCAATTTAATTGTTGTAGTTGTTTTTTTTTCTCTTCGTTCTAATTTTTCATCATCTGTATGTTGGATTTTTAAATGCTTTTGTGGCGATTCCGTAGATTGGACTTTCACCAGGATCCCATTTCGTTAGCACTTGCCGCTCTTTTTCATACCTGGTGTACTCGCGACTATCATTGATTGTGACAATTAGTTTCCAAATTAGAAGGATCAATAAACCGGAGAGGAAAATTCCAATAGTTATTCCAATTAAAATGGCGTAAATGTTGACTGGAATTTTACAGTTCTTAGATCGTTGAGCTGCCAATTCTATTTGTTTGCCAAATTGTTCTTCGTTAATGTAATATTTAAATGAGTACTTGCATTCATCTTCTCCGTCAACGAACGTACAATGTATCTCACCTTGAGCTGCATCGACTTCGAGATCATCGACAACGATTACTGACCAGGGACATTTGGTTACATTTGTACCAAATGAACATTCCTCTTCGGTAAATGGACCAGTTTTATGGACTTTACATCGAACACAATCTTTTAACTTCTCACATTGTGTACGACAAGTTGGACAAAGTTGACAAAATTGTCCAGTATAAGGTTGACCGTCTTCACTGAAATCACATTGACAAGAGTTACAAATACAACTTCCATGAGCAGAACATATTTTATCCTCAGGCGTTGCTTTACATCCATCAATTGAATCATAACAAGAACAATCTTCACCAATCCAACCAGGATCACATCGACATTTACCACAATCACAAACACCATTTCCACTACAAACTCGACCATTTTTACGAATACAAGAGAAATTGTCACATTCACAATATTTTCCATAAATTCGTTCATCTGGACTACTTGGATCGTTACATTTACATTTTCCACAAACACATTCACCTCGACCAGTACAAGATCTCGAATCATTTGAAGCTTTACATGACATTTCATCCTCAATTCCACCATTTTTAAGGTCACATTCACATTTTGATCCATAAAAGTTTTCGTTACAATTACAGATTCCACATTCGTAGGTACCATGTCCCCCGCAATATTCACTTCCTTTTTCCTCGTTCCATTCTTGTTCACATTCACAGTCACAAATTATTTCCACATCTAATTCCAATGTTTCCTTTAGACCAACGGGACTAATTTTGATTGTTTGATTCCAATTTTTACGAAGTTCAGGACATTTGTTTACCGTTACTCGAACTTCAAACTTTACTTCAGTACCAACTCGGAGACCATCACATTTATTTGTCTTCTCTAATTTTGTTCCAAGACATTTTGAATAATATTCCAATTTAATATCGTCTCCTTTATAATCGTCAATCAATTCAACTGATGAGGTTATCTTTTGATATTCAGCCTTAACAAGATCGACAATATTAGAAGAATCATTCTTTAACATTCCCGTTGATGAACCTTTAACCAGTGTACTTAATTTCTCGTAAATATGAACTTGATTAGCGGTTACAGCGAAAATTAAATTGACATAATAATCCATAACTTTTTGATTAATTTGACTTATCGATGGATAATCTTGATTAACACTTTCCGTATATTCCCCTTGGGACATATGACATTCACCATCATTCGGTACCATTAATCCACCGAGCTTTGTATATGAAAGATAATTAACATTAATTAATCTGTTTGAAAAACAACCTAAACCGCAATATGTATAATTGTTTTTAATTGTTACCTTTCCATCTCCAGCAAAATGAAAACTTGAATCGGATGAGAATATTATCAATTTTCTCGAATCATTTCTCCAGTTAATTTCTTTTCCACAAACAATCGCTTGCATGATAGCATCTAATCCACCCTCAGGAGCATCTTCGTTAGCGGATATTTTGGCCTCATTTACTTTGGAAACAAATCTATCACGATCATCGGCTAGAGACATATGATTACGGAATCCATAAGGTGCCCCACACGAATCACAAGGTTTCCGTCGTCTATTTGGAAAATACAATGAAAATATTACATTTATATTACATTTATGAGAAAATAGGCTTAGAATTCAGGCAAATATTTGTAAGAGAAAATTGTCATCAGCATGTACACTACGTACTTTTCTTCAGCCGAACTTGTATACGGCATTTCAACCTTATCCACGAACGAACCAAAACCATATCGAAAATTTTTAGTCATTTTTTTCATCTCATCCATTAAATCACCACCAGCCAAGCTCAGTTTATTTTTAGCTTCTTTCATAGAGGCTGATAAATCCATAAGATAATAGAGATCAACTGGATAATCAACGGCTTGTTTAAATTCACTGATGAAACTTTGAGTATCATTGAGACGTAATTTAAGTGAGATACGTTTTGGTTTAAGTTGAACCGCTAAATCGGTTGATAAATTTTGATCTGCAAACTCTTCCGATTGTGTAATATTAACATCACTAACGGGAAAATATATCGATTTAGGGTCACATCCTTCAAGGATTAGCGATTCATAAAAGTTACATCTAACTTTATCATCGTTATCAGAGAAACCATTTGATGAACACCAAGCACAACTTGGATGAGATTGAATACATTGAGCACAGGTGACATGAGTAATACAAAGATTCCGTTGGACACTTGGCAATGTAATAGAACAAAATCCAAATTCGAATGGAAAAAAACCAAAAAAGAACATCAAACAAAAGAGATCCATTGAAAACGATCAAATGGAACAAAATCCAGAAGAGAATAGAAAAAAAAAGCTAAACCGATATTCCAAACAACATGACCGATATTCCAAGACGCAGGGAAAAGAACAATAAGCCAATCAACACTGATTTATTTCTAGAGATTAAAACAGAGAATCAATTAAAACACACAAGAGACAATTAAATGAAACAAACCTTTTCTAAAATGTAATCACAATAGCAAAATAAAAAATTAACAATCCAAATCATCAATCAACCATAATCAAAGTAACAAACAGGTAACCAGAAAAATAGTTTAGCAGGTGCAACATTCACTTCTAATCTCATCAAATTCATGATGCTATCAAAGTGGTGATACAATAAAGGCAGGAAACAATTAAAAATCAACTAAAACCAGAATCAAATTAAGAAAAAAAGAAACACAATCAACTAACCCGTTAATAAATTCATCAGGTTTTCATTAAAGGAATCACAAGTTACCCGCTTTTGGAACATTCGAAAGTGTCTCCATCTGTTGTTCTTTATACTTACTATTAAAAGAAGATAATTAAAAACTGATCAACTTTATTGATGGAGATTGGAAATTTAATCAATCGGATTTTCATCCTTCTTTTACTTTTCCTGTTCTCATTACACATTAATCAAATCTGCTAGAATTCAATCTAAAATGATTATAACCAGAAAGGGAGGAAATGAAATACTAAGTATCATCAATCAATTGTTTCGTCATCTTCATCCTTTTAGCATCATCATCATCATGAGTATCTCTCTCTCTCTCTCACTCACTTTGTAAAATTAACTAATCAATTAAACCAATTGATGATCACCAATAATCAATAAAAATACAGTAGGAAAAGAAAGAGTTAAAAGTTTATTAGTAAATCAATAAACAGATCAAATTGATTTTCTTTTGTATTAATAATAATCAAATTATATCATCGAATCCAAATTAACATCACAATTAATTATATTATTATTATTTAAAGAGAAAATTTAATTTAATTTCTTAAGATTATTAAAGTTAAGTTATTATCCATCTCTCTCTCTTTCTTTCTGATTATGATGATTAAATAGGAATCACCACAATTAATTAATACAATTTAAACTGTAACAGCTTGTGAATTTATTGTTAATAATCATTTACAGCATATGAATATGAATTTATAATTAAAAATGTAAATTGAATTGCAAATAATTAACTAAATTAAATTGAACACTGGAAAAGTACATGATATGAAGATGAACAATTAAACCATGAAACCATGAATATTAAGAGATGATGAGGAAAAAAAATATGAATTAAACTTGGAGAAGGGGAAAAGTTTAATCATTTCAAGTCAACAATTAACTCTAATCAACCGGATAGCATGAAGATCAATAATCTAATTACAATTATCGATTAATTATAATTAACAAAATTCTATACTGATTATTTTTTGCATTAAGAAATAATAATAATCTTAAATAATTTGATAAATTCCGAGAAAATTTCAAACAATCGTAATGAAATTTAATCGAACTAAACTTTGAAAGTTTTTCGAAATTTTTTTAGAACTTTTTTTTTCATTTCGATTTTTTCCTTTCCATATCTTTTGGTACTCTTCTCGATAAACAATCGATAATCAATTGAATCTAAATTAAGTTAAATATTTAAGTTTCTTAACAAGAGATCAATTCTTTTCAACTGCATAATCAAATTGCTAATCAAGTGACCATTTAAATGATGGCAAATATTTGATCAGAAACAATCGCTTGTATTGGTGAAACTTGAATTTTATCCCAACAATTTAACTAATAGCAGATAAAACAATTGTATTACTATTGTTATAATAATGTTATACAATCACAATTGGTATTAAATGTTAACAAGATTACATTTGATTCACACGTTTACCTGAATTCAAAGATGATCATATTAGATATAAGTTTTTTCTTCCTTTTATCCAGCTAATAATATCTAGCAAACAAAGTAATACACATTTGGGGGTGGCAAAAGGATGAGGATGAAGATTAGGGTGATGATGAGAGAGAAAGAGAGAGAAGGATAAATTGTGAAATCGATCTGAATTCTGGAACCATGATCATGCTCAATACTCAGAGAAGCAAGAAATTCACCGAAAGAGAAAGAAATCAGACCAATGATGAAGATGATGGAAGAGAAAAGAAAGTAAAAAAGAGTAACATAGTAAAAGGATGATGAAGAAGATGGCGCTTTCTCTCTTTAATCATTATCATGTTTATGCTTTTTCATCTTCTCCCACCGCCACCACCACCTCCTCCACCTCCTCCTTCATCTTCCACCTCCCTTTCAACCTCTTGTTGTTATCATCTCTCTTTCTCTTATTTTCATCCCTTTTTCTCCTGCTTCTGAACAAGAAACTCCTGAACACAGATAACTCAGAATTAAAATGTTTCTCCTGAATTTCATGTTATCTCATGTTGAACTTTTTTCTGCCCTGTGTGTGTTTCCCAGTGTAAATCTTATGTGATCACCTAAGCCACTAAATTGTACACACACACATACACACAAACAACGAACAGATATCGAGCTCAGAATGCTCAGAATCTTTTTTTCCATGAAAATAGTTAATATTATTCATTATCATTAGAATTTTTCTCTTTTCTCCTCATCCTTTTATTTCCCTCATCTGATGAAAAAAGAAAAGACTTTTTTTCGACTAATCTTTTCAGTAACTTTATCCTCATCTTCATCTTTCACAACAATCATTTCATCATCTCCATCTTCATCTTAATAATAATCGTAATTATCATCATCCTCATCTCTAGACAAAATATATTATATACATTTTTTTTTCTTCTTTTCTCCGAGAAAAGTTTAATTCGTGATCAGTGATTTAAATACCAACCACACACACACAACAGCAACAATTAAAACCAACCAGGATTATTTCAATTTCCAAGAGGATCACATTGATTAACTTAATTGTTACTAAATCGTTCAACATATTATAATCTAATTCGTATCAAACTGAATTAACCGTAACAACGAAATCAACGAAAAGAAAAAAATTTTCTTCTTCCTTCCAATGATTCTAATTGTGCCAAAGTAGGAAAAAGATTATCAGATTGAGAGAGCGAGAAAGAAAGAGAAACAATTAAGCCAACTAATCTACTACTAATTACACAACTATCTTTACTAATTTAATTACAAAACAATTAATAGGAAGATAACAATTAGTACAAGAGAAAAATAAATATAATTTTACCATTTAAAATCAACTAATAACAATCATCACTCCCGAGTGTTAACCTTCAATTCAATTGAATTTGTTTTGTTTTTCCCTCGTTGTTTCAAATTGTTGACAATCAAATCAGCCCCCAAATCTAATCACAATCAATTTAACTCACTCAAAATCATTAGAATTATTATTATCATTATAATCCTTCAATCAATTTTCTGGTATAAAATAAAAAAGCAAAAAACGTTAATCCAATTCAATTGCAACTAATAACAAAGTGTTTCCAATTAATCACAACAATAACAACCAACCAAAATAATAATAACATAATAAACCAATAGGATAATAATATTATCATCATCATTTCATCATCTTCATCAACTTCATCAGTGTAACTGTAAACTTTACATGGATAATTTAAACTGAGAAGGAAAAAAAAAATTTTCTCATCAAAATTGTGAGACACAAAATCAGAATCACAATTTAGTTCATAAGGATAAATACAAACAACAATCAAGTGTTAATTTTTAATCATTATTATCATTATTAATTCAATTGTTAGTTTTTACGATCTATCATCATAATCATTTACAATTGGATTATCAATTTAACATGAACTGAATAAACATCGTTAATAATAATAATAGAATCATAATTTTGTTTCTCAAAGAAGAAGTGAACAAGTAAAAAAAAAAAAATTCGAAAAAAACTTTTTCCTCCAAGTTTCGAGTTCTAAATTTCGAGAGAAGAAAAAACAAATTATTCTATCATCAAAGTGACCATAAAAAACCATCAACAACAATTTAAATTGTTACCAGCATAGTGATGAATCAATGAATGATAATAATAAATATAATGAAAAGTTAATTGTTACCCAACAGAAAAAAAATTAAACCTCAATGACAACAAGTCTTGAAATAAAAAGTTAATTGTTTCAATTGATTGTTGATTAGAGACAAAGTGTTTTATGGATTAAAATTAATTGTTTTCCCAAATCTTATTTTACATTATGAATAAATTTCTAATCAAATTGTTACCAATGGATAGGAACCAATTAATAATAGAAATGTTTAATTGTGAATCAGTTAATTCAGTTAAAATAGTTCTCTTATTGTTATCAATATATTCATCATCTTCATTGTTATCCTCATCTTCATCTCTATTGTTATCTTTAGTATCATTGTTATCCCGATCATTATCATCACTAATATTATCATCTTCATCAGTAGCCTCATTATCATCATTGTTATCTTCAGGTTTATCATCATTTTCATCATCAAAAGCATTATTATCATATGGATCATCATTATCATCATCATCATTAGTGAATGTTTATTGTTATTATCTTTATAATTGGTGGTGTCAATTGCAATGTTTAAATCAATTGTGATCAAATTAAACCCAAGGTTATTACATTTACATTTATTACTATTATTATATTACAATGAGTGTCCGTCGTGTCCGAGGCTCATTTCGAGGCTCACTCCGACGGTACGGAAGTGCTGAATCTTCAAGGAAAACAATTAGACATCATAGTTGGATGTACAGGGACGGGGAGTGGAGAATCGCTTACGGTAAGTAGATATGGAATTTAAATTAATATTCTAGAAAAATTTTCTGTCAGAATTTATCAACAACAACATTCTCTTAATATCATTAACCATTGGAACTGAAAAAAATTGCATAAAATTCTGATTATCACCATGAAAATTATCTTTATCTCTTCTAATTCATATTGAATAATTTAAACTTTTCTACACCAAAGTTGATAGTCGTCTCTCTGTTTCGTTTTTTTTTGTTTGTTTGTTTGTTTGTTCTGGAGGAAAATTTTCTCCACCATTTCATCAATATATTATCACTGTTTCATGTGCATGATCAGCATCATGCTACCTGAGAGACTATGAGTCAGAAACAAGAAATAATATCTTTTATCTTCATCATTTTTTCATCTCAACTGTTGATGAAAAATTCAATACCATTTTATTGTTATAGTTGAAATATATTGTCTAAGGCTTTTGTTTTTCACTAAGTAATAATATTTACATTAGTTTTTCATTTTCATCATGTTCATGGTATCAATTTTTATCTCCATGATATATATATTATCATTAATATTATCTCTTACTCACAATCTCAATTCATATTATTTTAAAATATTATCATGTTGTTGTTTCATGATGAAGATGAAGATGAAGATGATGATTATAATAAGTAATAATAATAATAATATCGTGTCTGAATTATTTTC